CTCACATCTCATCTCATCCCATCTCCTCTCTCCTCCCTCACACACACACACACACATAAAAACACTTTCTCAATTTCTCAAGTAATCATACTCGAGTAGTAGTTATAAAATTCCTTTTAATTTCTCGCTCAAGAATCAACCAACCAACCAACCAACCAACCTAAACTAAACCTAATCTAGCCTAACCTAACCTATCTACCTACCTAGTTTAGTTTAGTATTACTCTCGATTCTCGAAAAGTGCCGCTTGATTTTGTGTTTTTGCTTTTATGCTTTTTGACACACATTTATGCATTCATGCATTTATTCATTCAGTCATCAAATTCGCCAATGACTGACTCGCCAATGACCAATAGAAATATGTTACAGTCTGTCTGACCTCAATTCCTTCCTTCCCTCCATGCATCCATTCCCCTCTCCTACCCCCCCCCCCCCCCCTCTCCATTTCCCACTCCCTCCCATATCCCATCCCCCGCTCATTCCGTATGATCTCATTCTCAGCCATGTAACTAAATTTCTCCAACGTGATGCGCAAAGTTCTGAGTTAGGTATCCGCGGTATCAAAAAAAAACGAAAAAGACAAAAAACAAGGAAAAACTTAGGTGTGGAACACATAAAAATGTGTTTCCACAACAAAAAAACCCGGTAGCTTTCTCTCAACTCCCCCCTCCCCTCCCTCCCATATGCCCGAGAAAATTGGTCAAGAGTAGCACCAAGAACACGAACGAATGAAAACGATGGAAAAATGCATGAATGCGCCTAATTGTTGCCTCTCCATCCATTGACTGTGACCAAACGATAACCAGCAGGAATTACTACCAGATTCTGTCAAGGTCTTATATGTGGGCTGGTAACTTTTATAATCAACTTCACTGAGCCGCCAATTCATAAAAAGACATCCATCGTGAATCTCCAATGCAAGAGATTTATGGTTTAAAATAAAATTCATGAATCATGCGAGGTATCCGAGTTCATCATCATCAAGTCGTTCCAGGTATTCCTTCTCCAGTAAGATATCAATACACTTCTTGATATCCGGAATCTTGGGTACGAATCGGGAGCGGATCTGGTTGATAGTTTCGCTGACGAGTTGAGTGTGCTTCATCTTCTTTCGTGCCTTCATTATACGAACAATAGCAGACTGAAAACATGAGTTAGTGAGGGTTCAATCATACTACACCAAGTACTTCTACATACCTGCATCAGCAACTTTCGATCTTCCTCGATAGTCTTATGAGTTTCATCAACCTCCTGCTTCTGCTCCGACTTGATACCTATATTCAAGTTGACTCGAATCTTCTTACTCTTGAAGTCATAGTTCAGAAGAAAGGTTTTACCGGATGATGGCTTGTCATCTGCTGGGGTCATAGTGAGGACCTTAGACTTTAGGAAGATACCAAGAATGGGATCAAGAACATCGGCATGCAATTGTGTTGCCTTAGCGATATCATCATAACTATTCTTATCGTTCTCGTTGAATAGCAGAAGAATGGCCATTTGGTAAGTCGATACTTGGAAAGTATATGGAGTCTTTTGATTTTTGCAGTAGTTGGCCTTGATCTCTCCCTTACACAACTGCCATAGCCACGTGAGTTTTCTACCACTGTGCTTCTGGTTGTAGAAATTTTGGAAACGCTCATAAGCTCTAGAAATCTCGACTGGCGGAGTGAAGTCCGTATTCGGTGGGTTCAAAGGCCACATACCCGTACCCAAGATTGAGTAACTGGCATCGATTGGCTTTTCGTCACCTCCAGTAAATATTCCTGCTTCGAACTCCTTGAAGCCACTGTTCAAATCTTTTGAAATCTGAATATCCTGGAACATACGTTGAAGCTTGTTGGTGTATTCGAATCCACATGCCTCCTTCAATTTGCTAATCATACTTGTCTCGGCATCATCCGATGATGAACTAGTATGGACCAGTCTACGAGCAAGCATACGCGAGTAGAATTTCTGGAACACATCCTTATCCTCAATATACTTGAAGACCGTCATAATTTGACTAAGGGAGTTCTCGATATCACTCTCCTCAGCCCCACTGGCACTCTTTTTCAATAACGAGTCGGCGTATTTGGCGAGCAATTCAGGGGACTTGTTGGATCCAGATTTGCAAACTTGATTGCGGTTCACAAACTCCTTGCATGCATTATCAAGAGACCTAGTAAATTCTGGCTCATCCTTGAATGCTTGCTTAACAAGGCCTTGATATTGTGTGTGGATCTCAAGAAGAGCGTCGACGTAAACCTTAGGTTCGAGTTTATCACCCTCACTAGCAACTTTCGATACTGCTGCAAGACCCGCTTTGCGAACATGGGCCTCGAATCTAGTACGGAGAGGCTCAAGACCATCCGGAATTCTTGCCAACAAGTTGTACATGCGTGCCATATCATCATAGCGGTCGTTGTCCAATAGAATCTGGAACTCGTCTCGGAGGAGCATGGAGTGATCTGCAATAAGAGCAGTGTTGCAGGCCTTCTTCAATGGGATGATGATGTCTTGGTGGAGGTACATTCGAACGCGCTCTTCCTCTTCATCCAATCGAATTTCGGCCTTCTTCATGTATTCCACTATGCTATTTTCCGCAACGAATTGTTTCGATTCGGCTCGATAGAATGCCTCGGTGGCTGCCAAGAATGGCTTCTCAAAGTGGAAACGGTAAACGTCAAGAGTCGATTTGGTAGGATCCGCCTCATCCAATCCGAGTGATACGAAAGAGTCAACGATGGATTTGATTTGATTATGCTCGATCGTCTCGCCATTTCTCTGCTTCTCCACCATTTTGAGAACAGCATCCATAACCTTTTCATGAACAGACTGGAATAAAGTGAGTCTCCACTGAACAAGGTGTAGAGTATAGACATCGTAGATATTCTTCTTTCCCTCATCCATCTCTCGCTTTACCCAATGACGATTGAGATATTTGAACAAATGATTTATGTATTTCGCCGCCGTTGTGTATCGGTGCCATTCTCGGATGTAGAAACTGAGGAGAGCTTCATCTGTATGTGTTTTAGAGGACAGAACGAGTTCTTTGAGATATTTTGTGAGGTAGGAGATAAGGTTTTGGTATAAGTCCTCGCCGAGAAGGTGTGCTATAAGATATCAGTATATGTAGGTTTCCATATTTGGAATGGCTCAATATCCTACCTCCACGATGTGCGCCTCCGATGGCGGACCCTGGACCAGTGTTGGCGACTGCCTTTTGTGATGTACAGAAATTGTGAACAGCTCTATTTTCAGGTTAGGAGATGCTGCCAACACTTAGATATCGAAATACGTACGTGTATACTCCCATATACTATAGATCGAAAGCAAGTAAGCAAATGCGCATAGTAGATGGAGGAAGTAAGAGAAGTGGCACATACAGTTTGCATATCAATACCATCTGCCAAGTGTAACATGATCTTCGATATGCCAGCCTCGAGGTATTTCCATCTACATGGCAGAAATTTGTAATTAGCATATTGTATCTGGTAAGATCGAGGGGCAAGGTGGCAGATAGAAAATCAAATACGAACGTTGCATCCAAATCCTCCCGATTTGGGACTGGAGGCATAACCACTGTCCTGGTTGCTACCGTCATCTTGAGTGAAGTTCAACAGAGGTAATGGAGGAATAAGCTTGTTGATTTTTTTTTTGGTGATAAATCCAAACTATGTCGACAAACCGGTGAATTTAAACCAGCAACTTTGAAGGAAGGTTGATCCGGGTCGGTATGATAGCAAAGAAAGATAAAGATGACCGAATGGGCACCTTTGTGACAAATCACAGAATGGCGATGCAAAAAGTACTCCAAATCCTGGATGTTTGTTATGGTTGAAATGGAGATGGAGGTTGTGGTATGGTATGGTATGGTGGGATCGGGTTGTAAATCTATGGATGGGTTGGTTGTGTTTGGAAGATGATGTAAAGGATATTAAAAGGAATTATCCACAATGTAGACTAGAGGAATAAGATACAGAAAGATGGTCTGTCCATACAATGATCTACGGTTAGCAGATCGAATTTAATTCCTTTAATAGTATAGTCGAATCGATTGAGAAAGGTGAGGTGAATTTAAATTAAAGTTCCTTTTCCTCTTTTCCCTTTGGTAGAACCTTAGAATTCGTGAGTGAGGAAGCAGGCTGCTGCCGTGCACTTTCTATAAAGTATGATGCAAGGATGCCTTATAGCCTTGTACAGCCAGCCCGGTGGAGTTACCGTAAGCGGTAGGCGTTTAAGAAAACCCCGCCAGGAGTTTTAAAGATTTAAGCGCCAAACTATAACTCCCGAACTCCCGAACTCCGAAACGTATTTAAGATGTTGATAACAGATAAGAGATTTCCTCTAAATAACCTCCTCAATACTCGAGTGTAAGTGTATTATATTATTAATCATACTCGAGTATGATTTCACAAAGTATATTTATTAGGTTACTATTCGTAAACAAACCAAGCTCAATATCCTCTATACCAAAGCATATCAACCTACAATTACCATCACCATCACCAACCAACACCACATTCACAAGTCTCCATCCATATCTACCTAGGTATTCAAAAACCTTCCTTACCACCCCTCCTCCTCCCTTTCTCTCCTCAAGCTCCCCCTCCTAAACCCCCAACATCCATCCATCCCTCTCAAACTTCCCAATTCCTCCCCATCCATCCATCCACCTCCAAATCACAAAGCAAACCACCACTAATAATATTAAATATATTTAACTATTTATTCCATTATACTCATATGTATGTACTCGAGTATACGTGTAAAGTAAGTGTGGTACCGATATTTGTGTGGTAAGTTTGTGGTATGTTCCCTACCCTTCCGTTTCGTTAACTTCCCTTCCCCCCCTCCCCCCTATCCCTATCCCTATCCCACACCATCAATTCCATCACATCCAAGTCTCCAACCATCATTCATTCACTCCCACTTTATTTCTTGATAAACGATCCAAAAAGTAAAAAGTACCAAAGATACCACCCGCTCGCTCTATCCCTCCCTACCCATCAACCCAACTCAACATTCTACGAATGAATAGACGAACCCACCGCTTCCTGCATAGCCTCTGCTACCCTCCCCGCTCTCTCATGTTGATCTCGATCCGCATCCACATGTCTTTCCTCATCCCAAATATCTGTTTCGACCGATGTAGGTATGATCGTTTTCTTCTCCTCACCATCATCATCATCATCATCATCATCGCTATTCCCCTTCTCCTCGTCCCCATTTCTATCCCCCATATCCTCATGAAACTTCGACAAATTTCCCGGGCTTCCAACCCGCTTAGGCGCATCACTATCACTAATGCTTTCCACCGCCACCACCTTCCCATCTCTATCCCCACCCCCATTCGCCTCCACCTCCACCTCCGCATCGAATATACTCTCCTCAAAACTATCCGCCGTCTTCGGTCTCTCACCCAGCGGCGAATACCCCCCCTGCGAAGTCCGGGGACTTAGTGGACTCCTCTCAATGCCATTCTTTCCTTCACCCAGTAAACTAACATTTTCCTTCCCAAAAAGTCCCCTCGAATTCCTCTTTCCATTACTCGTAACCTGCGGCACCCTTTCCTGACTCCCCGAACTCCTTCCCCACCCTGACTTCCTCTTCTCTCCCATCCACGTGCCCCAACTGCCTATGTAGGCTCCCGCTCTACTCTGCACTGTCGTCTTCTGGCCATTGAAATCCGTTTGATGGGCCGCCGGACTCGAGGCTCCACTTGCAGTCGCCGCTTTCTCTACCGCAATTCTAGCCTCCTCATTCCTCTTCCTCTGACTTTCGCGGTAGGACTCCATATCCGCATACAATTTATTGAAAACGGTACTAGCCCTTTCTTTCCCCGCCGCAAGATTTCTCCCCAATACTTCCTTGCCCACCGCAAACCTTTCATCGAGATGCATTTCCTTGACTTGTTCAGCGATACGTCTTTGAACATCATCAATCGTAAGACCACCCGCACAAGGATGTTTGGGTTCCACGATGTCGAAAAGATGCGAATCCGTATGGTTATTCCAGATTTCATAGTTTTCACTCCGTGTCCACGCTTCGATCCAATCCATGCTAAAATCATGAGCAGGATCGCCTTCAACTTGTGGCAGTTGGGCTTTGGGGTTGTGAGCGTTGGCTAGAAGGTAGTTGTGGCATTTGACCGAAGAAATTAGGGAGAGGAGATATTCTTCAAATTGTAGACGGATGAATTCTTCGGAGCCAACATAGCCCATGGTTTTAGGTCGGCTGGGGTTTGATTCATCCCAAGTGTCATTGACGGTTTGGGTAATGAAATCGATCCAGCGTCGATCGGCCGCCGAGAGTACCAATGCGGACCTCAGTGAAGCCGATGTGATATTAATGGTAAGTTCATCTAGATTAATAAGAATATCGCTGTATCGATCTCTCTGTTGTAAAAGTAGAGAATTCGTCGAACCAACGATGTATGATTTTGTGCCGTAATCCGCTAATATATCAAGTTGCTGTAAAGGGGTATAAGGACCAAAAAGACTTCCCTAAATATCTGATTAGCAACAACTTCCTTCACATACCCTCAAAGAGCTATATTTACCCCGCCAAATATTTGCAAAGGCAATCCCATATAATTCAACAGGGAACTCCTGTCGCTCGTTTTCAAACTCGTCGGTTTCACAAGATTTTTCCTATAATCATCCAATTCCGGATCCGCACAATCTTGCAGGTTCCGTATCAAACCTGGTATTAGAGATATAAGTGAGAACTGCATCATGCATAACCTCTCGCATCTCGAACCAAAGAATAACATCTATACCCCAAGTCAATATACATTATCAATTTTCCAGGATAGGGGAAATACCTTCGGCTGCAACAAACAGCATTTAAAAAGCACCAAAGTCTGCCACTTAAACTCCTTAACCAATTCCCTCAAGCTCATCCCCAAATACTCCTCCATATCCCCTAACTCCCCTCTACTTTTCTCCTCGGCTAAACTCTCCTGAAACCTCCTCAATATCTCCGTATCTGTAAACTCCCGTTGTGCAAACCATGCTTTCGTAACAACTCCCAATCTCTCCCTCAACAGCCCAAAAAATTGCGGCGAATCGGCTATTACAACCACAGCCTTTTGCACCGTCGATCGAGTTACTTCTGCGGGACGATTGAGCAGTATTGATGCATCCATCTGTTGCGTGCAGGAGATACCGAAGAGGGATGTGGGAGGTAGATTTCCGCGGGCAGGTCGTAGGAGTGTAAAATAGGAGAAATCCTCTGCTGATCTGCCATTTGGATGATAAGTCAGCCTCAAGATCTCTTGAAAAGTTCATAATATGGGGGCAGTAACTTACGTATGCGCTCCATCACTCAATGCCATAAATGGTAATAAAGGCCATTCGTTTTCCACAGCAGGATCAGTCCCATCCTCTGCGCCAAACCAATATTCGACTTCAGGTCCCCTAATCAAAACTCATGTCAGCCAACTCTCCTCACTTCAGACTTCAGCCTCATATCTCCTTCCTATCACCCTTTTCCCATCTCCCATTCACCCCCCTCACCCAACCCCCCAAAAAAACTCACCTCGCATGATGAAAATCCACCACCGTAACCAATGGCACAAACCCCTTTTTACCCGCGGCACCCACCCCCTCATCCCCCTCCTTCATCTCAGTATTCTCCATCCAGTGCGCCTGTCCCTCTCCAATCTCCTCTTCCGAGCTATGAAGAATCGGCCGTCGATGCGTCGTCCCAATCAAGAGCCGCACTTTGTATCGAGTCCCTCTCACAGAATTCACTGCCGAATGGCTTTTATTAAGCTATAGGCCAAAAGCGACAAACGATCTCCCTGAATCTGTAAATGCCGGTGACCGAGCGATAGGTAGGTATGTAGGTAGGTAGATATTATATCTTCGTTTCTTGATCGTTTTGTTTTTTGTTTCGGTTCGATTCGTCCCCTTCACAATCTTTACTTCTGCTTGTCCTTATCGCCTTCGATATTTCGAGTGAACAAACAAAAAAAAGAGTAATCGGCTCGACCTCGTATTCAAATCATCATATTCCTCAAATCCCTGTTACTATTGTTTCCCACTCTGTTGACTTCCTTCCTCTCTCTCTCTCAAAAGATCAATTCGTCTCGCAGGTCTTCGGTATACTGTGAATTATGTCGTTCCGTCTCGTCCTATTAATCCTTCTTCTCCTTTCCCCAGCTCAAACCCCAATTGCAAATTGATAAATCGTTTCCAATCAATATTAACTAGTCAAAGCTCTCCTCAAATCTCCAGAGCTGGCTTCGATTTGCGAATCCAGTCTACCTTACCCCTCTGAGGCTCCGATCAATTAAACCCTGACGATCTCTATCCAAATCCCTCCAACCTATATTCGCAATTTCCAGACGACGTTCCAAAAGTTCCAGAAGATTTCCAGAAAGAAAGAATAAATTTCTCAGCCTCCCTCCCAATGAGGCTGGAGCGACGTTTATCGCAACTTTATCTATCGATCTCCTTCTCACCAATGCTGAATGCTCTCACTCATCAAAAACGTGCCTTTCCTTCACCTTGCTTTCCTTTTTCTCAACAATTCGATCCGCAATCACTGCATTTACGATAAAAAAACTCAACTCAGAAGTGTTTGATATCTTGCATTCATTAACACAATCCTAAATGTCCTATCCATCAGTTCCAATTCAATCCATCCAATCCATCCCACCTACCTCGCTGCAAGGCCAGCGAATAAGTCCAAGAAAACATCATCCTTGCCACCCTGTGCACGCCACATATATCCACTATCATCTTATTATCCAATACTTTCACGCGCGTTGCAATGCTTACTATATGTGCAGGGATTGGAAGATAGCCGACTAAAGTATCTGATCTAGTCACATGATCAGGAGAACATGGTTGAACGGTAACTCGAGTATGGGTGTTGGATGTCATCTGTCATTCCTGGATTGGGATCTGGAAGGTCTTGGGGGAGTGTTTGGTTTTTGTTTGTATCAGCTGGGTTTCATGTCAATGAAGATATCCCTTCTTCTAGGTGGCCATAGTATGAATCAATCATTTCTATCCAATCATTAAGGAGAAGATTCATTCGATAAGTATCACATTCAAAAAACATTGGCTTAGATGGGCCAATCATTATAAAATCGTTATTCATTCATTCTCTATGTCCATGTCCATTGAAACGCCAATAATCTTACTCGCCCGATCATCTAAGCACAACTTTTGCTAAAGGAAATTCATCGTTCTACTGCATGCGAAACCCCCTCTCCATCTCCACCACTCCAGTCAAGCCTTGCACAATCCATTAAGTCAGGGGCAGGAACCTCGCAAGTTCCAAAAACTTCGGAATAGCACGTCAATCCATGATCCCTCGGTGCAGCAACACGTACGCCAGAAGTCGAAGAAGAAAAAGCCGAAGCCGTTGCGTTGCATTGCATCGAAAATCACAAGAGAACACCCCTCTCAACCAACTATCCCATAATTGGGTATCCATCCCATGCTGAAGGTTACACCTAAGCGAAACCTTTGTTAACCAAATTTAATCGAAAAATAGAGACTCATTTTACAGACTGTCCGCCAGATTTTGGGCGTCGTTGACGTTGTGATAATCAAGAATTTCGGAGTACCTGTATAACATACCAAGTCAGTTATACCATTTTGGTCCTTCGCATCCACTCGATAAATCCAGAGACTTCTGCAGATTAAACACAGATCATCTAACTTTGTTCTTGTTGGTAATCGAAAAGTTGTTCGTACATCATGATTTTCCATGTGTCCACTGGAAGATCCGCGTCATTGAATGACCAGTCAAACTTCTCTTCTGATATTGGCTCATCCGTGGGGTCGTGGTAAGGGGAAAGGTATTCATGTGCCAATGCTTCACCCGCCTTGATTCGCTTTCTGGGGTCGAATACCAGCATCTTCTCAAGGAGATCAATAGCTAGAGCGAGTTAATGGAGGATTTCAGTATAATGGAGAGTAAGACCGGAGGCATACCCAGGGGATCCGCGTTACGGAACTTTTTAGCAAGCGGTTGTCTCTCACGCTTTGGCAAAGATTGCACAAATCGCAAGGTCTAAAATCATATTAGCAATATCTCAAGTCATCTGTACACTATCACTTACATTTTCACTGGCAATGGTGTGGATAACATCATCTGGTGGAGTTCCGAGAAGTTCGGTGATGATCGAAAACTGGTTGACATGATCCTTTCCAGGGAACAGTGGCTTTCCCTCCAACATCTCTGCGAAGATGCATCCCGCACTCCAGACATCCACTTCTACATCATACTTTTGCCACGTAAGCATAATCTCCGGTGCTCTGTAGTATCTTGTAGAGACATATCCGGTCATTTGAGGATCTTGAATACGGGCGAGACCGAAATCGCAGATCTTGAGGTCGCAGTTCTCGTTGACGAGAATGTTACTGGGCTTGAGATCGCGATGAACGACTCCTGCAGAGTGGACATATTTCAATCCACGCTAGGAGGCAACATTAGCTTGATTATTTTAAAGTGGCACAACTAAAATGAGGTTATTACCAAGATTTGATATAAGAAATATTGAATGAATTGCTTCTCGAGTGGTCGCGAGGTCAACAAACGATGTAAATCTGTGCCGAGGAGCTCGGTGACGAAGTAGCTAGAACGATCATCAGCGTGGAACCCTCTCAAATTCGATAGGGCCTACATACATATCCTCAAGAGGTGAAATGAAGATATCACTGAGTGAGATGACCTGTAAATATTTAGTATCGCCACCACCAGCCATTATTGTGTATTTGTGTTATCGTAATTAAACGTACGTTTTCGTGCTTGAGATGTTTCAATAGCTTCAACTCTCTGTAGGTTCTCTTGGATAGGACCGGTGTGCTGAAAGGTTTCATGATCTTTTTGACCGCAACATTTGAGCCGGTGAGATTATCTTTGGCAGAGCTGTGCAGACCAGAAGAATTAGCATTTTGTTGGGACAAAGTAGCTATTTTACCCCTCAATTGAAGATTTCATCACGAAAAGAGCAAAAAGCGAGAGAAAGTATCATACCAAACGAGACCAAATGCGCCCATGCCCACTGGCTGTAAATCAGAGTACCTATATCACATGAACATCAATATTTGTAGTCGTGAAAGAGTTGATTGACAATCTCTTGTCGTTTGCTTGACTTATTGTAGCCCCGCGTACCTTGAAGTAATCTCAAAGGTTGTACCGAAGATCTGAGCTCTTACGAATTCAGCCATTTTGAATTGCGGTTTCTCTTTTTTTGAGAAAAGGTATCAAAAAAGGGTTGTTCGTAAGAAAGAAAGAAGGGTCCGGTTGGAAGTGAGAAGAAGAAGAGGTTTGGTTGAAGGGTGATGTAGGTTGGTGGTGAAAGAGTGAAATTCGGGTAGTGGTTTGGTTTAATACTGTAGGTGGGATGGGATGGATGATAGGAAAGAAACTGCCGATGGGTTTTGAGATAGGTGGGAAATTGTCGCCTAACACAGTTTTGAATCAATCAATCCCCTTCTGGAAGTAGCAAAGCAGCGAGAATCGAGAATCGAGAAATCGAGAATTAAACTTTCGGGCGGCGGTCCGAGATCTAGACAATAAGTAATTGTAATTAGACCCCTTGATGAAGTACCGGTAACACAAGATGAATATGGAATAATACACAATGAATATGTAATATGTAATATGAATGAATTTCTGGCTTTGTTCCGTGTGCAGAAGTTGCTTCGTTATTGTGTAATATTTCGTGTTGTATATATTTATTATTATTATTAAAAAAGAATATTCTAAATATCTTCTTTCTTCAATGAGGGTTGTGAATAGTTGAATTCGGAATTAAGATATGAACGATCGTTACTCAAGAGAGAAGAGGAAACTAATAAGTTTATATAATATAACTCTAGTATTTCACAGCATTAACAAGAAGCAATGTTTACTGTAATATCCTGCTGCTTTGTGTGATCAGCCGCTCATTGCCGTTTATTCCCTTTTGATATTCATTTAGTTACTTATAAGTATATACTTAAAAACTTTATTATCTATCAATATCAGATGAACTTGTCTAGTCCGAGTAGATATATGTACACGTAGATATTTGATAGCTTGATAGTCTTATTTATTATAAATTGATTAATAAGGTTATTATACCCATCACCACTTTTTGTTTAATAGATTATAGTTTTTAGTTTTAAAACGGCAATAGATCATTTCAAGGGTTACTCCGAGCTCTATTGGAGTTACATACAAGTACCACTGACGTCATCTTATAATGATCTATCTCCAACTTTTTTCATTCACTAAAAACCTATCTTTTTCTTCAATCAATGAATCGATCGAGGACTTAGCCAAAAAAGATTTTCTCAAAAGCATGGAGAAAGCCGTATATCAAATCAATTACTTTCCAATAAAACCTTCAGACTTCAGAGAGAGAACCATGGAAAGTATAGCGTCATATGTACCCCATCCCACAATTCAAACTTCTCTATAAATCAAGATATTACCCGTCACCTACCAATCAGCCAGTGTTACAGTAGATTATCTTATTAACAAAAAGTATGAATACCCTTACTCAAATCCTTACTAATGAATACTCGAGTAACATCCTAGGTAAGACAGTACGAGTAAGTACAAATTAAAAAGAATCCCGCAACTCAAACATAGCATTCTGATTTCACCATGCTCTTCGGTATGGGAAAACTCAAACTCCGATGAATATTAACCCCCTATTTATGATTGGTTGATATTATTCTTTGGGATCCACATGGACAATGCTTCAATGTTGTATTCAATATATTGATTTCCTTTATACTTTATGCAAGCGGCACTATCAGGACTATTTAAAGGGAGAGTAGGTACTGGTTTCGTACGGAACTCGATCAATACATAACCGGTTACCGTCTACCCGCTGGAAGTGTTATTCTCAATCGGTTATACCTACCCAAGTATGGTTCCCCCCCTTTCTCATGAACGCAGATCAATGTACCGAAACGCTTGTTTGGCTTGTTCGAAGTCTTAAAACTAGGATACTACCGGTACCAATACAGCAAAACTATGCCCTACTGTTTTGAACTAAGACATCAAAATCGCTGTTGTCAGCCACGCACCATCGACAACGTGCAAGTTTGTTCAAACGACGCATTCTCGAAACTTAGGTATTGAAGTTCCCTATGATCTCTGGATATTACAAAAAAAAAGGGTAAAGAATGTTCTCCTGCTCTCATGTTGTAGATATTTCTTGCAACTTTGACTTATTTCCCCATTCTCCTTTCCTATCTCCCCTATGGCTATTCACCCCACACATCTACTCATGCCGCCAGAAAGTCCGCAACTCGGGTATACTCGAGTACCAGCACATACCATATAATGGTAAACTACAAGGGAATAACCTAGTTCTTTTTACTCTTCTCGAAGGGTTTAATAGCATAAGTCAAGTCGACAATTCAAGGTATATACTGGTAATCAAAAGCACATGGATGCCTAGCTCTTCCTCAGGGGATGAATTTGGCAGCTTTCTGTCATTGACTTTTAGCTAGTTGATCTTCAACCCTACTGATGCCTACCTCCGGAAGTGGTGGAGGTGATCTACCCCGCAGACAAGAAGTGGTCTGAAGAACGATTCCCCCCTACTCTCTTCAATCCCCGCCGAAACAATTTTGTTCATGGATTCGGCAAGAATGAATGAGAGTGATGAACAAGAGAAGGTTAAGAGGTAGTCCACCATATTGATAATTTCAAAATCAATCATCCATTATTTGCCAATTTTAGGAGGACACCTATAGCAGCATTTCAAAGCTCAACTTACTCATGCCGTCAGAAAGTCCGCAACTCGGGTAAGCTAGCACGTGCCATACGGTGGTAAACTACAACAGGAATAGCCTAAACTTCCCGAGTTGCAAACTTTCTGGCAGTATAAACACAGTGTTTATTGTATATCTCAAACTTGCAGATCATTTATCAACATCATGTTGGGGAATCCGTGCCATACACTACACCTCTTGAGCGCAATTCCTTGTGTCTGTTGCTTATTTCGAAAGTGTCCAATATTATTCAGTTTCATGGGAACATCAATAGCAGTACTCTAACTTCTGAAGCGCAACTCACTGTGCTTGTTGCGCATATCAGTTTTTCAATCTCATGAAGGGGAATAGTAAGTTAGTAACCGCATATCACACCTCTAGCAACATTTTATCTCGCAGCTCATTGTATTTGTTGCACAACTCCCAACTTGTCAATCTTTTAGCATTGTGCTAAGAAGACGAGGGTAGTTAGCAACGCTTACCACCCCCTTCAGCAATATCTCAAAGGGTGTACTATGGTTCTGTTTGCACATCTCACAATATATTGATCAGTTGGGATTTTTCGAGGAGGAAAAGACTAGAGTGGAAAATCTACAAAGATTCTTCTAATGGTTCTACAGACCAAATACACGCTTAGCTTCTTAATAGTTGCGCTTGGGTGAAGTCACAATGGTGCATCTTACTGCAAAAACTACTTTTCAACCTTTGAACAAATCAAAATCCTGATTTCAAGTAAAAGTTCTCCTGTTAAGTGGCAGGCCATGTTCCTAGCAGTCTGTCGTTTGCGAGGACACAACTACCCATATCTTCTTTCGTCCTTTCATATTCGCATCTCAAAAATCTGATATCTTTGATAATTTTAGAGTATCTTTGTGTTTCATTTTTGGATAACGCTTTTTCAACTGTTTTCAAAGAGGATTAGTTCACTTCCCGGAAAGAATCTGATATCAACTCAGAACCTTGACTATCTCAGCTAGCCGGGTACCGGTAGTAAGACTTACTCATGACACAAACTCACTTTGTAGGAGGTCTTGATTTACAATCAGGGTTGACTTTTGAACTTTGAGGCATGATGATTCGTCCATAGCATCGCACGCCTTGCTTAATTTCTCCTCTTCTAAGATCACACTATTCAGCAAACAGTTCCAGATATAGATAAGATAGCTTGACGGGGTTGTTTATACGCAGTATAGGACTCAATAGTTAAGTACACGTAGTTTGACCAGTGCACTTATTAAATTGGTAGTTTAGTTTTGGTAAATCCCAACAGCCAGTTTACTAACTGGTAACTGGTTCAACCTACCACTGACTACACTGTGTATACAACGCCAGATGTTATGCATCAATGTAGATTATATTGAGTAGATTATTAGACACTTTCTCTGGAAATCTCAAATTGATATATTCGAGTAAAAACATACTCAATAAATATCTGTTACAATTTATACTATAATTACTATTACCTTACAGTGAAAGAATCTTGCCAGGTATGTACTCGTACTACCATACCTACGTAAATAATTCATACTCGAGTAATCGTGTTAACGAACCATTAAAAATTCCATGTGTTTCATGAGGGATGGGATGGATGTAAACTTGTACAAGTCATGGAAGTATCATAGTTTATGAATTCATTTCTTGTTTTGAACGAGGTATTAGTATAAAGAGAAGGGAGGGAAGGAAGGAAGAAATTGGGAGGAAGGAAAGAAGGAGGGAAGCGAGGATTATAGATGGGTGATGCTTTTATAGATATATATCTAAGGTTAGCTGAGTAGAGTTCATTTACTATAAATTCAACTTGAATAACTAATAACCGCCAATATATTTGTCAGAAATATCATTATTATATCCAATATATAAACCCCAAGACAAGAGGATCAAAGTATAGATCAATCCATAATATACACTAATATAACACAATCTTGCAACCAATAGTCGATTTGTATAGCTCTAGCTTCCAGGTGCTAATATAGCAAATTAGCAATAGTACGTATTTCCATAGTGTTACAAGATTACATGTTAGCTGCTTGCCAGTGTCTAGTTAAATAGTTCGTACCTACTAGTGAGTATTATAGAGTTAATAGGGATCCTGACACTTATTTCTTTATTGGGTTGGTTACTAGAGTAGTGTAGTGTTAACTAGGGTTAGAGTAGAGTAGATGGGATGAGATGAGATTAGATTGGTTTGATAAATACTCGAATATGTTGATACTCGGTTTTCTTTCACGAGTAGAGAAGCGAAGGGGACATTGGAGTATATATCTTCTCATAGATATTATACCATAACAAATAATCAATCTAGTTATTCCCAAAACCAACCAACTAACTAACTGACAAACCAACATCTACTACTTTGTACTTTCACATCATTCTCACTAATCAGTGCTAGTAACATAACAAAATCCTACAATTCCAAACGGAAGTTAGAACCCACTTCCTAACCAACACCGAGATTTTGACAACAGAGGGCCTAGGGTATCCCGTATACTTTATCAAATCATATCTTCATACCTTCATACCATCTATATTATACTATTTGACTCATATACTCGTATATAAACCAACCAAGCAAAACACCCACTTACTCTAAATAAATAAATAAATAAATAAATAAAGCTACCGTAGCTTTCCCAACTCCCAACTCCCAACTCCCCTATAAGCCCTCCCTCACTCTCTCCGCCCCCTCCCTCCACACACACACACACACATATATTATTATTATATTCCTTCTACTTCTTAATCTACTTCTTATACTCATATACCCTCGATTAATTACAGTACAAATCCAAATCTTTTGCTACAAGTACTCATATTATATATATTATGTTAGTAGTAATATCTAGTATCTAGTATCTATCATAACCGGCTCCTAACATCCTAATATCCTAATACAAGAAAGATAATCAACAGACTACAGATAACTCAGTAGATCACCGATGATTTGATCAACTGAATTAAGATGCCTTGGGGATACTAAATCTGCGTTCTGCGTTCTGCGTTTAGTGTTCAGTGTTTGGTATTAAAATGTAAGGATTTGAATTTTACATCTTCTCTCTCCTTCATGGCCAGCAGATGGATGAGTAAAATATGATATCTAACCAAGCATCCACTGTTCACCTCGAACCTAGTTCGAGACCATCAGTTATTCACTTATCCTTGATATACGAGTAAATTCCATACCAAAATCCCGATTCACATAATCGTACACTTTTCAATTTTTTTTCATGTTTTCAAGCTATAGCTAACAATATACATTTTCCTAATACTAAAACCAGCCCATCCATCCATCATAATCCCAAATCTGAGAACTCTCCGCCATCAACGTTAATGCTGTATGAAATCCGTATTTATCCTCCACCAGGTACCCCGAAAAAGCCCCCTAAAAATCATAATCAGAACTTCTTGTTTCCCGGAACATATGACGCCTATACATTAATACAATAATTCCCCCCGAATCACCGAATCACCGAATCCCAAATCGAACCCATCAAACCAAAGTTATAACGCCCAAAAAGAACTAGATCCTAACATTTTGGTATCAGACTCTGGTGTCCGATTCGCCTGTCAAGCTTTCTATTCGAAGTAATGTAAAATAAGATAAAGCTCTATTCTTGTTTTGATATTGAAAAATGCATGTTCGAGAACGCCACATATATGGAACAATCTGGACGCCTTGGTGATGCAGTGTGTACTCCGTAAGAAATTATCATTAAAAAGAACCGAAAGAGAGTTCAGTTCACCTTGAGTTCCTAGGGTGAGTTAGGCTTTTTTAAAATCTGCGAATGGAGCAACAGATGGTTCGGCTCCAGGAGAAGGATCAGAGCCATCAGATGAACCCAGACCACTGTCTCGCGTAAAAATCTTGGGGGCATCTGGTATTCCGGTTGTAGGAGAAGTATTAGAGGAGACAGGTGATTCCATATCACCCTTCGACACAACAATATTAAGAGCCTCGTCGATGGATTGGGAGGCTGAGGGTGGATGTGCATTGTCTTTAAATAATTTCTCTGAGAACATTTGTTCTGGAAGGAGATGGTGTCTCTTCTCCGGTACCAATACTCCTGTGATCGGGTGGCCTCCCTTTGTAACCTGATATATTCCATGTCTCGAAACCGGTGGTCCATAATGCTGTGGAATACCATTTGCAAGCCACGTGGCAAGCACAGCTTCTTTATCTCGACGTCCACCCTCCTTGACCATATTCGTAATCCAGTTCTCAATACCGGCTTTGCTCTGTGCCACAGTCTGTTTCTGCTTGTACAGTTGCACTTCAATTTCTCTCTCAATCGCATCTCTGGAGGTGCAAACTCGACATGATCTTTCAGCGTAGGTGGCATCAAGTCCGTTTTTGCATTTCCACCAGCCTCCTTGTCCCGCAATTCGTCCAATCTGTTTCCATTTCTCATGATGATCGTGATACTCTAGATTCCAAAAATGACGTGCTGGGTCTTCATTGTGAGTATATCCCTGCTCGATTTCTACCAGGCAGACCCAATTATTGATCATTTGTTTGAAATGATACCACGGCTTCTGTATTCCTTCCGTTGGAAACCATTCCGGTAGATATGAGCCGCAAGGGTCTCGCTCCGGAAGCGTAATAGGGGATCCAGGTGGAATGTGTCTCTCTTTGCATTTCTTGCAGTACTCGATCTGTGCTCCTTCGTCCATATTTCTGATAAAGTCTGCTTTTTGTTCAACTCTGTAAACACCGACATATTAGTAATCGTATACCAGTAAAAGCTTGGGGAGGAATGTATAGTATGAATAATGTGTGGGGACGAGACGTAGCTAATAAATCTCTCGAACAAATAAGAATTGAGAGTCTTACCCGCTGTAGATCTCACCAATAACCGAAGGTTCAAAATCTATCCATGAGTTTTGTGTAAAGTCTATTCCCGTGGCTGCCATATTACCAGTTGATTGTCTTCGCCCAGTATGTGCAGATTTAACAGGCACATCAGGAGATGGTGTATTCTTGATGGCGAGTCCAGCTCCATCAAGGGCAATATCAAAAGTATCATATGGATGTGGATCGTACTCCTTCTCTACCTCTCTTCCCAGTTCTGTATAGGCCGAATCTGCTGGTGGAGGAAACCGCATCCACGGTTCTTCTGGCTCGTTTGGCCTTGACGCAGGAAGTTCGATATCCTGGGGTGCCAGCTGACGGGCGAAGCCGATGATAGGTATCGCACCGGTAGGCTCATACTCGTTGTATGTATAAGTGGTCACTCTACATGTATAGGGATTCTTGATGGTAGCAGTCACGGCCCTATGTGTAAGAGGTGCAATTGTCTCGGGGTTTTGATGAGATCGTTTATGTGATGAATTGGGATTCAGATCATGTCGATGTTGGACCATTAGGTATCTATAATCTGATGAATTTTTGCTCTCAGAAGCCACAGCTTCAGAACCTAGGGAGGTGATTTTTATTGAATTGGCACCATCTTTGGATATGGGGACTGGTCCGGTTTCGACATTGAGGCGGATTGGACCAACATCAGACACCACCACAGAACTCATTGGTGAAACAAGTCTGCGATGAGGCCAACTAAAATTATATGAAGTAGGAGTAAAACTATATGTATCCTTCGTTGTATTGGTTGTTGTTGTTGTTGTTGTTGTTGAAGGAGATGTGCGTCAACAATTATGAATATAAGTCTGGAGGTAAACGTATATGAATACAAGTCTGAAAGTACACGTAGGTTAGTAAACCGTTAAGCTGTAAGCATTGATTAAGTTTAACACTATTCCAATTCAGTCTCTTAGTATACTGGAAGAAACCCACCTAGTACCTTAACTTGGAATGGACTAGAACCTCCAATGAGCCAATGACCGAAGTGATATGACTACCTAGTAAGTAAGTGGCCACTGGCTAGTCTGTAATATGTAATCTGTCGAAGTTGAAGTAAGAAAATTGTGTACGGATTGTACCATGAGTAAGTGGGTAGACGTTTCCTTTAGGGACTTGTTGGTGATGAGGAATTGTGGAAGGTAGAAGTGAGTAAGATATCGACTAGAGAGCCAGAGAGGGGGGTTGTTGATATATCAATATAATGGGAGAAAGCAAAGTTGTCTGTAGTATTACGGTTGGCTGGTTGTAGGTATTGCCGTACCGTAACTAAGCTAGAGTCCATGATGTCGTTAACTAGGTATATGGTTTCCAGAACTGGGTTTTCATATATCGGAACATAAACAACCTTTGATTGAGTGGACCGTATAAGTGAGACTCATGAGGGAATGAATGCACCACAGTGAATGAATATATCGGATGATAACACTCTTGACATTACTCGGATGAAAGTAATTATCAAAACACCAATGATAGAGTACCTACCTAGGTTATAGTTTTATCAATGATTGGAAGAAACCAAGTGCGAAATGAAAGTTCTATGTTTAAGATAGGTTACTAGGTACCTAGGTAATGGCAATGGTTTCAAATAGGCAAGTATGGAAGTGGAAGGTACTATGAAGAATCAAACAATCAAATTGACTTGAGAATAGAAGGTATAATGAAGAACCAAATAATCAAATTGACTTGAGAATAGAAGGTATTATAAAGAACCAAACATTCAAATTGACTTGAGAATGGAAGGTATAATGAAGAACCAAATAATCAAATTGACTTGAAAATGGAAGGTATTTGAATAAGCAAACAATTGAATTGACTTGACTTTATACTAAATACCCTTAGGGAGGCACCAAGTAGAAGCGACAATGATCTATCAAATATTGTTTATTACATACATTATTTACATAATATTGATACAATATAAATATATATATATAAACTGTTGAACCTTTGTGTTCCTTACTTTATAAGAGGTCCAACACTAACCTGTTCCCTCTTTGCCAAAATAGTATCCTGCTCTGACTTCAACTTAGATTTACCCAACCGCTTTTTATCTACCTCATAACTTGAAAATCTTCCCTTTGCACCATGCTTAAGCTTTGTGATCATGTCTCCAGCTTTGCCTTTCGTAAGGTCTGCAGAGGTCAATTGATCATCTTGTGGTCTAAGCTTATTGAGGAACACTAATTGCCCCTCTGTCGCAGGTTTAGTTCTCCAAAAAGCATTTCTGTTTATAAATTGAAGAGGAAACTTTGCGGCCGCATATGTATCAGCCGCGTGAATGGCATCCATCATGGTTTCCGTAGTGGTAAGGTGGCGCGGCCTTGCGAATGGTGATTTCGACTTGGTAACCCCCAGACTAGCCAAAAGTACAGTCTCGGTAACGATGAACGTGTCCATCGAGTCCTTCGACTCTTTCTCAATCTTTACGTTAGATCCATTCGAACTACTCAAAACGTATTTGTCCGAACCAACGCATACCCATGCGAAACGGGAGATGGCTCTGATATGTCGTTCTGAAGAGGTGTCTTCGATAAGGTCATAAACAGAATCATAGTCGGTAAAGCTCACAGTCCTGATGTTAGAGCTTGCAGATGTTGGAGGGGCTTTGGATACCACGTCTTCGGCCTCTTTTCTTCTTTCTTCTTCCTCTGCTTTTCGTTCTTTGAGCGATTTCATATCATCCGGGTTCGCCTCATCAATGAGTTCGGCAGGATCAAGGCCGAACAGTGTCGGCGTCGTTACAATGCCAGTCGAGAGGGTGGCAACCATATCAATTATGTGACAATTTTCTTTTCCGGGATGTAATCTCATACCTCGACCAATCATTTGAACGAGAAAATTGCGCGATTTAGTGGGTCTTGCTAATAACACGCAGTCAATGTTCGGAATATCAGTCCCTTCGGTGAAGACCCCGCAGTTGATCAATACTGGGAACTCTCCACTCCTGAAAGCATCAAGTCTTGCACTCCGCTCGATCTTTGGAGTATCGCCCGTTACGAATTGTGCATCGATTCCATATTCACGGAACTTGTTGGTCAATCCTCCCACGTGAGCAAGATCCACACAAAAGACTATTGTCGATTTCCTTTCTTTGGCCTTTGCAAACCAACTCCGCACGGTGAGCTCATTAATCTGATCGGTATTGACAACCTGCGACAATTCTCCAGATTGAAAATCACCGCTCGGACCCTTCTTTACGGAAGAGATATCAGCTGTCGACTGCACAGTAGTGAAGATGACACCGGATAGCCAATTGTCTTTGATCATATCAATGTAATCTTTGTGATAGACAATCTGGTCAATAGCGGCGCCCAATTTCAATCCATCAGTACGGGACAGGGTGGCGGAGACGCCTACGAGAGCAGGAGAGCTTTCCCGCTTTTCAGAAAGTCCAAAATGAGCTAAGGTCCTCAAGTATTGTGGTGCAACAATATGATGTGCCTCATCAACAAGTATCAACTTGAAACGCGTAGCTTCAAACTTTTCGATCCGGTCACCAGATCCAATACTTTGAATACTTGCGACTGTAATATCTGCATATCCACTAGCATGCATTTTCCCCATCTCGATCTCAATGCGTTTATCGGGGTAAGCGTTTTGACAATGGCGAGCTGCTTGCTCAACCAGTTCTTGCCGATGAGCTAAGATCAGTGTTTGGGTGGCAATCTCAGTATGTGGTTGGACTCGATCAATCAGCTGTGTGAAGATCACCTGCGAAATGTGATGAGCATACGAAAACAAGAATATTCGGCATGAATGTACTCACAGTCTTCCCACTTCCGGTAGCTAAAGACACACCCATGCGTTTGTGGCCTTGATCCAGATGAGATAGCACTGCTTGAATACATTCTTCCTGGTATTCTCTCAAAACAATGGTTTGACGGGGAATCACCACAGCCGCTTTCTGCACTTTAGGGAGGGCAGCAGCTCGCGCGTAACGTCTGACTGGGCTTGGTGCCCTCAAAGGTCGCCACGGCCTTGAAAATAGCCATAACATCCGTCTCGAAGTAGGAGGCATGATAATCTGCAGTTGCCGTTGATAAATTGCAGTCACACACCCATTGACTTTTAAGCGCGATAAACGCGAGTTGTTCTATACGATCCTTGTGAAATCTCGGCATTCATTTTCAATTCACTACTAATTACAATTACTCGAGTAGGGGTCGAGATATTATACGTTACATAATTCATAACATTTATTGTCCCTGTAATCTATTAACAATAATCAAGCGGAATATATCAGGCATGTGATTTGTGTATTACTTCAATGTGATCTGATTGGTTAAATCGAGGCGAGAGTAGCGGAAACTAGATAAAAAACTAGAACGAAAGCTGATGTCTAGTAGATTGCTAAGCCGGATTGAGCTATATATGATGAGTTAAGGTGAGCGATTATATTCAGATAGCGGAGATAGATAGTATAGAGAAAGAGAGTATATTAGCTTTTATTATATTTAAATCGTAATCTATATCTCTCTATTCTATCGATCTGACTAATCGAAATTCTGACATATTATTATAAATATAAAATATAGTTATATAGATTAAGTATATAATTATCTTATGAATTACTCGAGTATATATTTTGTATATCTGTAATTCAATTTATTTTACTTTTCCCCACAAAAAGAAATAAATATTTCACTTATGCGCAATTATTTATATTCAAAACTGTCCAGAAAGCTGAGTTTCGGGTTTCGATCCATATTACGTCTCGATTTATCGCAAGCTATGTGGACGAGAAGAGCACAACACCTTTACCGATATATACGCTTAAAAGATCGATAGCACATATGGATCATAACGATTCCGATCCATTCGAAGGCCCGTTTGATATCCCCGAACCCGACTCAGGATCAGCCTATGAGAATTCTGACAGCGATTTTGGGCAACGGTCACATGATAAAGGAGCGCTTGCAGGCGATTCTCGATATGAGGGAAGAGAAAATGAAGATAACATACCTTCGGAAGGAGAAAGTGATTCTTATTCGACTTCTCTAGCAAATCCAAATCCAGATAATCAATATACGGATGAATGGATAAGTGCAAATGCCCTCAAATGGGCAGCTACTTTTGTACCTCCCGAAGTGGAAGACATTCCCATACCAACCAGAAGAGCCTACCGTGTTAGAAGCAAAAAACGAAAGTTAGAGCGACCAAATGGGAATTCGGCGAGAGCAAAACGTGTCAAAGAATTTTACAGCAAAGATTATCGCCATCTGCTGAACATTGAGATTTTTGACGCAGGGGCGAGGTCAATTCACGAAGACAAAATTCCTTTGAAAGGCAGTCAGATTAGTTGTTCGATGTGGTCTCCTGAGGAAAAAGACTTGTTCTTTACCGGATTGTCAAGATTGGGAAGAGATAATGTAAGAGCTATTGCTGCACGTATTGGGACCAAATCGGAGGTTGAGGTGCAGGATTATATGCAAATACTGCAGCAAGCATTGAAGGAGAAGAAAATAAACGATGCGCGACTGCTGGATGTCACAGAATTTCCTGCTGCGGTCGAATTTACTCCAGAATGTTGTGATATTATGGAGCGAGCGGCGGATGGCCTTGCTTCACGACAGGAGCGACATGAGGAGGATATTGAGGAGGCTAAATGGGGTGAATATTGGCTTCTTACGGAAGAATTGAGTAAGTCGCTGGAACAGAAACGGAACGCGAGCAAGATCGAAGGCGACGAGAACACGCAGGCTTTGCTACCAGCAGTCAGACTTCTAAACCTCAAAAACTGGCTTGACCTATCAGAGACAGTGTTTATGAACGCGTCCGAGCCCAGATGGGAGGATAATTGGAGGCAAATAGGAGAACGTGGAGAAACCCCCGCTATCCGCGCAACCGCTTTTGACGATTTTTATTCGTTAACAGTCAGTATCACGAAACGTCTCATCTCAACCGTTCTTTTCTGCACCATGTCAAGAATGCGAGCTATGGATTCGAATAAAACTAAAGCCGCAGATATCAACGTCAATGACGTAGAAGCTGCGACTGAAATTCTAAAAATGGACTCTAATAGCAACGAATTCTGGATAAAATGCGCCAGAAGAAATCATCTCTCTATTTTTCGCCACGATGAACCGAGCTTCCCAATAATGACTTACCCAGAGGTCGAGAAAGAACTACGTGAAAAGTACAACGAAAGGAGCAGATCTTGTTCCCGCAGTCGTCCGCACGTAGACCATTCAGAGAATATATCAGAAGTATATACATCCTCCTCCGATTCTCACCTCGACTCCGATACCGACGCCTCTGAAGAATACAATAGCCCCGATGAATTCAGCGATAATCCTTTTACGCAACAATCTCCATCCCAACCGCAACCGCAATCCCAGTCACAATCCCAACGCAAACCGCACCTCTCACCCGAAGCCTACGAGCACGCACTCGAAACACATATCTCCGCCTTCGACGCACAAGCCAGCAAAGTCGAAGAACAGCGCATCTGGAAATTACTGGGACAAGATTCACCCATGGACATCAAGGCCGAGGAAGACGAAGAATTGCCTAAGAAACCTGCTAAGAAAATGGAGGGAGAGGAAGAATATAATGGGGAGGAATGGAGAGCGAGGGAATTTTGGAGTGAATGGGAGGTGATGGGTGTGGTTGGCGATGAGGAGTTTGTGAGGAATAGGAAGAAGGGTGGGAGGAAAGAACGGAGTGGGAGGTCGGGGAAGAGTCGAGAAGGAAAGGGAATGGCGACGAGAACGAGATTGGGTGGGAGGAGTGAAGAGTATGTTATTGAGAGTGGCAGTGATGAGGAGAGAGGGGACGAAACGACGTCAAAGGACGTGGACATCGATATTGCTAGAGTTAGTAACGGCCACCACGACGAAAGTGGTGAATTAGAAGACGCTACCAAGCATAGATCTTATGCTGTCTATAACAGCGATGATTAGCACGATATCGAAAACATAGTGCACCAATGTAGAATATAAGTGCTGTTTCATTATCTTAAGAATACACATGAGCACGCAAGAAGAGATATGAAAAGTAAATGCATAAAACCCCTCTCTTCTGAAGGCACCTCGCGGATCTCAAAGTACAAACACATACATGTGCGCAATTTTATCACGCAACGACCAGTAAATATTCCATATTCAACCCCAATTGCGCCTTGTAGTACCTACAGTCAAGCCATTCCTTGCCTCCTGCATGCTCGCATCATTCCTAGATATCGTAGCTCTTGATCTGTCCTTCTGCACTCAAAGGCTGAACGCTTCCTGGGGCAGCTGAGACACCATTAAAAGACATTTTCTCCCCTCCTTGCATGACATCTTGTGCCATTTTGATTCCCTGCTCTCCACCCGTGGCGGCGGCTGTTTTCAGTCCTTCCTGTACATCTCTAACACGCTTTTTGAAGGACAGCCGGTCCAAAAAGAGTTGCTGACGACCTCTTTCTAGCTCTCTTCGCTCTGCTTGTAGAATATCCTCCATTTCGTTGAACTGCTTCAATTTCAAATCGAGCTTCAATGATGTGATGTTCACGGCTGCTGATACTAAGCGAGTCATTTCACGCTCTTCGTGGGACGCCAAGGCACCGGCACGACCGGCGGTCGCGACCAATGGAAAAGCCGCAATATCACTCAATGATAGTTTAGTAGACTGGGTGTTGTCTATCTCCATCGAATCCGACTCCATTTCTTTCCCCTTTTCTAATCCTTGTGGTTTCTCAATCTTTTCTCGTAGACTTCTCCTCATTGCGTCTACCGTCCTGCCAGCCGAAGCTGCCGTAATCTTAGGGTCCGTAAGACTTGCCAGAAAACCAATCACAGACATAAGCGGATTGTCCGCTTGACTAAAAGGAAGCATGCCGTTCTCAGGGCCTAACAGACCAATACCGATGGATTTGTCAGATTTGTCGGTGCTGCTTGGCTCAACATCGACATATTTATCTTCGATTTCGAATTGCAGGAATTTGACCACACATTCCTCCTTAGTTCTGGTACCAACGTACTCCGCGACTACCGTCCAGTCGTCATCGTTAGTCTCCAAAGCCTCCAAGAGTCGCAGAACCTCGCCATCACTCCAATCACGGGCGATTCCAGGAGTGGCGCTATATGTTGGATTCTCAATCTTCTGATACTGTATTTGACCATGATTGTGGGGGTATCGACTTTCTATGAAACAGTTTGAACAGATATCAGACTTAGCCTTGGTGGTTCCAGAAGCTGCTGGGTCGGCCGGAGACATATAATGGTAATACACACGAGTGCAGTCAACACCACAAACACAACAGAGGATTTTAGCTGTTGGGGGCTTTACAATGTCCTCGATGGACTTTTGAACAATATCCGAAGTGCCATTGGTGCTCGCACCCTCACCATTTGTTTGTTTTTTAGAGTCCGCACTTAATTTGTTTTCTTTGGCAGTAGCGTCGTAGATGTTACGACCTATCTGCAGGTTCAAGTCCGACTTGGGAGCTAGCTCTGCAACCGCCTTGGCCTCTGTATCTTTATTTTCCTTGCCCTGAAGCACCAACGGATCGGCGGAAGGCTGCCACGGCTGCATGCCACGGGGGGTATCGCATATTACCTTGAAATGGCCAGTAAACGGGGGACCGCTTTGCGAAGGTCGCTGTTGTGCGTCAACCTTGACTCGTTAGCAAATTGGGAACGTTCAACCAGGTAAGAAATAGCATACTTGATAATTGATTAAGCCCCATTGCTCAAGAAATGCATGAACACGCATGATAGCGCAAACATCTCCGGCCAGATTTCTTCGGCATGCCGTTACCGTCAAGTACTCTATCGGGTTCAATCGCCAGGTATTGACCATGAAGTCCCGGTAATCTTTATAGACAGCTAGAGTCTTGCTCCGATTGCGATTGTTGAAGAACTCCGGCAAAGATTTCTTCTCGACGGGTGCAACAAGATGCATGTCGAACCAGTTGGCATAACTCGGTATTATAGCCGAATGTCCTTGTGATATGAGATGCCTCCTTGCTGACGCTTCGATCGAAGCCTTGGTCTTTTCGACTTGTCCAACTGTGGTACCATTCTCTCCGTCGCCTTCTTTACTTTCGTTCACATCGTCCTGTACTTGAGAATCACCCATCTCCTCATCCTTGGGTTCATCTGCTTCTGGGCGAGGTGCGTCAGGCGCATCGAGAGGATTATCGGAGACAGGCGCAATTAAATCTTTCTTGATGGCTGGATCGATAGAACCAGCTTCACCCATTGGGGTATCTGTGGATTGTTAGCTGTTGAAAGGTGCATGTGGCGATGATATATACCTTCCGCTGGTTGGGTTTGCCCCGTAGTCCCTTGACTTGGTGGTGAGGTAGATTCAGCGGGGAGTGGTGGCTGCTCAAGGATGGCATTACTGCCCTGGGCAGGCGAATCGAAGATTAATGAACTATCCTCCATATTTGGTTATGTTTTTGAAATCGTAAAAAACTGTCGCAGTGGTTTATTCGTAAACACTTTCTCGACTAGGCGTAACAGGAGTCGCACTAGATCCCCAAATTGATGTTCGAATTCTCATGCGCGTCAAACTGATCAGTGTTCGGTGCACGACTTAACACCAATATCAAAGAAAACTATGTGATAATCAACGATTGAGAGCTCGAGGCGCAAACAGTATTGCTGTTGTTCGCGTTGATGATTTTCTGGAGGCAGGTCGCGTTTCGCTTGCTAGACTTAAAGCTCAAGATAGATGGAGCCAAAACCAAAAAGCCAAAATTGTAAAGCCTCACGTGATTGTGAAATCCAGAGTTCATGTTTGCGCCTTAAGAGTCTGGCGGCCATAAGTTTCCGCAATCAGGCACTAAGGGTCGGTCGGTTCCTCGGCTTGAAGCGGTCTCCGATGGCAGGATCAAAAACATGGGGTAAAGGTTAACTTGTACCTGGTGGAATCCATTATTAAATGTTCCATCAACAGTTGAGTCTTTTAAATTTCCTTCCTTTTCAATTCCATAACAATGATTTCGAGAGCCGGACAATCTATCTTACGCCAGGCGCGTACTCAATTACGATCACAAGCTAGCTACACACCAGTAGCTTCCATCTCGGCACTCGCAAGATTATTATCCTCGCTGGCCGTCCTGGAACAAAGGGAAGGCAAACTTAACCATGGATCACTTGGAGCAGTCACCGCAGCACAAAAACTAGGGGGATCAATAACTGCGTTTATCGCGGGAAGCAACATCAAGTCCGTAGCTGGGGAGGCAGCTAAAGTTGCAGGAATCGAGAAGATTATTGCGGTAGATAATGCTGCATATGACAAGGTAAGGATATCTATCTTCTCGAATAATCAGTTACGCCGATTAGCAGCTTCTGATTGTCACTTTAGGGTCTGCCAGAAAACTATGCTCCTTTATTGGTAGAAAATATCAAAAAGGGTGGCTTTACACACATCATTGCCGGACACACAGCTTTTGGAAAGAATCTCATGCCCCGCGTAGCAGCATTACTCGATGTCCAACAAGTGTCTGATATTACAGGGATAAAAAACGAGAATACTTTCGTTAGACCAATCTATGCTGGTAATGCAATTGCCACTGTCGAATCTTCAGACGCAATCAAAATTATTACTGTTAGAGGAACTGCTTTTGCTGCAGCAGCAGCCGAGGGGGGCTCGGCATCAATCGAGGATGGTGTAGATCCCAAGGTTGAATCGCCCACGGAATGGGTATCGGAGGATCTTGCAAAATCAGATAGACCGGACCTTGCTACTGCCGGTAAGGTAGTATCTGGGGGGCGAGGATTGAAATCGAAAGACGAGTTTGACAAGATAATGTTGCCCTTGGCGGATGCCTTAGGAGCAGCCATTGGGGCATCAAGAGCAGCTGTAGACAGTGGATATGCCGACAACAGTCTGCAGGTCGGCCAAACTGGAAAGGTTGTAGCACCACAACTGTACTTGTGCGCAGGTATTTCTGGTGCTATTCAACATCTGGCAGGAATGAAGGATAGTAAGGTCATTGCAGCAATCAATAAAGATGCGGATGCGCCGATTTTTCAAGTAGCTGATGTTGGGCTGGTTGGGGATCTGTTTGATAAGGTTCCAGAACTCACCGAGAAGTTAAAGAAATAGTGTACAAAATATTGTTAGATTTAGATTCCCTTGTTTTAATCTAGAACCTTGAGCATGTCTTCCACACTTGTAAACTTTTCCCGTTCCTTTCCATTACTGTTACCTCTCCTTCGCTCGGCTGCATCAATCTTCTGCCAGCCTTGCCAGCTGACTCTTCGACATCCTTTCTTGCCGGCTTCAGTCTTTACCCCATCCCATCCAAGGCCAGAGCCTCCAGCATTACCGTTGAGAAATGTCGCGTGCGCGTACCAGTCTTCCGCTATCGTATCCGCAGTTGAGAAAGCATCTAGCATAGTACTAGCAATTACACCCGTCGGCCCCCGTTTTACCCACCCGGCACAATACATCCCTGGGATGTGCTTGGACGAATCTGAACTTGACCATTCTAGATTATCGTTGATTACACGGCCCAATGGATCGTTAGGTATGATGCCCAAGCGATCATTAAATGGTATATCTAGGTCTGAGAATCCTGGCAAAGCTTCTGACTTATATCCAATAGATCGAAAAGCTAGAGAGGCTGGAAGGTCTACCATTTTTCCTGTGCCAATTGCCTTCGCTGTAGGATCAAAGGGATCTGGGCTCAGTAAAGTATTCTCAAATGACATGCTGCCCAACTGAGAGGGAGTTTGATGACTTTGATTGAATGATATCGGTGAGAGGCAGAAATCAAGTGACCATGATTTAGTGGCCGACTCTAAGGAAGCACTTGACCCCTTTTTGATGATTTCCATAATTCGCTTCGAAGCTCTAGGCAATTTTGAGATATCCTCCGGGATTAATGATCTATCAACAGGATGAAAAGCTACAGAACTCAATTTTGCCAGCTCACGAACCTCTTTAATCGTGAACGCCGCCTGAAATCGTCAGCATAAACACGCTCCACTTAGCTCCATAAATGATAGAACAAACCTGTAGAGGACCTCTTCTCCCCACTACCCTCACTCTCCTGACTTGACTTTTCTGCAGAATCTCAATAGCTCTCTTCGTAATATCAGTCGTGCGCAGTACGTCTGGATCTTGCAATAGGATTCTTGCAACATCCATTGCTACATTTCCTTGCCCGATAAGTATAGCTTCATCCCCCTGTGTAAGATCCGGTTCGAGATCCGCATATTCCGGCAGTCCATTGTACCATCCTACAAATGCCCGCGCCGAATATATACCCTTCAAATTATCTTCTCCTGGTATATTTAGAGTACGATCTCGAGATGCGCCGTAGGCAAATAAGATGGCATCATAATGTGGCAACAGCGATGCGAGAGGCAAAGCTCCAGAATGATCTCCTATAGATATATTTCCAATGAAATTAAAGTTTGGCGATTCAGCTACTTCGTTAAATTTATCTTGACAATTCTATTTAGCATCAGTACAAACGTTGACTTTTAGCCTGGAGTTGGTATTTTGGGACATTACCTTCACTTCGGGATGGTCGGGAGCAACACCAAATCGTACCAAGCCAAAAGGCACTGGCAGATGCTCATACATGTCCACGATTGAATTCTCAATTTTAGACATCACCTTATAAGCTGTGTAAAACCCAGCAGGTCCTGACCCAATGACAGCCATCCTGAATGGTCTACCATCATGACCCCTATGCTTCTCAGTATATTTCTTGGTAGTGCTCGTAAACGTCCTCGGTCGAGTGGTCGAACCTATGCGTTGCTGTAAAGAGTTCGCACATCTTGTGCAAACCCAAGGTCTCGCGATCCTGTTAATTTTCATTTTCTCTCACTCTCAAACGTCATTGAAGCTTTCGGAAATCTTTATCGCATTGTCCGATAACGCTGTGCCTCGCATGTAACGGTGTGTATTAATATCTTTTGTTGCTGTGTCAACGAAGCTTGCATCCAGGTTTGTTGATCCAAGCTCTAGAATTACAATCACAGCTTATATCCTTGGTTCATTCTTCACAAGATCCACGTTTCTGGCTTCATTCCTGGCTTCATTCCTGGAACATTCACTCTGTCTTTCGTTTATTCATCATTGTCAGGTACAATGGGTATTCAACCTCCCTTTCTTTATGACCCAGTCAAGACAGATTGGTCATTTGATCCAAAAGTCGTCTCCAGGGCGAGCTTATCTCCCCCAGCTCCACGACCAAAGCGACCAGATGGACCATTGGTCAACTTCAATGCACATCCCGAGTACGTTTGAGTATGCTCATCATGATTACTGAAACCTATACTGACCTACTTTCATTAGTTCTTATCTAATTGTTCCGTTTGGAAATGTGGGTTCCAAATCAATGGATCCATCTGTTAAGAAGAAGGTCAAGTGGTCCAGAAAATTGACATTGGTATTGCGATGCTTTCAACTCTTGGCAGCTGTCGGTCTTCTTGTCATGTCAATTCTGATCACGGGTTTGGACATTCTATCGGGGTGGATCATGAAACTTGCAGTATGTTTTTTTCGAGAATGCTTTATATAAACAATCGACTAACATATTTAAGCCCGCTATAGCAATTCTCCATACAATTTATGGAGTATTTCACTTAGCGCGAAGATCTAGCGGTAGAGCACCCGGATCTTCAGCATCATATATGCTCTTTGCATCTTTGATTGACACAACTATCATACCATTTTATGCATATATTTCTTTGGCAGCTAAGACAAAGCAAACAACCTGGACTACATCTCTATCAGACAAGACCCTCCTAACGATATTCACCGATGTTCTTTTTTACGCAGCCACGGTTGGGAGCGGGCTCCATCTAATATCTTTAGCCATATCTCTCTATCTCGCTGTTACATTTCGCAAAATCAACAAACTCCCTCCGGATATGAACCCTCTTGAAGATAATCTTACCTCCCGCCACAAACGCAACAAATCCTCCATTTCAACTTTCACTACCATCACGTCTCCTTCCGAAAAGAGAATGTCAAGAGTTTCCACTCTAGAGGATAAACGTCGTTCTGAGGCGGCTTATGAGGATCTCGATCATCCTCCAAAAATTCCTTTCCTACACACGCGCACCAACTCCAATGAATCGTTCCAAACCAACCAATCCTCACCTCGTACCTCACGTACCGGTTCTCCCGCCCGTTATAATGCCTACAAGCCAGCATCCATAGTCCCTTCGCCAAAACGTGCCTCCCGTCACTCGTACGCTTCAGTCCCCGCCTCCGACCTCTCCTTTCATACGGCTGAAGAATCTAACAATGACCCCAACACTAACGACGGTGTCATAAACTGGTTCACCAGTGATTCTCTCGGTAAAAAAGGCAACCGCAGCAGCGTACCAGGTCCTCGCCCTCACTCACACCAAAATTCTTCCACTTCCATCAAGTCTTCTTACCACCCCTTACCAGTTGATCCCTCCGCCATCGACGACAATGGAGATAATTTCCACCTCCCTAACCCACTAATGGAAAACCCTCCAACCCCCCTCCATGATTTCCCATCCTCATCCTCCAAATATTCCTCCCAGGCCCCCTCCACAACCACCCCAGACACCAATGGACAGAGCTCCAGCGCCGACATAACTGATGAACCTTCCTGGCAATTACCTCTCCACTCTCCCGAGATCCGCGAACTAACACCTAAGCCCCTGCGTACACGTGATTCGGGCTCAAGTGATAGCTTCAAGGCGAAGTATTATGGAGATTTGAAGCCTGCAACGCCACCTGTTATAGTTGGCGGCAATGGAATTGGACGACAGGTTAGCAGTGGAACCGACTTTGTGGGTCAACGAGGAAGTTACCAAAGGGATGTTAGTGGGAAGATTGCAGAAGAGGGGAGAGGGGGTGGTGCTTGGGGCGCGAGATTGAGAAATATTAGCGGGTTGCAGATCTTGTAATTTTACTACTGGTGAGAGGATGGTATTTTGGATGTGGGAGTTTCGCGATCCGAAGAGAGTTACGATGAGTCTTCCTTATGTACGATTTTGGAAACTCGAATTCTGGCTCAATGGGACGAAAGTGCAAAGCAGCTCTTCTTCCATGATGTTATTCACTTCGAGGATTATGATACTCTAGGTACGTTGTGTACAATTCTCACGTTTCTGATGTTAGGTGTCGATATTGGATATGGAGGGAGCACAGGGGCTTCGGTATACGAGAATATGTTTGTATGGGAAATGTGGGAATCATTTAGTTTGGATTTAAGGGTGCTATGTGTATGAAGGAAATTGGCACATTTTTACATTATTTTATTTTTTGAGCGATTTGTAATTTTGGGAATTCAATATGTATTGTATATATATCGTTTATTGACACATACATGAAAATACACTGCTATTTATCGACTTCTAGTCAATTGGACTCCTGTAGGTGCTCTCACAACAGTGGAAATTAACCCTTGAAATGCTGACCTATGTCAAACTTTGGATTGACCCTAGTATATATCAGTTGAGGTGCCTAAGTAGGCAACCAGGGCCCATCCATTTCTGTCGATAAACCAATAAGAAAGTTCACTCCAGTCATCAGATTAGCAATGCCGTCGTAGGTAGACATTGATTGTAGGTACGAAACCTGTCAAGCGACAGCTTCCCAAGATAGAGCCTAAGTTTTAACGATATTATATATTTTAGCCCAAGACCTGTCAGTGTCTTGTCTTGGCCTTCACTACCTCGTTTCCTCCTTCAATCTTTTCATTTCGATCCTCATCTAGGCAAAAATAAAAAAAGATACTCATCTTTTTACAAGGCTCTTGCGAAGTCTTAATTTAAATTATATTCTTCCTTGGGTTGTAGCCCCGACGCGGCTGTTCTTCCTCAACCTATCCAAGCATCTTCTTCGAAATCGACTGCGCCTTCGACGACTTCAAATAGCACTTCCCCTTCAAATACCTCTTCACCACCTGCGAGAAGAAACTGTTTCTGATCTGTGGAGTGTTCGATGTATGCAATTGAATCTCGATTTGGCGATAAAGAAGCAAGGTAAATGAAGTGCAATGCGGCAAATCAATCGAGTGCCGAGAGGGAGATATACGAGTTTTTCCGTTTGCTGGACATTGTCAGCCTTTCCATTTATGAAATGTTTGGTCCGGTTTACTTCTTTGATATATTCCTGGCCATAGCTCAATATTCCCATTGTGAAATGCCCTATGTACATTTCGAAATGAGCTAGCTCATTGGGCAATACCCTAGCTCATTGCTAAATGAGCTAGATTTCAGAGTGAGCTAGCTTATTTCGGAATGAGCTAGCTCATACGATTCATAACTTGAAGGATGTTTCGAAATGAATTAAGGATATTTCGAAATAAACTAAGAATATTCTGAAATTAGTTTAGTATTTATAAAAATATATTTAATATTCTAAAAAATATATATTATAAATTTTTTTTATATAATTATAAAAGTCTTTATATTATATATATAGTTAAATAAGTAATATCTAGATACTTTTTTTTAGAAAATCTAAAAAATCTAAATAATATATTGAAATATTTTTTTAGAAAATCAAAAAAATGTAAATATGATTTTATTAAAAGGATTTATAATAATTTTAGAATTATAGAAATTTATATAGATTTATTAATATAATTATTATTTCATAATATTAAAAGACAATTATTAAATAGTTTAAGTTTTCAATTAAAAATCAAAATAGACCAAAAGGGTATATTAACCCTTGTCTTTTCAAAGAGACAAGAGTTAATATACCCTCTTGTCATAGGACATAGATAATAATAATAATAGAATTAATAATTTCTTATTTATTTATAAAAATAGATATTAATAAATTAAATTATTATTCTAAAGAAATTAAATTAATATATATACTAGCTTATTATATAATATTCTTAATTTATTATATAAATCATTTTTTTATATACTAAGTTCATTTCGGAATACTCTAGCTCATTCCGAAATGAGCTAAGTGCATTTCACAATGGGGATATTGAGCTATGGCCCGGAACAGATATCTTCTATTGTAAGTCCAGTATCAGTAGCCATATTAACTTTAGCTCTATCCTTGTGCTGCCCGATGACTACTTACCTCTGTATCCAATAGTCCAAGTCCAAGAGAATCTCGAGTGGTCCGTCCAAAAAGATATCAAAATTATCTAGTGGGTTCGTTTTGGATTAGATATTCTGAAAATGTCACGGTTTTACTCAATATTCTATTATTTTGCTCACGAAAATAAAAGATCATATCTTAGAGAGTAGACCGTGATATTTAGAGCATAAATGGTCTGAATATTGATCTAATCCAGACTAGTATCCTGAACATCTTAGACTAGCTGGACTATTGGATACATCTACTTCCTCCCACGTCAACATTTTCTTCCGTTCAGGAATGCAATGAAATCGAAATCAACCCAACAAAGCTTCAAGATAATCCCTCCGAAGAACTCGTTCATGATGGGGAGGAGAATGCCACGAATAAAAACCCAGTCTCAAAGCTTCCAAAGCCAGTTCTCTTCAAAGTTTCATTCACTCGGTCACCATCCACCAAGAATCGATCTAGGAAATATAAACTATTGTTCATAACATGTCGAAAGGAAAATATTAATAAATCCCATTCAAAGGTCCTATCCATAAGCCAGGTCGTTAGGTTCCAGTTATAAGTAAGCGACATAAGTCTGAGGACCGCAAGTGGGGTAGACAGGATTGGAAAGAGTATGGGATCTCTGGTCGGTCCTGCAAATGAAGAAAGGTTCAGAACCGCTACCTGGATTGATTCTCGAAATGGAGTGGGTATTTTAAGCAGAGATAGTTTAGGGGACTCGCGATTACCGTACCTTTTAGGCTTTCACAAAACTACCGTCATTATAACGGTACACAATTTATATGCTCATCCCACCACCTTGAATGTGCTATAAAGCGCCGTCAATCCCCATGGATCTCCAACGGAGAATTGTATGGATTCAGCCTCGTATTTCAACTCTCAATTTGAGAACGAGTCTAGGTCTCAAATCTCGGTTCCAACCCTCAACCCCTAGTTCCAATCCCCTCAATTCTATAGAAGAACGTCCCCAAGCAATAATATCGCATACCGTTCGACCCATGGAAACCAAAGGCATATGCCCAACTCGCCATATACCAGGAGAAAGTGGCCGGTGAAAGCGAGGCACTACCACATGCGTCACCACCGCTGAGACTCGCTTGTGCCAATAACTCAAAGTAAAAGCATAGCTCTGGAAATATAAGTTCAGCACATTTATAGAACCACTTTCTCTAAGACTTAGAAAATTACCTACTTTCTCTTCTTCACATTTGCCTCCCTAATTGATATCAGTCATATGCACTGCCATATGCACCATCGCCATTGACACTGAAACCATCCATCTATTTTTCGAAGTAGCTAATTCTCGCGGCCTTCATAGGTTGGAATCCTACCATATTAATCCTTCAACAGTACTTAACATTAAGTTTTGTGGTAATACTGTTTTAGGTCGTCATAGTGTGATCATAAAGTATCCGCCTCATGTAGGGAGAGTAACTCTTCTCCTTCCGATGGCTTATCTCACTCATTTGTAATGAATAAACAAGATCCGCTCCTTTAGCCTCAGGGTCGGTAAAAAACTCGCTCATCAACTTGTACCGTGTTCACATTTATCATAGAACGTCGAAATATATAGTCAGTAGTATTGGTCAAGGGTAATATGTACAGAGTTTAGACAGGAACCAGCTGAAAATCACACACATCCGGGGGCTTCAGCAATTCGTTAGTGGTCCAGCGATTGATCAATTTTTGTTTGAGTATAGAAAATCCCCAATGGATAGCATTCCAGATTTTGCAATTTCCTAACCACAAATAATGAAGACATTGTACAAGCACTCAAATAACGAGCTAATTGATTTGATTTTGAATCTCGGATTGATTTGATGGTCAATCGAAAATTACGAAAGTTATGATTAAAAGTTACGAATTTCTGAATACAATAAATGTCGCATTGCTGCGATAAAGGGGTTGCGCTGTATAAGCGAAATACAAGCGGGAGCTGGTGTACACCAACATCATCTTTCAATCAAGAATCTCAGATAATAAATCAATTTCGGGTAGAATCTAGAAAATCTAAAAGATCGAAGACCTTTGTTTCAATTTTCAATGGTTACTAAGAATTACAAATATTTGGAGAAAAGCATTGCCAGTGTCCCATTAAACTTTTTACAACAACGTACTCTCTATGCATGGTTTGGGCCTGTTATTTCGCCAAAGTAGTATGAAGCAGAGGTTACCACTTACCAGGAGCAGTGGCAGCATTAGCATCAAATATTATTATGGTGGGTGATATTGAGGCTGCCTCAATATCACACCACACCTGTGCGTACAGAAACCATGGGTACGAACTGATTTAGATACCGTATGCAACATCCAGCTTGTATCGAAATTCAGTCAATTCCCAACGTATCGTTATAATGTGGCATATGTAAATACTCCGCATGCTAATAACATCACTGACCAAAAATCGGTCATCAAAGCAGAGACTATCATACACTGACCACCATATACAGAGTTCTCCAAATCAACATTATTGGGAACTCTTCTCAAAAATTTGAGCTACAGCGAGACCTATCAAGATATATCCATCCATCATGGTTTGAAGGCCACATAAAAAAATTGCTAGAACACGCATGTCCCAGAGCACAAGATCCTTCTAGACTGGAAGAGACATATGGTGGTGTTAATGAGTAGTCAAAGGGGTATTCATACAGGCCGTATATGCACAACTGATTCTGGAAAAAGGAGCAAGTCTTCCATGGAGGATATGATCTGTACCGTTTTTCCTGGTTGAAATGATTCAAAAGAAGATTAGGAAGAGTAAAGAAAAGGGTATAGAAGCATCGGTCCTCACATGTATAAGTAATTGGATGTTTCAATTATTTAGGCTTATATCTTGTACCTTGTATCATGTGTTGCTTTGATGCTTTGGGGCGTTTTGATATGATATCCAGAGGATGGTTGCGCACCGAAACAATAAGAGTCAATCACAATCAAAAATTGCATCATCAAATTGTTTGAAATCACTGGCACCTTAGTGTCATACGTCACATTCTTAATTCTCCCCGGTTTGACGTGAATATGCGCTACAAAGAAGGCGATTGTTCTGGTAGGTAAAAACGGACGATCAAATTGTGTTAAATCTCAAATTATCACCACTTGACAGGATATTCCAAGCAGTTCATCGAGGGAGGCAATACGAATCCCTCCAATCTTGCCGATTGGAACTCTGATGATAACAAGTGACAGTCAATCCAGTACCAGAGTTATTGATAGCAGCAAGTAACATGCGAATTCGAGAGAGGTACTGCAAAGCTAAATGAAAAGAAGGATTGGCCAGTCAATGGCATCCAAACTCTCACATTTTTCAAGTTGGCTCAAATATAAAGCCTAGTACCCTCGAAAAGTCAACTTTTATTGAGGTCTACCAATCAATCCCGCATGTTACCACATGCACTAAGTAGTTCATTAATGAGAGAGAGAAACGTCGTATATGGATATTGGAGGTTGTGATGTGCTTAGGAGAAGACGACCTAGGAAGCGGAAGCGTTCGCTGGCTGGAGAGATGAAACTGATACAAGAAACAATACTCTATTACTAATGCAGAAGACTGCATAATTAATTCACGATGTTGGAAACGGGAGATCTCGCACTTCTTTCACAAATGGGACTTGCGCTAAAAAGAGCTTTCAGTACATGAGACTTGTACGTGGAACGAATATTATGCGAGGATATATAGATAACCAATTATCAATGATTTTAAACAAACAAACAGTGAATACTTAACGCAGTCTACTTGACTATACCAGAATAGATTTGAGATTATCTGACATATTCAGAAGTGCAGTTGACCTCCAATAACACTTGTTTAGATAGTGTTAAAGTACAAGACAGATATAATGTTCAAGATGAAGTCAATGTACTCGAGTATAAGATGGACACAATGTTCAAAATAGGTTCAATATATCCACAGAATTCAGTAAAGAAGATCGGTATATTCTTCTATACTTGATCAATGTCTAGAACAGATCTATTGTTCAAGATAGAGTCAGTCTTTCAATTGAATACAATATACAAAACAAATCCAGAGATTTATTATTAGATTGTAGTGTAGATAATCAATACTCTTTATTCGAAGATGGCACTTTATACTATCAATGGATATCTGAGAGGAGTCTGGACATTCAAATGAACAGTTAGTTATAGTGGTCATAATTCATTAATTCGTTATTTTAATAATACTCTTGAATACTCTAATACATAATTCGTTGCAAAAAAAAACACAAAACAAAACAAAACAACTTGAAACAAAAAGAAGGAAGAACCCAAAAAACCCAAAGAAGACCCCAATTTTTAACGCCCATATTTCTTCGAAGAAAGAGCTCGGAGACTGGATGTCTCTTTCCTTATTGTATTCCTCTTCCTACTCCTCGTCCAAATCTCATCTCCTTCGTTTATTTACCTCCAAAAAAGAAGATCGATGTCATCATCTTCTTCTTCTTCTCCTCCTCCTCCTCCTCCTCCTCCTCCTCCTCCTCCCCCCTCACCACCCCTCATGTCACGGAATGAAGCGCAGAATCTCAGGAATCGAATGGTTGTTATTGTAGTAAACTATGAAGAAAGGAGATTCAATCCCCCCTTTTATACTTCTTGCCCACAAGAAAACGAAGGCTTTTCGGAATCAGAGCGGAATCACTGTAAAAACAGGCTTTTCGGAAGGAGCGGAATCACTGTAAACACAGGCTTTTCGGAATCAGTGCTGTAAACACAGGCTTTCGGAACAAGGTACTCGTCAGGAGCCAGAATCAACTGTAACACAGTATCGAAATCAATGCTTTTGAAGCTCGTAAACCTATTCGACAGCTGAAGGCATTGGTAGATAGTTTGCTCTGTCACGGAGTGAAGTGTAGAATCTCAGGAATCGAGTAGTTGTTATTGTAGTAAACTATGAAGAGAGGAGGTTCAAGCTGAAAAAGGAAGTTCCTTAAGTACCTCCCTCAGCCCTTAGCTTAGCATGGCTTGGAAGGGCTGAAACAAAGCTCGTTGAATATAATATATAAAATATATTTAAAGATTCCTTATTAAATTATAATATAGATAATTAATGTCTTTTATTCAAAGATAACGTTTATTATTATTATTCGATATCTGAAAGAAGTTTGAACATTCAAATGAATAGTTATAGTGGTCATTTATTCATTTAATTCATTTCATTCATTGTATTCGTTAACTCATTAATGATTAATTCATTATTTTTACACAAACCTCAAACAAAAGAAGACAATCCAAAAGAAGAAAGAAGTACCCAAAAACCCGAAAAAACCAACAAACCAAACAAAAAAGCCATAAACAGACCCAATTTTGCATTTTTTGAGACTCGATGTCTCCTTCCGTCTATGTTTCTTCAAAGAAAGAAGATCTATGTCTTCTTCTCCTTCCTCCTACTCTTCTTCCTTTTCGTCCAACTCTTTTCTCTACTCTTCGTCCGAATCCTCCCACCCGTCGAAAGCCGAGCGAACCATCTGCTCCAGAGTAGACTTGTTCTCTTTGCCAGTAATGGTGGTGCGTGTGGGAGTGCGTGTGGTGAAGCCCGAGGCAGAGCGGGGCGTGGGGTAGAGTTTGCCTTTGCCTAAAAAAATAGGCTCCTGCTCTTTCAATGGTTGACCATTCAATATATGATCTCTCAATTCTTGCTCATGTTTCAATCTCAGTTCTTTTCGAACCTGATCTTGCAATTGCAGCATTTTCAATAACGGGTGAGGTTCGGCAGTGACATTGGCCCTGGCTATTTTGAGCAATTTCTTTCTACGGGCGACAATTGGAGTTTCGGTCACCGGTCTACTGTTCCAGCCTTTTTCAGTGACATCGGCCCTGGCTATTTTGGGCATTTTCTCTTTCTGGGCGACAATTGGAGTTTCGGCCACCGGTTTGCTGTTCCAGCCTTTTTCAGTGCTGGCCCAGCGGACTCGGCGAACTGGAAGCACGTGCTCCTCAGATGAATCCAAAACACCGGTTCGTGGGTTAAATCCGGTAACTCCGAGGTAGTCATCGGCCAGTTCCCGAACAATTCCGATGTAGTCCTCGGCCGAGAATCTTTCCGGTTCAGTATTCTTTGGGGCAGGTGGAGCTATCTCCTCCACGGGCTTAGATCCATAGAAGATGGGTTGTTCACCCTCTTCGGTGGATTCAAAAGGTACTGCTTTGAAGAACATTGGGGCGTTCTCCAAAGCGTCTAAGGCCTCTTTGGCCTGTTGCTTTGTAAAGCCCTTTTCTGGGCGGTTCTTAGGGTGTAATGCCTTAAGGGGTGCAATGAACTCTTGAGTAGAGGACATAACGTGGTAAAACTTGTTTCGGCACCTTTGGCGGCGTGAGAGTTTGACCTTTGGCTCATTGATGGGAATTTCAGACATGACTGAATCTGAGGATTCTCCCTTCAATGGACTATGAATTACAGTTTCGGTTTCGGAGACCGATTTCTGTGACTTCTCCAAGCGGAAGGCGTCAGCTTCGCGGAGAAGTCTTTCAGTTTCCAATTGTTTGTTGTAGAGTAGTGCTTTCAAACTGTTGATTTGCTTTGTCTTTAGAGTCAGGGCGACCTCGTCGACCCCGTCTTGTGAGTAGATGGAGAGTGAATATTGAGAGTTAGAGAACTTTTTCTCTTGATAGATGTTGTGACAGACAGGGTCTTCGAAAATGGCTGCTTCCAAGAATCCTTCCTTTGATGAATTATGAGTTGTAGTCTCTATTTTCGAGACTGACTTTTGAGTGGTGACGTTTTCCTCTGGGAAGACATCGACCTTTTCTTGGTGGTTAATGGGGTCTTCGGATTGAACTATTTCTAAAGACTTTTCCTTTGATAGATTATGGATGAAAGTCTCTATCTCTGCCAACTTTTGAAGAATGGCAACGCTGTCCTTTTGAGAGATATGAATCTTTTCTTGGTGATTAACATGATCTTCGGATTTGATTGATTCCAAAGATGCTTCCTGTGGTAAATTGTGGATGATAGTCTCTGTTTCCGAGACTGACTGTTGAGTAATGGTGACGTTTTCCTTTTCCAGAAAGATATGAACCTTTTCTTGGTGGTAAACAGGGTCTGCGGATCTGGTTGATTCCAAAGATGCTTCCTTTGGTAGATTGTGGATTATAGTCTCTGTTTCTGAGACTGAATTATTATTGATATCGACCTTTTCTTGGTGATAAATGGGGTCTTCAGATCTGAACGAGTCCGAGGATTCTCCCTTTGATTGATTATGGATTACTGTCTCTGTTGCTGAGACGGATCGAGATCCTCTGGATCTTCTAAAGAGCCTCGAGCGACGAATTCGAGAGGGAATGAGGTCATTAGCACCGTCGTATGCGAGGTGTAAGACTTCGTCTGCAATTATGTATCCGATAGAGTTGGTTACGTCGATTCTTGGCATCTTGATGATAGTCGGCGTTGAGAAGCCGAATTAATGGTTATGATTGATGTGTGCGGAAAGGATGTTATGGTAATGAAAATGGTGTTTAAAGTGTAAGTATTCCGATCTCAAGTTTGAAAGTTTGAATTGAACAATTGCGATTGAAGTTTGTTTGAAAAGTTATTGTAACTGTATGTCTGAAATCTGTCTGAAGAGCGAAACGAGAAAAAAACAGAGAGGAAGAGAGCAAGAGAACAGGGGAGAGGAGAGAGAAATACTCAGATATTGGTATAGGCTACTTCGCCAGAACTCAACTTCGTCAACTATTGTAGACACTAAGCTTCATGCCCCGCTTCACGATGTGCATTTGATAAACCGGTAGTATGGGTTGGGTAATGCGTGCCCTTAGCTTCTGTGATAGCTGGGTCTGGAATGAGGCTATTTGAAGAAAACTTTTACGCGTTCGACTAGTAGTATGTAAAAGGGAGACTTTCCCAGGCCACTGGCGTAGAGAGCGGAGCTTCGAGAGTTATAGTCTCGTTTTTTTTAGCCTTAGAAACGGGTTTTCCTCTTTTAAGATGGGTACACCACTGTGGATCTCAATAAGTTCATATGCGGTACTTGAAGCTGTTTGAAATAGAAAAGCTTGAATGGTTACTTTTCGATTACGTGAACCATGTACTTGTAGACTAGCTCACCAGACTAAGCACGAATTCGACTAGATATTGACGCGAACCGCGTCGATCTTTGGACACTACCATTACCTAGCGGAAGCAGAAGTTAATTAAGTTTACTTACAATATGAAACTATCCCAAAAGAAATGGATCATGATTGCTAAGAAATTATCTTCATCGTTAACATCACAAATGATTATCAAATAACGTGCAATCAGATGGTGAACGCAAAGGAAGAAATTTCCTTATCAACTTCTTCTAGATACATACAATATAATATAAATCAACGCATCATCACGTCCAACTTTCAACTGCAGGATGTTGAAGTATCCCAGCATCCCTCATTAAAACCCTGAAATTTAACTTGTGTGTCAAAATAAGGTTGTGGGCTAAGCTCACTGTGACCTAGCATACTCTAGTACATAATTTAGCCATCCGAAGACTACGACTGATAAGGCAATAGCCTACCTATACTATCCCACTTCAAATCAAACTCGACACTAAGATGTTCAAAATGACAGTACTAGCTCAAACCCTGCTTGAAAATCGCGTCTCAACTTGCCATAAACTACCACGAGTCCAAGGAATCACATTTTTACTTGTATAAGCCAGATTTAAAGGCCGTACTAGCATTCTAGAGTGCTCCCTCACCAAATTTGTCCTTAGGCCGCAGGGTGTTTTCCTCCGTTGGGCAAGAACGACCGTACGTCACCATGAACTTTATTTTTTTCATGACAACTATATAGCTAAACGGCCTGATTCGTTGAATATTACCGACTGATCGGAAGGACTGATCGTCCATGAATCATGGACCTCATCATTGACGGTATATATCTACCGAAGAAGAGCTGCATTAATTTCATTGGGCAGTACCGAGCTATCGGAACGGAATATCACATAACCTCGGACATCAAGATCAGGATAATGTGTACAGATAAACCAATTCAATAGAATCTCCAGTAACACTGTCGATAGACTACGTTTCTTGGAATCATGTGCTAATCAAACATGATTCACCAACCTTCTGCAATCTGGCCACGAAAAACAATTTTCTTCATATCCCAGGGACAAGTAGAAATACACAAAAACTTCGAATCCTGAGGCAGGGTAAGGCATATTAAATCAATGCAAGTCATACTTTCGGCTCAGAATCATCCTTTGACATCTACTTCAGACTGAAAAACACAAACAACAAAATCAAGGCAACGCACACAACGTGAAGGTATAAATAGACCTTTGCACAAGGAACATAAAAAAAAAAGGCTAAATCGATCGATAATGAAGAAAACTTCAACCCCAAGACACGATTCATTACACATCGCACTCTGCTTAGGCATGTCAAAAATAAGCGAGAGGGCGAACAAAGTACAGATACCACCACAATTTCGGAATTTAGCACCATGTGATGGACAGGGAGACAGGAAGGAAATGGCATTTATAGATACTATCATCCCCTAATGTTTCCAAACCTGTTAGACTCCGAAGAATGCATCGTGCAGTAGAATTATGAAGAAATATAGAAAGAGCTAAGACATGATTACCATCTCGAAGGACCCCTTTTATATGGGCTCTGCTCAACGTTTCCTGGCCTCGCTCTCGGATTGAGAGCACTTGAATCACTAACCCTCCTATCGCTTTCAACATCTGGAAATGGTAATCTGCCAAATGGTCGAAGATCGCTACCTCCATGCACTCTGATTCTCGGACTTGCTTCTCTTTCCCTTTGGTCTCTTATTTCTCTCCCTGCCATGTCTAAGGAACTTTTGGGTGTATCTCGGCGATCTCGTCCCTGCATGTCAAACAGACTACTGGTTTTCTTCAATGGTGAGTTGGCATGGCTGTATATACCTAAGCTACCACCATCTCCTGTCCCAGTAGATGTAGATGCGACAGCATTGGGCGGTGTCCGTCGGAATTGAGGTTGTCTCATCGCAGTATTTGGTATCTTTCTGTTGTAAGGTGAATCTCGCGGGTTGTTGAAGGATGCTGAAATGAAAGAGGGAGCGGGAGAGAAAATCTTTCGGGAGACTGGCTTATTAGGACCAACACTCTCTGGATCGACGTGTTTGACATAGTTAGGATTTGGATTAGTACGGAAGCCTTTCTTGAGAATTACACTTGGAGTATAGATTTCAATTTCTTCCTCTCGGCCAGTCCTGACTCTAGCACCAGGCCCAGATAACTGGGTCCCAACATCTCGCATAACCGGGTTTAATCGTGGATGCACAAATTTGATGTCGTATTCACTCATAACTTCCTTCTGTATGATGCCGGTATCTTTTTCTTGCTGCGAAAAGTTTGTTTGTAGGAGAAGTAATTGTCCAGTCATTAGAATTTCCAAAACTAGGGTTGTGAATATCGTAACACTTGGTCGAGAGTCCGACGACAACGTCGGAAGGAATAGCCAATAGACCAGGACATGTCCTGGACTGAACAGGCAGAACAATCGTAAACAAACTGGTATAGGATCCCAAACAGCAATCTCCCACACGTCCCGAGTCGGATCTGGATGAGCTCTCGACTGCGCACTTGTATTCCCTAGCATACTCGAGAAGAAACGGAGAGGAGAGGAGGATACTGGTGAGGAGTCGACGCGTACTCTGTGAGCAGAAGGAGTGCTGGGTGCGGCCTCGATGGGGCTCTCGAAGAGGCGGTAATGTCGTTTTCGCGAGAAAGTTGAGACCGCATTCAAGATCGACAATGCTGTCAAAATATAAACAAGAAGTGTAGACTATTCAGTGAGTCAGTATCAACCTATACAAGTCCATATCCACAATGGCAGTCCTACCACATAGCTCAACCATCCTGGTCCCAGAGGCACATCCCCAAACACATCATCTGCATCTCCATGTCCCTCACTTCCACTATTCGCCCTCGCAATCAACAATAGGAAGTGCAATCCGAAACCCAACGGATTAGCATATTTCTTAGAATCCCAATCTCTCGTTTCGATTTCTTCTGATATCCATAATAACCAATCGTGAACATTGAATAAATCCGTGATTCGTTCACGAAGCGGTCTTTGGCGCACAAGTCTCGGCATGATGGACGAGATGTCAACAGTCTCCTCACATCATTGGCTTCAATTTTCTAAGGGGCAAGCGACAATCGTGAAGCCGATGGAATGGTAAAATTGAATTTTGCTTTGTTGCGATTTCGGTTCCTTTTTGTTCACTAGGGAGACTGCTCTGCTCTGGCATAGCAATGACTAATTTAGATGTGGGTCGGGTCGCAAGAGCTGCAAACAGGGGAACCGCACGCTAGCGCCAAAACTTTAGTGGGGACCTGAGAGCTCGCCTTGCTTGATGCTGCCGCCGTATTATTGTTTAGTGAAGTATATCAAACAAACAAAGAGAAGATGGCCGCTCCACCATCTGCCTATAAAGATAGGCAATTCCTAGCTGTCATTGGTGATGAGGTGAGCTTCAAATCGGTTCAAATAGTCATTAATATTGCTGCTAATCACCCTTGTAGGATTCTGTAACTGGACTGCTGTTGGCAGGTATTGGTGTATGGGATATCCTATTTTACTCTGCGCAGTTACTGCCCGAGAAGAAGAAGTTTACTGATGAAGTCATAGCATGTTACCTCTCCGCCAGATTCGCAAAAAAACTTCCTCGTTGTCGATAGCAAAACGGATAATGCTGCCATTGAGGAAGCCTTCGAGAGATTCACAACTGAAAGGAAGGATATCGGCATCCTATTGATCAACCAACATGTAAGATATTTATGACGACTAGTTACATAGTTTGCCGAACTAAGAAGATGCCTATAGATTGCGGAACGCATACGCCATCGAGTCGATACCTACACGGCCGCATTCCCTGCATTGTTGGAGATACCTAGCAAGGACCACCCATACGATCCGGAGAAGGATAGTGTTTTGAGAAGAGTCCGAAGACTCTTTGGAGAGTAATCTCAGTGTAGGCAGCTCTAGGAGGAGATTGCGTATTATGGGTAGGGTTGTGTGTTTATATGGCTAGAGAGTTGGGCGTTTTCAAGATTAATACCGTCAACGGGTTATTGATATCACACAAATGAATACAAGAGCATGCCAATTCCATCACGCTTTGTACACATCTTTCATTGGGATCTCAGGGGTAAGCTAGACACAGGCCGGCCCAGCTCATAATCGAAGACCTTAGCAGCAGGGAGAGTGCATAATTCCAACACCGGTAAATTGGAAACCATTCAGTTGGAACATAACAGGCGTACGGTAAGATTGATGAGCAGGAATATCAATTTAATGGTCCCTTTATTAATCCTATTCATTTATCATCGGTCAAACAGATTTCATGAAGAAAGCGAACCCGAAAGCAAGTAAAAAAACTCCATGATCAGACGTATCTGTCAAGGTACAGGGCGAGGGAATCCCAGAAAGAAAGCTCCTCCATCATCCACCATCTTCAATGCAGTCCATGAGCAAATCTCTGCTCTTCGTGAGATCTTAAGTACAATCTGAAGGTATTATGTAGATGTCTTCTGGTATTAGGTTTGTCTAACGAGAAAATGTAATCGTTGCTTCTAAGCAAATGATGTGGTCCTTGCCATCTTTGGTATACGCATCGGCGAAGACCGAGTAGGTTCCCTATCATGATATGTCAGGAATTGTAGAGGAGCGGAGGGTGAGTCGAAGACATACCGGAGGAATTTCCTTTGGCAAGTCAACGTCCTTTACAATCGTGATCTTTCCCTCATCAACCGGACACTTCAAATCGACGTTGGCTACCTGATCACACAAATCTTGCTGCATATTGACAAGTCTTATCAAGCCATATTTGACCTGCAAGATCACATATGCGCCCTTTTCCAACTTCTGCGATAATGTACCGACCGCCTCGATAGTAAGTTTATTTCCACTATTGTCTGATTAGCTTCTATTATCACCCCCCAAAATCACCTAGAATATGCGTACGCAGTTGGAGGATTAGGAGTCAAATTGACATGATCGAGCTGGAGGATATCGGAAGAATGATCTGCTTTGCAGTAGGTAAGAGGATTAATGCCAGGAACTGCTCCTCCCTTATCGTCGAGGACTTTTTGACCGTTGCCAAACAACGATAAGCCCTCGGCAGCGACTAGAGAACTGCTAAAGAGCAACGTAAGGACACTGATAGAAAACTTCATGATTGATTTTGGTCTATGGTATCTCGGTGTCTTGTTTGTTGTGAAGCTATGTACAAGGTTGGCGGTGATGAAGTATAGAAAGTGGCGGGTATACTTGGGCTTGAGATGGATGGTTGCTAGCCCGGTTAGGATGACGTTTAGGATTGGGTCAGAAGACAGCGGGTTGTCAAAAGATGTGGCTGTGAAGTGATATAATAAGAGTTTAATGAATTCGATTTAACTTTTTTGGTTTGAATAATAATTAAAGAAAACTATAATAATTAGTATTATTGATTCAGCTAAATGACCTTTTTATAAACAGAGCTTTCAAATTACACCTAATTGAATCCTGTTACACATGATAATTAGATGAAACTTGGAATTTTTAGCCAAACGTTAATGCCCCTCGTCAGCTATCTGGTTGTGGCTGAGTGAGCACTTGCCAACTCTTGATTCCATCAATGTCTCGCCATTAACGGGCCCTACTTCTTTCCATCAAATAACACAATCATTCCAAATCTCATACCTATCTTTTATTTAAATACCTCTACGGACTCAAGCCATCTTCTTTTCCTATATACCTGAAGATCTGATAACAACAAAACATCACTTTTAAGATGAATGATTTCGCCCCTCCCACCGGCCCTCCACCTCCTAAAGTTCCTGCAGGATACAAAGCAGTATGGAACGCCGAATATAAAGAATGGTTCGCATTCTTCCCCTATGCCATATTACTAAGAACTGACGACTCAGGTTCTACGTAAACATCTACACCAAGAAATCCACTTGGGACAAACCCACCGAAGCTGTCTACTCTTCTGACGACAGCGCTCCCGCCGGTCCACCCCCCGGTTACTCTGGCGGCTCCTCCTCCTACCCGACCGACACAAAAAACAATCCCTATGACCCCAGCCCTAACACTGAAAGCGACGCCGATCTCGCACGTCGCCTGCAAGCTGAAGAAGATGCTCGCGGAGGTTCTAGCAGCGGTGTTCGCGGCAATGCTCAGCAGGATTATCAAAATACTGCTATGCCTTCTTATGCGTCACAAGAACTACCTCCACGCGAACAGAAAAGGGGATTCTTTGATAAACTTTTGGGAAAGACTAGTGGTGGTTCTAGTTCTAGTCCGCCGCAGCAACAGTATCAACAGCAGTCTATGCAGCAGCAACAACCGCAATATAGTGGTTATCAGCAGCAGCAGCAATATCCACCACAAGGTTATCAACAGCAAGGTTATGCGCCCCAAGGATATGCGCCGCAGCAGGGTTATGGAGGTGGATACCAACAGGCACCGCAGAAGAGTAGCGGAGGGGGATTGGGTATGGCTGGAGGTGCAGCTCTAGGATTGGGTGGAGGATTAGTCGGTGGAATGTTACTTGAGAATGCGTAAGTTCTGAGAACTCGCTTCTGAATGATAATGCTTATGAGAGATACTAATTGGCTTTTTGATATAGTATTCAAGATCACGATCAAAACGAATACAATCAAGGTTACGAAAATGGTGCGGATAATGGTGGTGGTGGTGGTGGTGACGATGGAGGAGACTTTGGAGGCGGTGATGATGGTGGTGGTGACTTTTAGTCCTCTAGAGAAGCGAGGATGGATGGAGGTGCAATGAATGGCTTATATGAAATTATGGCATGAATGATATCAACTCGATGTTTTACTACTTTGCTTGAGCTTACGTTTGGGAGAGCGTTTTGTCAATTTTTCTATCTTTGTGCAATTGCAAATACTCACGATGAATATGTTACATACAACGCAGCAATATGCGCCACGCATTATGAATCTCGCTACTCGCAGGATAGGGAAAGGAGAGCGAGAACATTGGTATGAGTAATTCAATACTGATACTCATGCTAATCTTCTACTTCTACTTCTCTCACATCAATCAATATTCGAAACACATTTCTTTTTTTTATACTCAAATTTCATCCATATTTATCGGTATTTATCGGTATGTAAAGTTCTTGCCGGTAGAAAATCCACCCGTCTGGTTACTAACTACTAACTACCAATTACATACATGGAATATCTTATGATATAAGACTCATATGACATGAGAGAGAATATACTCGAGTAATTCAATCCAAATCCAATCCAACCCAATCCAATCAAATCTAAACGCCTCGCCTTGATTTGCCCTAACTTGCCTCTAGCATTCGCTAAGTATATATCAACCCATCAATCAATCAACCCAACTCCCTTCTCCTTCCTATGTTTAAATTTTGTGCCCACCGCCTGTAAATTTGCCCTGACGCCGAGTTTTGAAAATTTCCCATTTGCGCGCATGAATGAGACCTCCAAAAGCAAATAATCTAATCAGACCAGACCTGACCAGACCAGATACAGACTATTCAACCATAGCATCTAAATCCTTCTCTGCAATTCTCGCTAAACCTTCTCCTCCCTCCACCCCCCTAATCATACTCCTCGTATCACTCTGACACCCTGGACAATTATGCACCACCTCATGCGCAAAAACATCACAATCGATACAAAAGTGATTTCCACAAACCTCACACCCATACCTCCCACTTTCACTCGTGCCCTTCAAGCCCAGTTCTGTTGCCCCCCTATCATGTCCACTCCGCTGGGGAAACGTTGCTTGACACCCATAGCACCCCTTGGATTTACCCGCATCCTTCCAGTGTACTTCGACCCAATTGCGGAGCGGGAAGAGATGATGATATGAGCGGGCCAAATGAGTCGAGAGAATGAGTGTAAGGCCGCATGCTGGACATTCAGCGGGTAGGGAGCATACTTTACTTTCACAGCGAGAACAGTGGTAACCTCCTCTGCTTAATTTCCCATGGCATGCGCAAAAACTCATGCTTTGCCCTGCCCCTAGTGTCCGAGACGGAAACCCCATCATGAGCAGGCTACTCTGCGATTGTTTCTTAGTACGGGTCACCGGGGGCGTCGTAGTTGCCATCATCAGTTGTCTGAAATGTTCTTCGTTCAGCGCAACAGAATACGCCGTATCATCCCCAGCATTGGTGCGCGAGCATATTTCGCCGCAAATGGCAACTTGAGCCGCAAGGCCTACTATGCTGACTCGTATGCGGTCCGTTATAAGGGATAAGATCGTGTCATGGATATCGCCCGGATCACTCGTGAGCAGCGCACCGTATATAATAAGAATCTCCCTGGTGCCATGGCTCGGGGCGTGAAAAAGCGCAGCTCTACTCATCTCCAACGCATTTTGTAAACTGGGATTTCCTTGTCCTTGGTCTGCGCGGAGACCCTTTAATCGTTCAATATGCTCGGTGGGATTTCCACTCATATCTGAAATGCGCACGGCGATACCATCACGCATGCCAATGATACCGAGTTGAGAGATGGGGTTCTGTTCAAAGTATTCGGTGACGAACTCGCTGGCGTAGCGGATGGTAAGGAGGTAGCGCGTAGGGCGCATGTCTTTTTCGGTCATGGCGAAGGAGAGATCGAGGATGAGGATGAAGTGCCGGATAATACCTCGTTGTAAGGGCGTTGTATCTCTCAATAATCTGACGTTTCCAATATCAGCAGACTGCCACGACTTCGAAGTATTGGAGACAGAAAGAGGACTTTCCTTACCTCTTCCTCTTATTAGCCTCTCTCAATCCCTCGACTGTAGAATTAATACTCCCATCAGCTCCTTCCACAACAGTGTCCCAACTTCTTTGAATATCCTCCCACGCAGCCCTTCGTCTGTTGCCCCCGCCGCTTGTAGCTTTTACTTTGGTATTTGATCCGGCAGGTCCTGCGACAGCTCCAGTAGATCGTGTGCCATGTTCAGCATTTACAGTGACTGGTGCTCCAATATCATCATCTGAGAGATCATTCACGTATTCGCCATCGGAGTCCGCCATTATTATGGCCGAAGGAACTGAATCTGAGGACAGAATGTTATAGTAATTGTATGATGAATTCAGGAAGACAAGGCTGAGATATTTTTGAGAAATATTAAGGCTAGAGTTTCCTACACATTTCAGTGGGGCAACTTAAGTGGTTGATTGCCGAGCGAAGAGCTAATATTATTAGGGGAGCAAAATCAATTATGCTTTTATCAGCCTTATGTTATTCTTATTAAACATCTAGAATTTCATTGGCCTCACATAATTCCAATTCCCGGAGGATACCCAAGTACATAATATGCAAGTCTGCATTGGCTTCAATCCTCGCGCTGGAAAGCTACCCTACCAGTGGTCTATCACGCATTGAAATATGAGATTAAGTGGGGCAGAAGGGTCTGAGACTCTGAGATCGCATGTAGTATGTACTAGTAATGTGATCTATGATCTATTTTGATGCTCTGAATTAATCTCTATCTCCTCCTATTATTAAGTTCAATGTTGGGTATAATACTCTCAAAATCAATATACAAGCCATTCCGCCAATTCATATAATCATTCCCAGCTGCGCCCTTGTCATTATTACTCGCCTCATTTTCGTGTGACGTGGTTATCTCCCGTCCTCATTAACCCCTAGACAAGAGCTGTAGCTGCAATGCAATGCACACTATCCTTGAGCCAATATTCATGCTGTTTGTGTAGCAAGATGTACCGCCCCGGGCATTAAACTGATATTGTCGTAAGACTTTCGTGTGCGCATTATAACAAAATTCCTAACTCCATTGCTCCCTGATTGTCTTGATTTGGTCATGAATATGTGTTTGCGACAGGCATTGGCCAATCATCTTCTGTAATACTTGACCAAAACGTCCATATCATGACCACAGATAGTAAAGTGAAGAGCGTCTCGAAAAGAGCCCCATCGATTTTGCCGTTTGTGCCGTTGCAAATATGAGGGCTGATCACATAATTGAAAATTTGGCCAAGAGCAAATAGAACAGCAGCACCCGCTAAGAAAATCATGGGTTTACGCTCGCCCAAAACCTTAATGACCAGGACTATCTCTAGGACGAAGAATACGAACAGAAATACTAATGGCGCGAGTTGATATAGGACGTAGAGAGCAACATTTCGGTTCTGGCCGTTGCCTTGACCAATTAGACTTGAGTCGAAGTGTCCGGTCCAGCTGTATCCAGTATCGAGAGCAATGTATCCAGTCCCGATGAAGAGAGCTGCTGCTGAAGCAAACATAAGGACTAGTGACATAGCGGTCCCGTCGTCGATTATCTGATAGCCCACAACGGCATTCAGCATCAGAATCCATAATGTTGCGCTGATCATTCCTAGGTGGATACCCGTGAATGCCTGGAGTGAAGGTCAGCTTCCGCGTATGAGTCTTAGAAGCTTGGTCATACTCACTATTCGAACAGTTGCGCTCAAAGGAAACTCGCCCACAGTAAATATTTCACATATTTCGATAATCAGATATCCTACGAGGAAGAGTTGCATCTCCCTGGGGAAGATATATTAGCAGAGAACGCAAATCAAGAGTATCCTTCAGTAAGTTGTACGAACCTTCTTCCCACTGCTGCCTGTTTTCGATCTGAACGCCATATCAAGAATGCAGTAATTACAATTGCAATTCCTGCAATTACTATTGAGCCTTCGAAAGTGTTAGTCAATGGATTTCCAATAAATTGATTACTGGGAACGAACCCAGATTTCCTAGATGTTTCCCACCACTCAAAGATATACCCGTAAGCTCGCAGCCTCCATATCCGAAATTGCTGTTGGTAGGAGGATTGAATAACTGTTCAAAAAGTCGGGTTAGTAACGTCGAATCGCGAATCGTATCATTGAAACTGGGGAGTGGTACGAACGTTGCAGACTGGTAACGTCGAGTCACGGCAGAAATTCTGGAAGGAAAGCTAGTCAGTATTGGATTCTAAACACTCAATGGCAGCTGAGAGTCATAAAGATCTACTCACATGGAAATTTCCAAATTGTGTTGACCCCATCTTCTCTCACTAAAGGCAACAATTCGCGATTGCACCTAGGAGATCTTTGGTGATATTTAATTACTTTAATTTTGTTGCTCTGTAAACAAAGAGTAAAATTGATTATTCTCGTAGTTGTGAAATTCCAATGCGCGCGTGTATATTGTGAATGAAGGATTGATCGATGGTGAAGATGGGACTACTCCTTCACAATCCCTAGGTATCTTCAGTGGTTTCTGTTTGTCGTATTGTTCTTTCCTGATCGTTGCCCTTGGACCCCTCAACCTCGACCCTTCCTCAGCTTCCTAGATCAATGTTTGAAGCGCTAACGAAGCAGTTAGGATGGAATTTCAGGTACGAGGCGCTAGAACTGCCACTGCCACTGCCACTGGTAGGCTGATTTAGATTGGAGTTCGTGGGTTGTTTGAAGTAAAAGGCTGTGTAGAGTCGAGTTTCGTAATTGCGAGAACTGGACTGAGTATATGAAATAGATACCTTGCTGAGTCTTGACTCTTGATACAGTGAAGAAATCGGAAAGTATACGAAAAGTATATTTTTGATAAGATTAGAGATTGAGAATGGTAAATTGTGTGTACATAACATAAATTAATGATCAAGAACTGGGAAGTGAAGTGAATAAATTGCCCTTGATGCAAAATGCGCTGGTCAAAAATAGCGAAGGCTGGTCACCGTAGCCACAATGAGTAGAAGAAGTAAAAGAGATTTAATTGTGCAGGGCTGTCTAAACCATACAATTCCTTTTCTTCATAAAATAAAATTATCATCTATTTGTACCTGGACAATTTTTCCGTGGTAACGAAATGATCTTGATCTTGTCAGAGCAAGGGTTGATTTGAGATTCTGAAAGTTGAATCGAATAGGTTAGTGAATGGTTACAACAGATATAAATCTTCAATTCACGTATTACCTCTAGGAATTACCTCTAGGCTCTAGGCTGGTTCTTTTCAAATCCTCCCTAGAAGATTACATGAAGGGATTGATGAAATTCGAACGATGGTGAATATACCTACTAGGTGTTGAAGGGGTTGGAACTCAGCCTCTCAAAAACGAACTTCCCGCCAGGTTTTAAAGGGAGCAAACCGCCACAAAATGAAATCACGCTCTCACCATTGATTTGATGTATCGGTAGGATGCCATGTCACCTTGAAATATCGGAGATTGAAAAGTAACGAGATTGTGGTCACTGTGAAGAGATCAGGCTTGACGGAAAAGAACGGATAAATGGTTATTGTTGTCACGAAGTACTAACGAATTATTGAAAAGAAAAACTTGTCCTTACTTGATACGCTGATCTTTCCTTGCAATAATCTCGTCAATTTCGTCAATTTGTCCCGTTTAAGTACAAAAGGTACCAATAAGGGAAGGGAAACAGGCTGAACATCACAATACAATTTCTTGTTGAAGCGGATTATCTGGGATCTACAAATTCCTTTACAATTAAGCGCCTGCAAGGCTCTTTCTTCCTTACTGTGTCTTCGATTCTTCTATACCGAAAGATTTACGTCTTTAAGTGTTATCGCGACACTGATTAATGGAGAGAATAATACACATATATGAGAGGACATACCGGGATCTGGAAGGACAGACTTTCCGTAGGTTACACAAGAGCTTTCCAGGTTTGAACCCCATATTTGATATTGTGAGGGAACTGAATAGTGGACAGGTCTGATCTGACAAGTGCTTTCTTGAACATTATGTATATCTTTTCTGTGAAGTCCTAGGAAGATGCATGAGTCGCGATTTTCACTAAAGTCGAGGGACCTTAGAGTATATACCGGTTCTTGCAACTAATCTCGCCTCCCAAATCCAAATTGAATAGCATTCTGGGGAGAGCGACGACCTCCTTGCTTCAGCTTTGGTGATGGCATTTTCAACGCTAGCCTTATATGTCTCTCAAGTTCCTTAACCCCCCAAGGAGGAGGCTTTCAATAATGAGCATCACACATCTACAACAACAATCTCAAATCTTCGGATGCAGTTCAAGTTTTCATCTTCGATATCAACAATTTCTTCTTCAATACCTACTTTCCGAAAGCTTCTGCCATGATAGCTCCTTGGACATGATCTAATGCTCTGCATGGACTCAACATTCTAAGCACATCCCCGGATATTTGAGCTAGGCAAATTCGAGGGCAACTTTCTATGGATCACCATGAGTCCATGGAGTTGTGGGTCGTGGACAAGCTGATCTCTTTTGGGGAGTCTCAGGATTTCCTGGACTATTGGAAACCATGAATAGCCCGGCTTGTACCCATCCATATACTCGAGTAGTTGGGTTGAATACTCATTCTGGTGATAACTGACTTCCAGTGTCTATCTTCGACCGGGTGAAGAACAGCAGCCTGTGTGCCGACTACGGCTTTACCAATACTCATGAGAATCCACAATGCCTGAATAGAATTCAGAAATGAGGATAAAGCGTAGATTGAGATTATTGTATATTTGGTGCTTTTCTCTTGGAATCTTGATCGGGACAAAATTATTGTGCACCTCTTCTAATATGATATCAGCAGACAGAGACACACAACCTAGGTAGCTTGAAACCCCCGTTATCCACATGATCATGGACGGAAAAAAGAAATCGCGAAGTGATACTCATTTCATCGACGTTTGGGATTGCATTGATGCTCGATTGTAAATGACCTCATTGGACAGATTAATATGGAAAGTTATACCCAGGCTAACTGGCCTTATGAAGATTGGTAACGAATGCCGTTGGAGTTGATCCATATCAACCCAGGAGAGTACAGCTTTTAATGGGGAGATAACACGGTTCTCCATATTCTTTTGTGGAGTATGAATTTGGAAGTTCATGCTTATTACTTTATTTTGAATATGTTAATATCGCAGCTGAAACTTTGATACTGTATATAACGAGATAAAAGAAGACAAAACGAAAAGGGGCAGTCTTACTCAATCCCAAGTCCATTTGTTATCCAAATATAGCACATCAGCACGTGATGCAACTATGTACCTAGTAATTAGTACCAACTCTCATCGCAGGATCCGTTCTCTGGTCCGCGTCCCTTATTATTAAACTCCTCGTCATCCGCCCATATCAGTAGGACGACAACACACAGCTTTCCTTTCAACATCACCAATCCAACATCGTATTCAATCACAAAGCTGGAAGATACAGACGCCGAGTCTCTTTATGTTTCATTTTCTTATCATATGAATACTCATCTCACCGCGTGGGATCCACAATTTAACGGCCACGGCCATTCAGAACCATTCAGGGCCTCGGTGTTAGTGACGTGCCATCTCATCCACTTCGTGAACTTGTGCCTACCCCGACTTTTTCCCCACCAATCCAACTCCACGCGCTTTGGGCTGCTGCTACAGCTCAATTACCTTCAACATTCCTTCCCCAAAATCGGCTCGTCGCCCTGCGAACATACCGTTACGAACATTGTCTACAGCGGGTCGATCCAACCCTAGCCAAGGACTGCTGGGCTCGGACGAGAAGCAGGGTCGGCGGTCTTCCCTTTCGCGCTCATCGTCACCTGGTTCCGAATTTTCGTGGAGTGACACAGGTGATCTCGCAGAGCAACTTGCAGACGAGGAAGACCCGTTACAAATTCGATTACGAGCATCCCTTGACGAAGAGGTTTTTGGTGGCTCTTCCAAAAGAAAGTCAAGAAAAAGGGTTCGATATAACGACGAGACCAACAGCAAACAAGAGAAACACTACAATCCTGGACTTGTTAAAGAGGATATCAAGATTCCAGATCCTAGCCCTCGACGAATAAGTAGAGTTGAGCATATTCTAGCCTCAATCATGTCGGGAGGTGAGAGGCAGATGCATGGCCTGACAGGCCGGCCATTAGTGTAGGGACTCTGATTGATATACTTTACGGATGGATCTGACGATGAAGCAGGTATTTTACTAGTATTTTTGTATCATTGGGTGTGTTTTTATTTGGATATGATCAGGGAGTTATGTCTGGCATTATCACGTATGTATTCCTCTACCTACACAGAACTCCATTTCTTGGCTAATCGCCTCATAGTGGTCCTTACTTTAAAGATTATTTTAATCAACCTTCCCGAGCTGAGGTCGGCACCATGGTTGCTATCTTGGAAGTCGGCGCATTTATTTCCTCCCTCGTCGTTGGGAAGGTTGGTGATATAATAGGGCGAAGAAGGACAATTTTATATGGGTCCTGCATCTTTTTCGTTGGAGGCGCACTTCAGACAATGGCTACTGGCATGCCTATGATGCTTCTCGGTCGTATCATTGCAGGTGTTGGTGTTGGTATGCTCTCAACGATTGTGCCCATATACCAGTCCGAGATATCACCCCCACATAACCGTGGTAAGCTTGCTTGTATTGAATTTTCGGGCAACATCACAGGATATGCAACCTCTGTATGGGTGGACTATTTCTGTAGTTACATCAAGGGAAATATGTCTTGGAGGATTCCTCTATTGATGCAATGCGTCATGGGCGCACTTTTAGGTGTTGGAAGTTTGATTATTGTCGAGTCACCAAGGTGTGTATTCTTCGTTTTCTAAAATATTCGTGTGACTAATGATCTCAATCAGATGGCTTTTGGATAACGACCATGATGAAGAAGGTATGGTAGTTATTGCCAATCTCTATGGCGGTGGTGACATTCATAATCAGAAGGCGCGAGAAGAATATCGGGAAATCAAGATGGATGTATTGCTGGCTCGCCAGGAAGGTGAGAAATCTTATAAAGATATGTTTCGACGATATCGTACTCGAGTCTTTATAGCCATGTCGGCGCAGGCTTTTGCCCAACTTAACGGCATCAACGTTATATCATACTATGCTCCTCTTGTCTTTGAATCCGCAGGGTGGGTCGGCCGTCAGGCGATTCTGATGACAGGTATCAACGCTATCACGTACTTCCTGTGTACCATACCGCCATGGTATCTAGTAGATCGATGGGGCCGACGCTTTATTCTTATGAGTGGTGCAATAGCTATGGTCATCTCGCTATCCGCTATCTCTTACTTCTTATTCCTGGACATAGGAGCTACACCTACTTTGGTTGTCATCTTTGTCATGATATATAATGGAGCATTTGGATTTAGCTGGGGGCCAATTCCATGGCTTTACCCACCCGAGATTCTTCCCCTCAGCATACGATCCAAAGGAGCCAGTCTGTCAACCGCCACGAATTGGGCTTTCAATTGGCTCGTAGGAGAAATGACGCCTATCTTGCAAGAAGTAATCACATGGCGTTTATACTTGGTTCATGCTTTTTTCTGTGCAACAAGTTTCGTTGTCGGTAAGACTACTGTTGATCCTCCATATGTGCAAAATCTAACAACCTGTAGTATACTTCATTTATCCAGAGACAGCCGGTGTAAGACTGGAAGACATGGACATGATATTCGGTGACGCGACTACAGCAATGCCCACGCCAGCGACCAGAGCCGAAAGTGGCTCGTTGATGGGCATCAGTTCGCCTGTTCCTTCTGTTGACTTGAGACGTGGATATGGTGGTCCGAATGGTGGTATTGGACCTTCAAGTGCCATTCCAGGTCTTGATATTGACCCGCCTAATGTTTCGATTGTCAATGGAAAGCCTCAATATGGGGCAGATGAAGAGTCGGGAGAAGGCGTCGGGGGGTGGATCTCACGTATGGTGAACAGGAACAAGGGCGAAGGGGATACCATCAAAAGTGGAAAGTATAAGCCATTAGATCAAGATGAGGAATGAGCGGCGTTATCTGGCAGGATACCAGATTGGAATTAGCAGCAAGCGGGCGCACATGGAAGCTCGAAGGGGAGAGTGTAATACCAGTGCCATCTAGAGCACATATAGAATGTTAATTAATCGGAATTTGTAGATTATTTTCAAGGGTCAATTAGATACTTTAAAATTTATAAGAGAGACTAAAAGATCGAAAACTGCAGTACTGTACCCATATTCACACATCTCGTCTGACTTTGACAGCCCTGTAGGACCAACACTTCTTTTTTTGCAACTCAAAAGATAAGATAAAAACGTGCATAGTTTACCTGGTAGGTCACAATATAGTAGAATGATATACTCAGGTATAACTTGCCATCACATGAGAAACAAAAAGTTTCAATGAGATAGATCGTAAAAGCTTCCCAGCTTACTTAGCCTCGTCAGCCTCGTCAGCCCCAGAAGGACAGATTTTCGGGTGCGCGGTGGGTGCACTAAAATTAGATTCCCCAATTGAATTCAAGTAAGGTAGACTTACTAGTATACTGCTAGGTAATCTTAGTATAATCTTTTAGGGAGACCTTCACAAGGGATTACTTACACCTTTACCTCCTCTTCGTCCACCCCTACAACCTGGAGAGAGATGCGAGTCTTCTCTAATTAATTCAATCTTTCTTCAGTTCTTCGACATTCCCTGGGCACTTTATACACTTTACGTTGCGACTTTCATCTCGACAGCCCCATCGGCCCTGGGCCACGAACTTTAAGCTGCTCATCACTGCAGATCATAAAATATTGAAGGCTACTTTGGGAGATACGTAATAGGGACAGAGGAACCTTTTCTTTTCGAATATTTCGCAGTTATTCGAGATGGCTTCCGACAAGACAGCAACAGCTGTAGCTTCGGGTGCAGATCATACTCAAACTACTCGACGACGTAATGTACCATCATCCAATGGTAGTCTTGTCGACACCTTGGAGATAGATGACAAGAAGACACAAGTCAAGAAGGTAAGCAAACCTTATGCTGTTTCTCCTTAATACTTTTGAGCATAGTGGACTAATGATTTTTTTTATTCGTGACAGGGACGTAAAAACATAGTACAGTTCCTTGACGAGTGGGAGTTCTTAATTGCACCATTGGTTTTTACAATATTCGCATTCTTCACTAGATTATACAAGATCGGCCTTTCACCCATTGTTACTTGGGATGAAGCCCAGTAAGTATCTCCTTTGCTTGCATGACTCTCGGAGACTGGAGACTGTAGACTGATCATGTCGGCACAATATAGTTTTGGGAAATTTGGATCTCATTACATCAAACGAGAATTCTACTTCGATGTCCACCCTCCTCTCGGAAAGATGCTGGTTGGCCTTTCCGGATACCTTGCAGGTTACAATGGCTCTTTCGAGTTCAAGTCCGGAGAGCAATACCCTGAAGATGTCAACTACACCTTTATGCGTGCGTTTAATGCCTTCTTCGGCGCCGTTACGATCCCCTTGGCCTACTTCACTGCTCGCGAATTGAACTTCAAGAGGCCAGCTGTATGGTTCGTTACATTGATGGTTTTGTGCGAAAACTCCTATACCACAATTAGTCGCTTCATTCTCCTGGATTCTATGCTCCTCTGCTTCACATTTACCACAGTCCTCTGCTGGGCTAGATTCCACAATCTCCAAACGCAAAGTTGGACTGGTGAATGGTTCGCTTGGCTCATATTGACTGGTATAAGCATTGGTTGTGTCTGCAGTGTAAAGATGGTCGGTCTGTTCTGCACAGCTATGGTTGGAATTTATACAATCGAAGATTTATGGAGAAAATTTGGCAACACCAAAATACCAAAGGTACCTGAAGATTAATTCCTCGGTTAATTGGTTGCTTTGCTCACATATCTCTAGGTCGAACTTGCGGCACATCTTGGTATCAGAGTAATTGCTTTGATTGTCATCCCCGTACTCGTTTACATGTTCTCCTTCGCTCTCCACTTCGCCATTTTGGAAAACAGCGGACCCGGTGATGCTCAAATGAGCTCCTTATTCCAAGCCAATCTGAAAGGAACTGCAGTTGGAAAGGATAGTCCACTTGAAATCGCGTATGGATCTCGCGCCACGATTAAGAATATGGGATACGGCGGTGGTCTTCTTCACTCCCACGTTCAGACCTATCCTGAAGGATCCAACCAACAACAAATTACTTGCTACCACCACAAAGATGTCAACAACGAATGGACGTTCTATCCTAATCGTTCTCAGCCAGAATTTGACCCAGAGGCACCACTCAAATATGTTGCCGATGGTGATGTCATGCGCCTGCTTCACACACAGACTGGCCGCAACCTTCACTCACACGATGTATCAGCACCCATTACCAAGGCCGACAAGGAAGTCTCATGTTACGGAAACACCACTGTTGGTGATGACAAAGATCACTGGACCATGGAAGTTGTCAAGGATGTTTCCTCAAACGACCGAAGCAAAATTAGGACATTGACTACTTCTTTCCGACTCAAGCACACAAGTTTAGGATGCTACTTACGAGCTGGTAATGTCAACCTGCCACAATGGGGTTTCAAGCAAATCGAAGTCACTTGCACCAAGGACAACAATCCCAAGGACGTCTACACTCACTGGAACGTTGAAGCTCACTGGAACGAGAAATGTATGTTCATCAAATCGATTAGCGAAAACTCTACTAACCATATTTATAGTGCCTGCTGCTGATGCTGGAGCTTATAAATCTCCCTTCATTCATGACTTCATTCATTTGAACGTTGCCATGATGACTTCGAATAATGCACTTGTGCCAGATCCCGACAAGCAGGATGATCTAGCTTCTTACTTTTGGCAATGGCCGATTCTTAACGTCGGATTAAGAATGTGTGGATGGGATGACAATATTGTTAAATACTTCCTTCTCGGAAATCCTCTCGTATACTGGGGTTCCACCGCCTCCCTTGGTGTTCTCGGTCTCCTCGTTCTCTGGTACCTCATCAGATGGCAACGCGGATACGCCGAGCTCGAACAAAACGAGATTGACCAAATTCATTACGCTGGGCTGTACCCTGTTCTCGGATGGTTCCTCCATTATATGCCATTTGTCGCCATGGCTCGTGTTACTTATGTTCATCATTACTATCCAGCACTCTATTTCGCCATCTTGACGTTTGGTTTCTGCACGGATTGGATACTGAGAAATCAAGTTAAGACATTGCAATATGCAATGTATGGTGTTTTATATGGCTTAACAATTTCGCTTTATATTTTCTTCATACCTATTTCGTGGGGTATGGAGGGGCCTAATAAGGAGTACTCCAGGCTGAAGTGGTTTGATAGCTGGAGAGTTACTGACTAGAGGGATATCTAGAGTGAGAGGGAGATGGAGTCCCCTATGTATGGGGAGGTAACATCTAAACGTTGGGGGTGGACGGATAAATGGATGGATGGCGATCTTATTTTGTGGGAAATGGATGGGGAAAGGGAAATCTGGAAAAAGGGGAAAATTCGCATAGTAAGGTGGATGGCGTGATTGATTCTGATACGAATTTCTGCTTTACTTTACAGATACATATATGTGTAACGAAAAAAAACTGTCTCTCAACTTTTCTATTTTGTAGGGTTCTGATGTTACGTTAAATATCTGGATTGTACTAAAAGTTTCTTGGATGTGATGGGTGAATGGATGGTTAGGAGCGGGTTGTTAATGGATAGGGGGGAGGGGGGTTGATTGCGAATATAATGAATGAATGGAGAGTTGACCTGTATGAGTAATTGTGCATTGAGTAGATTTTTTTTTTTGGATTATATTATATGAACAATCTGCTGATCTACTGGTGTGCGTGCGGTGTGTATGTATATAAAGAAACGAAAAAGATCAAGACGGATAATTGTTTACTCTATCTTACTTTTGTTAGTGTCAGAGTGAGTGTGTGAGTGTAGATATAGTGTAGATATAGTGTAGCTGCTGTCGCTCTAGATCGTGGGGATGCGGAGGGGGGGGGGGGTATAGGAAGATGGGATTTGGGATCGGAGGATTTTAGAGAGGGAGGGGGAAGGGGGAAGGAATTTTCATGTTTTTGTTATTTTGGAAATCGATATTGGATCGGGGGAGGGGAGGGGTGGGATAAGATGGGGATGGGGGAGGAGAAGGAGAAGGGGGAGTAGGAGGGGGATAAAGCATGGTATTTATGGTACGGTGTAGGTAAAGCTTATTACTGTTGTTGTTGTTAATGTTGTTGTACTTGAGTACTTAATTATTTGTGTACTGAGTACGAGTATATACATACTCAAGTATATGAGGGTATTAATCCGGGTAGATACAGTACTCTCTCTGTAAATAACAACTAAGTGATGCTACGCATGTAACGCATCCTTTCATACCAGTATTCGTATGTACAGTACTACTACTTAAGTACTACTCGTATTCATAAGCGGAAACAACATCGTAGATACTGTACCGATCCAATGAATGATGATCGAGATGATCTGATCTACACTATCTCCATCTCAATAGCAAAGTACCTAGGTAGCTATAAACCCCAGCCCAGAGTCCAGATTACCTAACCATCAATACTCGTATAATGAATAATGACTACCTAAGTACAGTAATTCGTTGTACATATACCGATACTCTACATGAGAAGTCAAAACACCCCATCCTATACATACCAGCCCACTCGACGCATCCCTAGGTATATATGCAATAAGCGAGGTTACATTTACGCTTTGTACATACGGTATACATACATACATGTACATACCGGTACATACCGGTATACGGTATGTACATACCATGTACCGATATACAAAGGGGGGTATTATATTATATTGGAGGAGAGGAGAAAGAAGAGAAGCTCGGTAGGATAAATACATGGGGCTTGGCTTGGCGTTTGCTGGTTTGATGGATGTATGGGTTTACCAGGATAGTGTGGTATGTATGTATGTATATATATATATACTTTTACTGGTATGTATGTATGTGTTTATTGTATTGTATGCATATATAGTGCGTGTGTATGGTGTGTGTATGGTGTGTGTGTGTATGATATATATAGATGGATAGATTTCTCGTGTGGTGTGAATACCTATGTATGTATACGGTATTCTGGTGTTTTTGTTTTTTTGTGTTTTGGTATTGGCTTTGATATGATGTGATGTAAAGTATGAGCTGTGTTGAATTTTTTGGGGCTGGTACTTGTAGGTCGTAGGTTGTGGATTGTAGATTGTGGATTGAAAGATTAGATTGTAGATGGGGAGATAGGATGGTTTCTGTAAGAGGGGAAGGGGAAGATCTAAAAGGTGGTTGGTCGTGATTGGTATGTTGACAAGCAAAGTGCATTTTGCATGGAGGTTGGAGGTTAGAACTTAGAAGCTATCGCATAGATGAAGGGGTTAGTGATTGGATCAAAAGGGCATCCCAGTACGACTTTGAAAACATTGAGGAACCATAAATTGACATCTAACGATGCTTCCCGACCCGTTTCGTCATACAGTACGTGTACCTTGCAGTATTGCATATGTGTGCTGCTCACCATGCTATTTGAAGATGATATCTCTTTTCACTATTTGCAATTTTGTGAGGCAATTATGTACTTAGTTAAAATACATATCTGCACGTACAATTATATTATGCACATGTGGATATATGTATGCATGTACTTGTTGAAGATATGTATATGTCTATTTCATGTATATGTAGTAACACGCTGCACATGTGTAGAAAGTCGAGATGGGAAGTCAAAGTTACGCTTTGGATGAAATGGGACGAAATCTTCGATAAGATGCTGTGCCAGATACCCTGGAGATACACGGGATTATGTCGATGAGACGATGATCTGAGACTTTTACTTTGGAAGATTGGAGGGTTGAAGTTTTCGGAATTTGATTGGACGGGATTGTAGTTGACGTGTTGTGCTCTGGTCGTCGGATAGGCATGAGGGTTTGATAGCTGCTGTATGTTTCTTGATCCAGATGATGATAACGAAAGTCCTCGTCCGTAGGTTTGTTTGTCAGTTGTATTGAGTGTTGGGTCAGTCATGCGATATGGTTATGTTTGGGATTAGATTGGCAGAGGGTTGGAGCGGATATGCAGTGTTGTTGATTGAAATTGTGTCGATGTCGCGGCCGAAAGGATCTGAAGGAAGTATGGATTGAGATTGATAGACTCGTTAGCTTGTTCTTTGGCAGTTCTGATTCATTGCATTACATTGCAGCGATTACTGATTAGTAGGATAGGACATGTTTCTATGTCGACACATGTATAATTATTGGCCAAAGATAGATGAAGAGTAGTTAGTCATCGTAGCAACTGTAACCTTTCGATTTTCGGTGGAAGTATGATATCCTTGTGCGGGGAAAGAGTTTCGATCGACCGGTCTAGATCTTGAAGGGAATGGAAAGCTGACGAGTGAATAGCGTGGGGGACAAAGTGGGGAGCAGAATGTAAATGGGGGAGAGGTGGGTTGCAACGAAGATGTCGTGCTTTCGGCATCCCCTGAAATATCCAGTGCCAGACAAGCCTCCCGCACCTGCCAATTGTTCGTTGCAGAACTCCCGCTTTTCCAAGCATTTCCAGTTATTACTTTACTAGATAATGCTTCTGTTGTCGAAAGAATCCATGCAAATTTGTAAGATAACACGAATCAGGAGGCTTGGTACCTGAAATACAACCAGCCTCGAAGAAAGCGCACGCTCAAGCTGGCAAGAGGGTGGTTTCTCATTCTAATGCTTAATTCAACCACGATCCAAACCTTACCTCTATTAAGGAAATGTAATTCAATAAATGAATGCTTAATTAAGAAGGATATTGCAGTAGCGAACTAGCTTCATACTATTGTTCCGACAACGACCCATTCTCATTATAGATGTCGGAATGTTCATTAGAAAATGGGTGCTAGACTTGTTTGTAGTAAAACTTCAGACGAGTACTGGTTTTGAACTTGAATATGTGAATATTCTGAGACAATATACTAAGCAAATCAATCAATGCAGGTTCTGAGCCACTTTTAACGGTGATCACTCGGAATAGTAGAGTATGATCCGATGATGCAGATGCTCGTGGGTGACTGAATGATCTTCGGCTAATGGCAGACATGAAATTCGGCTCGGGTTCAGAAGGATGTAAAGAAGAAGATTATACCGATCATGCCGATGGAATCATCGGTTCAAAGTACTCCTTGACGGAGATACATTGAACTCTTACGATTGATTCAGTCTTTCAAGAAACATGATTGGGTCAAAGAATAGGTTCGAGCCTCTGTTATTGGTATCGTGCAGAAGTCAATCTTAGACAGCATATCTTGTTCGTCCAATCTAAGATCAATGCCTCGGGACGTGGGGTGGCAATCACGTATACTACACGTGATATACCTAGTAACAACGGTCAAGATCCAGGAGACAGGCTAGTCGCCTTGTCTCAACCCTTCGAGCAATCCTAACTTGGCAATTGTATTTGTGGTACCAAAATGCAACGGCAAGCCATGCGAGATTGATATAGTACCGCAATACTACAGTATGAAAATAGCTATGCAATATCTAAGGTTGTATATTCCTTGATATTAAATTGATAAGAGGCGTCGAAAAACGCCCACCCACATAAGGACCTGCATGAAAAATGGGAAGACATAACTCGGATGACTGAAGTACATCTCCCTATCTAGACCACGACTTCCTCAGATTCATAAAAATAGTGATCAATGTGAAACTTTGGTCCTTGGCTCATTCCTGTAAAATCACTCGGAAAAGGGCACAAAACTGTCTGCAAATCGAACCATAGCCTCTCCATGGTATGATTGTGCAATAAACCAATGCAAAACCAAGAGAAGGATCATTCAAACATACCCTTGCTTCGAAGTTCGCAAATAGTAAAACGGGCGAGATTTCCCCATGAAATTGGCGACTGAGTTCACTGGAACCCCTCATTCTTTTGACAGCATGCAAAATGATTGGGGTTTTAAAGCAGATAAAGCCATCAAAAATGCACACCTTGGCGTGTGTCTATGCAAGCCACGCCCATAAACACATAGTACTCACAAGTAGGGACTGGAAAAGGATGGTCGTGGTGCGAATGGTAGGGAAGAAGGGAAGAATCGGCACGGTTTTTATCTTCTTTGCTTGCCCAAAGTGAAAAACCTGAGGTCCGTAATCGCAATCGTGCAGCAAGCCCTTTGCTCCCCCTCGCTCGAGCAGCTGTCTCTAATTTGACATATCTGCTTGTTTTGCTAGATTTTGGACGCTCGCTCGTGTGTGTTATCCATGCAATTTTGTCCCATTTCTCTCCTTGGCCAGTTGTTGTTCATTGATACCCTTGTCTCCCTATCGACTAGTTTTTCGTGCGTGCGTTGTTTGTCTCTAGGTCTTGTGTTCAGTTGCTGACTATAATAATGATTCAAGGCATGAAATGTAGAAAGGATGTACTCATAGAACGAAGTAGGATACATATTTGAATTTTCGTGAAGAGGTTCGTGTGGGAAGAGGAAGTAAAAGAGTGATAGATACACAGTACATAATGAAGAAATTTGTACTCAGTACTCATATAATCTAATTGGAGAAAGAGCACCTTGGCAGAAGCATCACCGCCAGTTTGTTCTCGAAAGATGTAAAGTTCTACAGTACAGTAGTAGTAGTACTCAAGTACGAGTGAGTAGTCAGTAAGTAGTACATACCATACCAGTATTCACTCACTCCCTTCATCAACTCACCTAGTATTTATCTATATTCACTCTAATCTCTTTCTCTTTCTTCCCTTTCTCCGTTGTATTTGAGCATTACTGAGAAGTCCCATCTCTTAGCGTCAACGTGATCTTCTGATCTTCGTGCGTGGAAACTTCAGCCTGAGGATTACCTAAAAGAACGAGGATCCATCAACCCAGCGACTAAATTGGAGAACTGCAGCAATATTGTACTCCATTTGGTGCTTTACAAAGTACTTACAATCCACATTCTGTACCTCTTGCCTTTTTCACAATTTGTTAATCAATTCACATTCAATATACCCATTTGACTGATACTGCTTTCGACCCAGTAGTTCTAATATCGCCCAAGTAAATCTTATTCGCCTTTTTACTTCCTGCCTGTTGACGCACACCTCACTTGGCGAATAACGATCTCTTCGTCCGATTCCATACGACCGCGTCCATTTCTTCCTATTGCATACGTTTGAAAAGAGCAGCGCATAATGTCCCAGTAGTATTGATATAATCGGGATAGAAGTCATCGTCAGGCCGGTCATCTTGCGCCGAGAATTTGGGAACCTCTGCGGACTAGGGCTTTGACATAGTCTCTACCACCTAAGGATATACAGTACATTCGAAGAGCCTTGTTTTCATATTCGAAGAGGCCGGTTATGCAGGCAATATCAGAATCTGTATCTGCAAGTTCGCCGCCGTTCATTCTCAATTCAGATATGTCGGGTGCGGACTCTGACCCCGATTTTGAATTCCTCGACAATTCCCATATGTCCTTTGAGGCAACGTATAGTCAAAACAATCTCTTCGAGGATTTCTCACACGATTCACCCCCATACTATTCAGCATATACGACACCGAGTGTTGCCGGCCACAAGAGTCCTGAGCAGCCTTCCTTCATTAACACGGCCGTACTGCAGGCGCCTTTGTCATCTCCGTCGACAGCCTCACCGGCTGGCTCGTCCCATAGCTCTACGTCCGATTCAATGGAATATAACAGAAAGTCTGGCTCAGATTCGTCTCGATCCGCTTTGAACTCAGGGGCCGCAATGATGGGGGATGACATAGATATGGGAGATTGGAAAGGCGACGATATGATCAAGGGGGAGAGTATGTCAAATTTTGGTGATTACGCTGGGAATGGGACCATCAACCCAACTGCCATGATCAACAATTTTGGATTCAATGACAAGAGCATGGAAAATGATTTTGACTTTGACAGTGCGTCGAGTAGTCCAAGTCCTTTTGCGACAGCAATGGATATGGAATCACCAGAAATGTCGACTATAAAGCACGATACCCCTCGAAAGATATCGCCAATGGTCAGGAATAAATTCAGGAATCATAATAAATCAAGTTCTGTGAGTCCAATGATTATTCACTGTTTAGTTCCCAATAAAAGAATGTACTAACGTATCTACCAATTACAGCAACACTCGTTAGTACACTCTACAAATGGATACCATATGGGTTCAAGAGAAGCCTCGCCCTTATCTGTAGAGTCAACAAGTCAAGCGTCGTCTCCTGCACATCATATGTTCACCAACTCTCCCTCTCCGAATGTTGGGCTTGAATTCATGTCTGGCATAATGCCCAATGCAGCTCATGGCCTTCCGCCTTGGACAAATAGCATGGAAGTGCCTCATAACATGATGAGAACTCAGGCCCAATTTAATCCCTTATCGTTTCAAAACACACCTCAATACAAGAATCGCCAGAACTCGGGCGTGTCATATACGAAGCCGATTCTGACAATACACCCCACTCCATTGAAGTCACGAGTAGAGACTCAAATTCCCATCAAAATGACACTCTTTCCTGTTCCACAAGGTGTTACCAAGCTTCATTTGCCAACACAAACTATCTCAAAACCTAAACTTCTCGTCAAACCTCCACCGGACCGCTCACCTGACACTTTGGAGCTTTATACGATGTTAGTCTGTTCTAGTGCAATGGAAAATCCGGATATTTTACGAAAGGCTTTGGAAAGAGCAGCAGCCCCCGAATTTTCTCCTAGTCAGTCCTCGGACAGTGGATCCGATGAAGATGACGATCGAAAACCATTGAATGGAGGTGAAGTCCTGATATGTAGCGGTTGCATCACGCGTGAGAGAAAAAGGGCCGCTCGGAAGAAGGTAAAGAAAGTTGAGGAAGAAGAATCATGGCATAAAGACGAGGCCAAACGAGTCATCGTATTCAACACTCATGAAGTTAAGGATTGGCAATCACCCACAAGTCAACCTCCCTCGGAAGCTACGGGCGACCGACCTGAACCCTTCGTACCTGATGGTGCTATGCAGGTTGATGCTCCCATGCGAATTGCATGTTATTGCCGGCATCAAAATGAAAAAATTGGGTTTCGGGTAATATTTACTATAAAGGACTACCAAGAGCGCCTGATTGCACAAGCCATCACCTCTTCAATAATGATTACAGATGACCACAAGACGCACAACCTACTACCTATTCCTGGACAGGTATCCTGTGCGCCCGATGGACAAATGTTTTCAGGTCCGACTTCGTATTCGAATGAGAGAAACTTCGATATGACCTCCGGTGTGGTTCCTGGCATGCATCCTTTCCGTGTTTCACCATCCGCATCGGATCTTCAGAACCTACCACAGAATTTCATGCCGTACCCACAGCCAATGAATTATCCACCATCCAATCCACCTCAAACAATCTCTAATACAATGACGCCTCGACATCCATCGCCACAAGCATCACCTTCGACTCCATCTGGCCCTCCACTTTCTAAGAAACGCAAAGCCAGCTCTTCTGGTAAGGTTCCCACTGGTCTAGCAATGACAAAACTAGAGACAGGGCAAATGGGAATGAATATTGGACCTCTTGTACCGGTCAGCGCCGCCACTTCCACTATACCATCCCCATTTACACCAAATCTCCCCAATTTTCCATCAAATGAGCAGCCATTTTGCCAACCTGCTCCTCCAATGCAACATGTTTCAACGCATTATAATACAGGTCCTCCTACGCCGAATAGTAATGATCAATTATATACTGCGCATGTCCATCGACCCCAACCAACGGACAATTTGGCCATGCACCAACTCTACTCGGCGCCCCCTTCAGGGCATCCTAGTCGTGTTCCAAGTCCGAATGGTATGCGCAATAACGTCCAAATCTATCAGCAGCAGCAACAAGCTCACATGGCACAAGCTGTGGCTAATGGGATATATGGCATGCCCCTGACTTTGAGTCCTCAGCGGCCACCCGTGATTCATAAACTGATACCAAACGAAGGGCCAAAGGCTGGAGGAATAGAAGTTACCTGTTTGGGCAGTGGATTTTGTCAAGGGCTGGAAGTAATGTTCGGTGACGCTAAAGCAACAACAACGACGTTTTGGGGCGAGACATCTTTGGTGTGTCTTTTACCCCCTTCCGCCATTGCGGGTACTGTACCTGTCACGTTCAAACATCAGCATCAACAAAGGCAGCAATATCCAACACCACCAATGCCAAAACAAACCGCGTTCTTTAAGTATGTAGATGATGATGAGCAACAGATTATTAGAACAGCGTTAGCCGTGCTAGGTCATAAGATGACTGGCAAAATGGAAGACGTGCGTGATCTTGCAAGAAGAATCGTGGATGGCCCTTGGGGAGCACCATCAGGTCAATCTCCGCCCAGTGGCGGTGGATCCTCACAGCATGGGGGTGGATTCAATGCGGCAAGTTTTGGTGTCGATGTTGAAGCAACGCTGTTGAGATGTCTAGATCTTATTGATCTTGATGACAGTCCCACCAAGCCGCGCTTCAACCTACGTAAGATTTCTGGGCAAACAATGCTTCACCTCGCTTGTTCATTGGGACTTCATCGCTTCGTTGCCGCTTTACTGGCACGGAATGTGAATTGCGAACCACGAGATAAGGGTGGATTTACTCCTATGCATTTCGCTGCCCTTCATAATCATCCACAAATCGTCCGACGCCTCATCCTCAGTGGCGCTGATCCATTGATTAGAAGTCTCCAAGGATATGCTCCTGGAGATATGACATCTTCCGAGGAAGTCCATCGTGCCGTTCGCAGAGTAGAACATCATTCGAGAAGACGAAGTGGTTCTTCATTGAAAAGCAGGACCAGCAGTGCCACATCATTACGATCGTTATGGCAACCACCAAATGCAGAGATACCCAATGAAAGTGGTATCAGTGATAGCGACGACGAGGACGACAACGAATACGAGGACGAGGACGCTGATGTTGATACTGACGCTGCTACTGATGGCATATTCTCGATGCGAAACAGGCAATCTAGGAGATCAAGTACAAAGAATATACTGAATGAGACTATTGAGACAACCAAAACTCCTGTTCTGGAACTTCCTGAAGTCGAAGCAGACGAAGGCTTGGCCTCTCCAACCATGGCCATGACGGCATTCCGAGATCAGATGATGGCACAATTTACGGCTCAGATGCAGCACCTGCAACAAAGCTTCCATAATGGTATGCATCTTGGTCTCCCAAACCTGCCACAATTGCCACAGATGCCTCAGATGCCACAAATGCCTACACTTGCAAACCTTCCAGATTACCAAGCCTATCTACCAAGTCCAATGGTCCGCCGCATCGGTAGCCGTCCAGACAGTCCTGAACGTCAAGATGGCGCTAAGGAACAAGGCAACAAATGGTGGGATCTTTTCTCCGGTAATGTAGCTCTAGCACCGCCCGCCTACGAAGATATCTTCCCACAAAGTGATGTAGATGTGAAACGAGCTTTCGCAGAACAAGCAGTTGCAGAAACCATCGCGGATAACAAATGTGCCCAAGCATTCGACCAAACAAAAACACACGTTGAGATGTCTACATTTGCGACTCGAGCAGAAAGTTCAACAAATGCTGCGCAAAGGAAATCATTACCTATGGGCACCCTTAGAATTGGTGGAAAGGAAGTAGTGACGGTGGAGCAGCAAAACCAGATACAACTGCTACGGCAGGAGAAATTGAAGAGGGTTAGGAGTGATAGAAAATTATTCCTTATCTGGGTATGTCCATGTTCTATTCTTCTTATTTTCCCCTTCCCTTTGATCTTTTGTCCAAACATTCCCCAGACTAACAAAACTCCACATAGATCCCCCTCCTCCTGGTCATGATGCTCGCCACATTTTACACTCGCATCCCCGCCGTTTGGTCCCGCGCCTCTTACGTTTTCACTTCTCTTACAGATCAAAATCAAGACCAAGGGCGTGTGATGGAAGTTTTATAATTCATTTAGAATTATAACATCTTCCCTGACACTTCATGCTGGCTTTTTTACGTTTTCACATTTTTTTTTAATTCATCTTGCGTTACGTTAAGTACCCCTCGATCGCCTTTACACTAGAAAGCATGGGCCGATTTTTTATTATGCGTTTTAGCGTCTCATGATGACATTTGATTTGATGGGTGGGATTTGATGGTGATACTGATATGATGGTTTGTGGGTTCCTGGGCTTTACCTGTACAGGATCGTTATAGGAAGGATGTATGGGTGGGTGGAAGGATAGATTGGGAAAATATGATGGATGGGACGAAAGGCGGGATGGTTGGATGGGAGGAAGGATGGAAGTCTCACTAGTCGATTTTCAGCAAGACCTTTTGGAAAGTAAGCAAGCAAGCAAGCAAGCAAGCGATACAATCATACCATGCATGCATGGGTGGAATCACAACGAAAACTTTTTATTATCAACATTCGGAATTTGTTCTACGGGAATAGTCTAGGTATTAATGTACAGATGAATGGAGAGAATCGATATGAATCGAATCAGGTAGCTAGCTAAGTAGGTGATTAGAGGAGATAGATGGTGTTGCAAATCATACTTGCACCACATCAACCCATCTAAAATAAAATGAACTCGAAATCGAATGTTTTCCTGGGAGAAAAGAAAATTGCCAGGTATTCCATTCCAATCCATCCCTTCCCTTCCCTGCCCTGCCTCCCATCGCCCCTTTCCTCAAATTGCTCGCCTGTGTAATACATATGCATCAAAATGCTCGCTCAAATCGCTCCAGTGGTTCCGACTACGTATGCTATGCTGCTATGCTATGATTTGCTATGCAAATGCAAATGCAACGGCGCTCTCGCAAATAGGCAAAATAGAAAGACGCCTTTCTCATTCATATCAGTCATAAAGAGAGTCAAGAAATGTGAACAAAAGAAATTAAAGAAAAATTAAAGGAAATTAGGTGTATTGCCGTTAAAAAGCGTAAAGATCGTCGTGAATTTCGTAGAATTAATACATTATCCAATCATCATGTCTGTCGTAAGCTCGTAACACATTTGGGTGAAGTGAAATTTTTGGTTTTGTTGGGGGTTTTTCCTCGTATGCTCTGGATGTAGGTAGTGGTGGTATGTACTGTAGCGGGAGGTGTTCGTGGCTCAGAGAATCAATTAAAAGATCTCGAGATCGTCGGGCCAGTCCCCAGGTTCCTTGGTATTTTGTGTAGATTTAGCTGGTTGTGTTTGTTGCGGTCTGGGAATCTCTGTGTTGAACATTTCGCCACTGGGGAGTCGGACATGTCGTGGAATCTTGGGTACAGGAGGAACCCCGTAATGGTTGGATTCTTGGTCAACGACATCATCTTCAGCTTGAAATCGTTGGGTCAATGATTGACTCGGTTTGATATATTTGAGGGCAGCACCATCGGTTTTGGCGGGAGGTGATTCCTTGGGAACCTTGAGCTTCACAAGTATGCTTTTGGGTCTTTCGGTTTCTTGGCCCTGAGCAGTATATCGGGTTACCGATTTGCGTGCATTGTCCGAAGCAACTCTTCTTTCGGGAGTAGATGGCCCAGTATAGGGACTCTTCTCGTTGATAAATTTGCGATTTCGGCTACTCCTAACCTTCTTCAGAGGTCTGACTTTAAAATCTGGAGCCGAATCGGAATCAGATTCGGATTTAGGTGTAGGCCTAAATGTCCCATCGTTTTCGGCACTCTTCTTCTTCTTCATTGTGCGAGGTTGCTTGGTTGTCGCTGCCGACGCTTTTTCCTCTTCAATACTGGCTTGCTGTGAAGGGATACGAGAAGTTGTAGGTGTGACTTCAATAATCGCCTTGGCACCATTGACAGATCCGCCTGTAATAACCGATTGAGAATGGGGGCTATCAGTCATTTCGCTATCTTCTGACTCAATGCTAGATAGCACATATTCCGATCCTTCCTCAGGAACCGTAGTGGAATGCTGGATTGCTTGTACAGTTCGAATTTGGTTCGTCTTGAACAAATCAGTTGGTCCAGTCGAAGTATGATCCATGCTATCTTGCGTAGTAATAGCTTTTCCGATATTGTGAAAATCTTCATTGCCGTTGAAGTTCTCTTCAGGATCAACGTAGCCGCTCAAGAGTCGCTCAGAGGGAAGGGTCGCCAAAGCACCAGGTACAAAGCGTGCTCTACCATATCGACCAGGTGGAGGAGGTGGCGGATGTGATGGCTGTAGCTGGTGTGACTGCTGATATGATGACTGGTATGAATGCTGGTAAGATTGTGGTCGTTGATAATCAGGGGGTTGGTATATCTGCTCATCAGCAAGTGGCTCTGCGAAAATGTCCGATAATTCACGGCGGGCATTGTCAAGCTTGCTCTCCAAATCACTAACACGCTTGACTAGCTTTTGCTGTTTCTGAAACTCCTTTCTTGAGGGAACCTTTCTCACAGGTTGAGAATCTTCGGGCAACGCAGGACGTGAAATCCACTCTCTGCTCGTCATGTTTTTGAGGTTCGACATCGATGGCGTCTTTCGTTGGAAAACACGTCGAGGGGTTGAAGCATCAACCGGCGCAGAAAACTTCGAGGCAGGACTGTCATGATAAAACTCTTGAGTATGAACGTTAAGTCTACTCTGCTTCTTATCCTCTGTAGGTGAATTTTCTCTCGAATGATATTTATCATTCAACTCGACTCCAGAATCATGCTTGAATCGTGGTGCTTGGTCCATAGAATGCCTGGCAGGTTTGAAGCCTGGCTGCTGAATAATTGCACCGTCGCGAAAGAAACCATTTGCCTTCAACTCGTGATACATCTTTTCCGCCTTCTCCTGACGCTCTCGTACAGCTCTTTGTTGGGGCGTCTCCTCTGGGAATTTCTGTGACTTGGAAAATATCTTCCAATTCGATGGCTTGATTGAAGCTGCAATCTTACTACCGAATCGGAATATAGTCGATTGTCGAGAAGTATCGGATATACCTGCAAGTGACGATTCTGCGCCCATGGATATGTTTGAATGTTGCATGAATCCGTGAGGCTTTGCCATCTTCCTACCTGGAGTATTGTGGCCATTGTTTCCCATAAGCTCATCCTCAATGTATCGTTCGCGAAGCTCCTCTTCATGATAAAGGTATGGTGTTGGCGGAAGTTGACTGACTTTATCATTCATACTACCTTCCATAAATCTCGAGGGACGAGCTCTATGGAGACTAAGTCGGCCAGTTTGAGGGGATGCTGTGGATCTTCGGCTTGTTCGACTGCGAGTGCGTGAAGGAGCTCGAGATGGAGGGGCGACTACCTGTTGAACAGGCGCAGGTGCGGACGGTAGAGGCCAATTTTCGGAGCGGTGACGCTTCTCCTCTGGATATTCTTCATCGTTATCGAAAAGGGGACCCAAATGAGTTCCACCTTCACCATCATCTCTCAGAATTGTCGGTCGGGCATTGCGGTTACTGTACAATCTCTTCGAACCCGTTCTCGAATCGATAGAATATCTAGAATCATCAAATGGACTTTCGCCCATAGGATGATCCATCGACTGGCGGCGAGGAGTCTGATGAAATAAAATATTAGTAATTGTTATATCTCGAACATCTTTATTGATGCTTCCTCGGGACTCGGGAAGGTGCATGCAATCAACCAAGTTTGAAATATGGATCTGGGGATTTGGTGATAACTAACCATGTAACTCGCCATTGCCAATCCTCTCAAGTGCGTATGTTTAACACGGTGACATTGACGCGCACAAATAAATGTGTTTATCGGTTGGACTCCAATAAGGAAGAGAGGAAGGAGGAGGAGGGGAGTCGCAAAGAAGAAAGAAGATCGAAAGACAAGAGCTGAGATGGGGGATGTATGAATTGAATATGCATGCACCTCAAATAGAAGCACCTCTATTTCCTGGTACCTGGTACCTTGAAATAGCGTATCAAAATGTCTTACAAGCTTCCAATATACTCAGGATTTCGCGCATCAAGAGCTTTCTTTTGATTCGTACGGAGTAGTTGTTCTTGTTGATACGAACTTGCAGGATGCATACAATACAAAGAAAAAATGCGGAGTTGATGATAAAATTAGTTCTCACCGCTGCACGAACACGCAGACGCAGACACGGTTTGTTGAGCCTTTTTTGAGTTTTGACTACTTTGGAAGTAGAAAGTAAACAAAAACAAAAAGTGCTGGCTGGTAAGAAGTCAACAAATCCCGAGAACCGTTGCCAAGAAAATAGTTTGTAAATAACTACCTAGGTAATCCCAGCCACTCATAATTAATTCCCACACGCGCGCTTAAGCTTTAATTATACTACTCGTGTATTGTATAACATGTATTTTATACTTCAATAATATTTATTAATCACTATTATTAATGTATCATTCCCCAAATCATATTCCCATTCCCATTGTGAAGTACATATATACTGTTATAACACACAATAATCAGAATATACTAACTTGCCCTTCCAACTCCAACTCGCACTTCCTAATCTAGTATCAATAACCTTCTACCTTCCACCTCCACCTCTACATCCATCTCCACATCCATCATCATCTAAGTCCTAACATCAAGAATCAAAAGGTCCATCCATACATGCATACCCTACCATACCATCTACATCCACACCCACATCCGCTCCTACCCACATCCCCATCAACATCAACATCCACATCCCCATCCCCATCAAATAGCCACTGTCCACTTTCCACTATCCACATATATAAATTACACTGCACTCGAACCCTAGGTAGGTCGGTATGTATGTCAAGCATTAGTTGATTAGAACTAGCTATCTAGCTATCTAGTGGCTAGTGGCTAGTGGCTAGTGGCTAGTGGCTCGAGGACATACGTCTTGCTTTGTAAGATTACATTGTACATTATACATCGTACCTGCATCGTATCTACAGTAACCGTAACGGCCTCAGCCTTGAAAATTCATCACAGGGCAGCTAGCTCATCTGTGGCCTGAATTCTGAAGATCGCTGATATATGTTATGGGTGAATATAATGATGGATCACAATACAGAAAGAGAATTCATGGTAGATATTCGCCAATTGGGCAATCCCTTTAAATAGGCAATTGATCATATTTCATTCTATAGATCTTATCCTACCTATTTCAACCATTTGATTTCATATAGGTAGGTAGGTATTCGACTCAGTGAGTCAGTGCAAACCTAATCCATGCCAGCGGCCTACCCATTCCATCTGATGAAGAAGTCCCCTGCTCTCTCTCTCTCTCTCCATCTTTCCGTTCATAAATTACAGAATGGTTTTCTCCAGCCCCGGCCCTGCTCTCAGCCATCCATTCCAATTTCCAAATGTACCGACGAAACATAAAGTACCGAAGCTGGAAAAGGCCACGTGCTCCATCATCTAGATATCATAAACGAAGTCCCATCCATGTATGCTTTTTCAGAAGCGTACGAAAATATGCACAAATAACACCACCGCGAATCGTATAAGTAAGAAAATGCGAAAAGGCAAATGGGAAGTAAGTATACCCGACAAAATGGTATCGTAAAAATCTGGTTCGAAATCGTATATTGCAAAAATGGTAAAGAAATCGAAGGCGTCTAGAAAAATCCCAGCATTAAACGCCTTTGCTATAAACATGTTTGACGCTCACTTCAGAGGGCCTCTGGAGGTTGATGCTGGATTCTAGTTGAGGTAAGGAGCGGGTTTTTGTTGAACTTGACCATTAGCCCGCTTGTAAATCATTTCATTTCTGAACCTATTTTCTTCCGCCTCTTCTTCTTGTTGGGAAATGGCGCTTGGTCGTCTACCGTTATGTAGCGGCTCGTGAGCAGTGCTGAAAACATCACCAAAGCTTCTCTTATTGGCGGGTTGTGCTGGGTCTACCTCAATGGGAGTGTATTGGTTATACGACATAGATCTCTCTAGCTTGTTGTAGTTGTGGTTTGGCATAGGACTTGGCATGGGGGCCAGGTTTGGTGGCATACGAGAGATGGACATTACCGGGGCAAGCGGAGACATAGCTGCGGGTTGCTCTGTTCTCAGTGGTGCGAGGTCGATCGAATCCTGATAACTAGTGGGATACGCAGTCGTAGGAGGATTACGGCTATAAGTAGGTTCCACTGATTGTTGGCTATGAGGAGGATTTTGAACAGCAGGGGCAATAAGTTGAGGGCCTTGAGGTGCAGTGGATACTTGATATGCAAACGACATTCTTCGGTAGTCTGATTCAAACGATCGTGGTTGAGGAGGATTGGTCGTGGGATGACGATATTGGCTATAAGGCTGCCTCTCCTCGAAGCCAGCGTAATTTCCTGGATGCGGAGGTGGACCTTGAGGTACTTGCTGACGAAATGGTGCCGACGGTCCTTGATTAGAATAAGCAGCCGATATTGGCTGTTGATATGAAGAGGGAGGTGGACGTGGACGTGGAGGTTGTAATGACTGTACGGCCCCGGGAGCAAATCCAGCTTGCGCTATCCAATTCAGTTGTCCGCCATTGGGTGGAAGAGCGTGAGTTGACGATGGAGAACCCGAAGGCGTATGATATGGTGAAAATTCTCCTGATCCACGCCTCTGCTGTGGATCATCATTACTGCTCGCGCTCAGAGCTCTCTGTTTGACAACTTGGGTAGCGTAATCATATGGAGGTGATGTAGCACGTCCCCTTTGTGGGTATTCATCCTCGTTCTCGCCAAAATCACCTCCAGGCTTTGTATCTCTCCTTCTCATTCTTACATCACGTCTAATACGAACTCGGCAACCTTGTTCCGCAACGGTCCTGCTCAAATCGGTGCTTTCGGTGAGCCCAGGGAATTTCTTCGCACTGTATACAGTAAATTGTTCAGATTTAAGCTCCATGCGCCAATCAAAAGACGATTCCGCGTCCGCTGCAGCGCTCGACATCTTTCGCATGCTTGATTCATTTGAAGGTTCGATATCGGTATCATTCTCCTCCTTGGTCTCCTCATAGAGATTGAAGCTTAACTTGTACTGGCCCTCATGTCGAACAGACAAATCGGGGAAAATAAAGTATCCAGCTTCGTTAGGTCTATCCAAGTATGCCATTCCAGAGACTGGCATGCCCGTCAAAACAGGTACTTGAGGAGCCGAATTTTGTACACGACCTTGAGCGATTGTCCGAGCCACTTCTAAGGTTGCAAAAAGAAAGAAGTTTGCATTATAGTGGAACGTTATCTCCTTCTCTTGTCGAGGTTCGGTTTCATCGTAAATGCGAAGTTGAACCACGGGAGGAGGGTCAACGGGCCGTCGATCGGCAGATGCTAAGAAACGGCGTTAGGTTAGTCTATGCAGCAACAAATATTTAAGCCCCTTCTTCACCAAAGAAAAGCCAACATACACTTTGCCCCCGAACCACAAGCTCTTGCACGTTCAGGTTGTTGGATTACCGTCAACGTGTATTTGAGTTTCCTCCCTCCTTTGGTCGTCCTCGTAATTATTTCGGGTTTGCTTTTGGAAGCTGCGGGTGCGGCCATATTGGAGTCTACACCCCCTCTAAAATGCTTCGAAGCGATGGAAATATTTCGTTCAGACATGATTGCCGATTGTAATCAAAATTATAATATATGCTATAACCTCATTGTTAGTCCTAACACATGAAGCCTTCCAGTGACCAGAAAGTTAATTTTGACCCGACACCCAGTTTGATGGGTACGAGGATCGGAATGTAAGGTAAGGAAGCGACAATGCATTATCGAGTCAAATGCTTACTTAGATATGTATGTTTCAAAATTTTGCTCTATTTATGAGGCTTGAAATAATCGTAAAGAATGAATTGTTAAATATATTGAGGTCGGAGTGGCCGCGTTGGCGGTTGGTTACCATTCAGCTTAAACTAAAAAGTTTGGGAATGCTTAGGTTGGTAGGATGGCGAGGGTGGTAACCTGGTAGTAAGTGTTCCTGATGGAACTGTTATCGAGGTATTCTTCGATGATTGAAAACGAAGCACAATAAGTATATTGATAAGGATGTTCTGTGCTTTCTGTCTGCCCTTTCTCAATCACTTCATACCGCTATGTTTTTGGAAATCAGCAACGAGTGAGTGGTATCGAGTGATGTCAAGTTTTCGAGGACGAAGAAGAGATACAGCGGTAAATGGTAGAGGGGAGACCAGACTATCTCTGCACGACAAGGGAATAATGTGGAATTTGCTGGGTAAATTTGCTGGGTATGGGGGCTCTCAGAAGCCAGTCGTGTCAATATCAATGGAGCAAGCTGTGCCCTGTCGCTTTGTACCATCTATCCCCAAGAATTTTAGTTCATTACTCTGTATTGGCACCAATGAGACCAATCCAAGGGCCCGAGTGTATTCCAGAGCAGTGTTTTTGGTTGCCCGCTTTTAGTGCAGTAATGTAATACCGGTACGCAGTAATACCCTAGGATCATCAAAAAAAAAAAAGGTTCCAAAGGTTAGGTTGTTGTGTTTTGAGAGAAAGAAAAGATTGGATCAGAGAATAACTGGTTGACAAACTATGTATGAATGGGCACATATATCCTATTTCACCCAACCCAGGGAAAAGGATTAGAACTGAGAAAGCAGGCTTTTGACAGGGGATTTGACAGGCCCAATAGGCTGTATAACATGGCTTAAGCCTTTCAATAGGCTTATTAGGCTCATCCAATTCTCATTCCGTTACCAGTCTGTAAGTAAGTTTGCACGAAAAGCATCTAGTCTTCCGTGGGTTGGTGGCTGTACATTATTATCTCTCTGCAATGCAACGTACACCAACACCCATCATACCACCATACCACCATACTTGTGAATTTATGGAAGTAATGAAAGACATTGCTATATACAAAGAGCATGTGCACCTTTTTCACAATGTCATAAAAGTCATTCAGTCTTTTCTTGCATCAATATCTTCAACACAATTTTCGTATTCTATGCACGAAACATCATGTCTTTCAAAATGTCCTTACTTTTTCGCCCACACTCCCCCCCCCCCCAGCTTTTGTGTCTCAGCCGAAATCAAATGCTTATTGGTGTCGTATGGTGCGGGTATATAGATTGATTAATGGCTACACGGCCTGGTCAGCAAATCCACTATCTCAACAACCCAAAACTAAGAGATAGGAAAATCAGGTTCACGGGTACAAGTACGGTACTTAGTACTGAGAATAATAGGTATTATCCCCATAAAATCTCAGTGGATGTTACATTTGTGGAAACAAGCACCATTTAGCACTAGGAAAGTATGAAGGGGGTACCGCCTAGGCCATGCATTAATATGTCGCTTAAACCTACATTGCATTTCCGGGAAACGTTTGGGTCTCGAAGCATTTCCGAGCAGTCAGTTCCGTAGGTATCTAGTACCGGTAGCTAATAAAAATGATATCAACATCACCCGTCAATTGACCCGTTCGTGATCGGTGCTTTCGATTGATATCATATTGGCTAAGTATATAAGCTGACCATTCAGCTACCTAAGTACTTATATAGGTAGTTCAGTAACATTTGTGTCTCTCGAAAAGTTTCAATCCATAAGTGGAACTTTCAACTATTCAGGAGATCCCGACTCCCGAGTCGAAGATGATCCTCATGGAGCAGCGTTGGTGCAGTGGGTGGAGTGGTGCCCCTGTCCGGATAAATCCAAATTGGACATCGTACGAGCAGCGCGGGGGACTAATCCCAAAAAATAGTCCTATACCATGGAAATCTAACCACATTGAGGATCTTTCATGCGATACACGGGATAGAATTTTACAATCCCATAATTAAAATCCGGAACCGACTTTACTCGAACCGGTAATATTCGTCTCCCTTCCGCTGGTGTCACCAAAAGCAGTTGATCTCCATGAAATTATGAACCCATCCATATTCTTTCTGATTTATAAGATGATCACCCTCATTTATTCCAAGACATACATACACACAGATAGTTAAAGCATCAAATTAATTAAATTTTCAAATGCCACTACAGTATTACCAGTAATGATGTGATATCGTTTTGGACTATTGGTCTTCACGAAATCATCTACTCGAGTAGAAAAAACAGAAATCACATACAAACAGGCTCCGGGTCCTTTGAGTTCCAGTCGGTTGGTAAATTTGATATGCTGATCAACCAACATTGGCAACTTCTGGCGATACGCTTAACCACATAACATTGGAGTCACGGAGCTAACTCAGCTCTCTTGTATTGTGTATTATAGTCAAAAGAGGAACCGATTAGCTGTAAAGTAGTTTTATGGGCTTATTAAATGCAATCTAGTCCGAAGCAATCTAGGAAGTAAGAATGCTATCCCACGCACATTAACACATACGTGGGGGGAGAAAAAGTAAATGTAATAAATAAGCTCCGTATCCATGCGGCCCAGAGTCTGGCAAAGGCTTGATCGGCCTGAGAAAAAGTAAATCCATCTGGTGTTTCATGGATAAAGGATCTTGAAGATAAGCAACTCTGCCTTTCCAAGAGAAAAGAGGTTGGAGTAAGACGACCCGTTTAAAATCGAAGGTTGTATGCCCGACATCTACCCGGCATCAACCCGATTAATATGTCGGGTTTTCAATCACATCACATCACATCACATCACATCACAATAAATCAATCTACCGACACTTCTTTAATGTCTCAATTCAAGCAAGTGCTTTAAGTTGTACTATGATATCGAAGTTATTAGACTTTTCATTGGAGATCTAAGCCCCTCCTCTCAAGGCTGGCTTGGGACCCAGGTGCGGCCAACCCATCTAAACCTGTCAACGCAGTGCCGAATTCTTTTCTCTGGGACGATGGATCACCTGTACTACGACCTTGTTACCAAAGTAATTAACTTCTTACACCCATTGGTTATATTCCAGAGACCGCAGCAGAAACCAGGTAGCACGCCACCATACCATGATGGTGGGAAACTGTCTCGGGAGCTTTTTTGCATGTGCGAAACTAACCTCCAATAACGGATGGGCTCGTAGCCGTCCGTCCTGCTTTTTGGGTGAACGCCACTCAAATACATATCACGACTCACGAGTAACATGATTGGTGTGGTAGTATCAAAACCAGAGATGGCTTTTGTGGGCGCAGTCTGTGCGACTCATCGTCTTGGCTGGCCGGTAAAAGTTTCCAGCATAATCAATATGACCAAAAATCCTAGTCACAGATTGCAGTGTCGTTCAGATCTAACCAACATCGCCAACTGCCATTCTCGTCATTTACCATTCTAATTATGCTGCTCATCTGATTCGCTTCTCGTGGCCTGGGTCAACTGTATTGTCCACAAGGCTGCATTGTTGTTGGTAGTATTTGGGAGAATGTTCTTACCAGACCATTTGATGGATCAAGTGTGCTTTGAAAGTTTTGGCATTCGGGTGTGGGAATAGCAAGTCAGGCTTTTCCAAACCACGATATGCTTTTGGGCTGACAGGAGTTATTTATTCGTTGGAACTGGCAAGCGCTCTTTATCCTGCCTGTTTCATGGCAGGCTTGCCAGCTGCTGAAAATTTGAAGTTGGTAGCCATGGTACATCTTGAGTACTTCCGTAAAGGTCACATATCGTACGTTTATAATATAAATGAGCTCCACAAGAAGTATCAACCGCGTCACCAAGAATGATTGGCGCTGAAGCTGAATTCTTGTCGACACAATGAACTACCAAAGAGCATGCCGTAGCATTTGACTTTTCCATTCCAGTTAAAACATATCCTATCCATCATGTCAGGGAAAATCAAGCTCTGCAAGATCTTGATCTCAAATAAAATTCTGGTTTTCCCACGTTGATCATGCCTATACCCGTCGGACTTGAAAGGGACCTTTTAGTCCCATAATATGGATATACAAGGCAAGGCATTTCTCCAGCCTATGAATAATAATAATAATAATAATAATAATACACTCTATATAACCCGCTCACACACGTCTGAATTTTTCCACCTGCATGTGACAGTTTAACCTCAGATAAACTCCACTCATTTCTTGCTAGCAATTTAAAACTTTCTTGTATAATACCACAATCCTCTCTTGCAAACTAAACTTCAATTACTCCCCATTTTGAAGCATATCGAACCATTCCACCATTCAGTAAGTAAGACAAGCATCTCCTCGATGGCGATTTGAAAAGGTAAGATCTTCAAAAGTGAAAGTAACATTCGTCATCCGAATTGGCAATAACTGTATGCCACATCCATCTCAGCGACATTTTTCGGAACATTTTGTGGCAACTACCCGTTCGTTCTTAGGCCTGCTGCCGCGTATGCTCAGGAACACCACACGGGTAGGTAGTGCTGAAAGTTTGGGCACAACGTGATTGTCACTGACACTTTGGGTGATGCATGAATGGTCTAATGGGTGCAAAAGGGACATATGGTATTATGTTGCCACCTTCATTGCCTGGAAGTGGCTAGAATAAGGGTGATGTCGATCTGCATCGATTTGTTGTCGGAAAGAGAGATACTGCAAGTCCCTCCTGATGTTCTGCTTCCTCGATTCGGAACCGGATTTCTCTATGTGTTCAGCATCTGGGAAAATAATACCCGAAAAATCACGATGCGATAATTTGGTCTCGACTCTCGAATATGCTTGGGATGAATAACTCAGCTCCATTCCGTTTCTTTTATGCTGCAAGAAGGCTGATTACAATTTTAGCATTGCTTAACTTCATCTCGAATAATACTTCCAAGCTTATTCACAATGCCATAGTAACAAGTAAGCTCTAATTGTTCATCTTTCGATAGAGCGATTGGTGTATAAATGGAGTCTCCTCCGGGCCAAAACATTGTTATTCTATTACTATCGCCATGAGTTTACCACCGCAAACCGTAGAACTCCTACCCTTCCTCGGATCCAATCAATCGTTTCCCACCCCTTACCCAAAGCAGATACAACAACAGCATCAATCCCAACTAACTCTCGCCGCTACCTAATTCTCTCCTCATGGCCTGCCTAACCATATCCCCACAAAGTTTCGCCGTCGGATTCGCACTAACAGCCAACGCCTTAGCAACCTCATTCCCATACCTTCCACCAGCCATAAAATCCCTCGAGGCCGCCTCCTCAAACTCCACCGTCTTCCACCCCGCCTCTCTCCTCTCATCAGTCCTCACACTCGCTCCGGTGTCAGCTGATAGCTCTTTGGCTGATAGATGGTACAAAGCACCTCGTTGCGTCAATGCTTGGGAAAGAGTCTTTGCTGCTTGAGGAGATATCGATGCCCAGGGCGTCTTGGGTGCCAAAAGGGAGATTGCTTTGTCGAGATCGGATAATGTGTTGAATGAGGCAAGTTTAATGGCTGTCTCCGATGTTTCCATATCCAAAGGTAAGTTTACATCCGCTCCAGATCCCTGGGCACATGATGTCTTCACCAGCATCAAATCGCCATAAATTCGTCGCAATGCTTGTGCTCTATTATTCCTCGCACTAGCATAATTAGGATATTCATCAATGAGATCACTCAAGCTCTGCACACAAGCTTGATATTGAGATGAAGGCGAACTCTCAGCTAAAGGTTTTAATCCAGCAATTTGAAGCTCTACACCTTGCATCGAGAGAATGATGTCTCGTTCTCGTCGAGCGATTTCTTGATATGTAGAAGGATCAGTGATGTGTGAATCTTTGGGAAGCGAATCATCGATAAGGAGGGGATTAGAAGGACCCGACTCTGGATCCTTTATCTTCTCGAGGACTTCGATATCGTGTTTTGTGAGGGTTGCCATTTCTTGAATAGATTTGTGTGTATGTAAGTTTCGATTTTGAAAGTTTTGTTATATGTACTCGAGTAGAAGGATTATTAATGAGAAAACTAATCAAAATTTCAATGATTAAAATTGATCGAGATCGTGATAGCAGATTGAATTCGAAACTCGGCATAACCAAAAAGCGTGACTGCGGTACGAGTAGTATACCGTAGGTGATTTTTTGGAATTCCGCAATGGTTGAATGGTCGGCAGCAAGTAAGCGAGATTTAAGCCGAAAACAACCGGTTGTAAGCCGTGCGGAATGAAGTAGAGTTCAAACTTTAAGTTAACAACCTTCCAAAAGCAAACCCAGGTCCACAAGATAGCGATATGGTTCACTTACTCTACGTTCATTAGTCAGTGAATGGAAAGATCGCATTGATTTATGCGGTCATTCTATGTTTCGACATGGCTTAATTCGCCGTATACCGAAAGGTTATCGATATCATAAGAAGAGGTGCTGAAGGGAGTCCAGATTTACTTTTTTTTTTCTCAAACATCTATCTTCCTTTGTTACTTAAGTTTGACTCTTTTCCCAAATTTACCTGCAAGTAAAGTTTACATTTGACAAACTGTCTTGAGATCCTTCCAACTGTTTCCTTATTTCTAGATATCAATCTCACCTACATCTAGAGGAACTCACCCTCTATCACTCTTACTTGTCTTCTACATATCTCCTCTACATATCCCCTCTACATATACACATCAATACATCATGGCACCTTCCGCCATAACCCCTCCAATCCTATCTCCCACCTCCCTCACCTTCCCCACAAACACCCACACAAATTCCTCCCTCAGCACCAACACCAGCACCAGCACCCCCAATTTCCACGGCTACGACCACATAACCTGGTACGTGGGCAATGCCAAGCAAGCCGCCTCGTACTACTGCACGCGATTTGGCTTCCAAGCCATCGCTTACAAGGGTCTGGAGACGGGTTCGCGCTACATCGCTTCGCACGTGGTGGGCAATGGCAAGATTCGTTTCGTGTTGACGTCGCCGTTGAAGGCACATTCGGGTCTGAAAGACGATGAATCGATATCGGAAAAGGAGAGGGAGTTGTTGAGGGAGATTTATGATCATTTGGAGAAACATGGGGATGCGGTGAAGGATGTGGCGTTTGAGGTGGATGATGTGGCTAGTGTTTATTATAATGCTGTGGAGCAGGGAGCTGTGGGTGTGCAGAAGCCGGTTAAGGGGCAGGATGATGATGGAGAGGTTGTGAGTATTTTTTCTTTCGTTTTTGGATTTATTCATGATTTGTTTGAGGTGAATATACTAATCATATCATACATCTGTCTAGACAACTGCAATAATCCGCACCTACGGTGACACAACCCACACCCTAATCTCGCGCACCCACTACTCCGGGGCCTTCCTCCCCGGCTACCGCGCCACTCCCCCCTCCAAACGTGACCCGCTCTCCCTCCTCCTCCCCACCATCCCCCTCTCCGCCATCGACCACTGCGTCGGCAACCAAGACTGGGGCGCCATGCAATCCGCCTGCGCCTACTACGAAAAATGCCTCTCCTTCCACCGCTTCTGGTCAGTCGACGATTCGCAAATCAGCACTGAACATTCGGCCCTCAACAGCATCGTCATGGCGTCCCCCAACAATGTGGTCAAAATGCCCATCAACGAGCCCGCGCCCGGTCTCCGCAAGAGTCAAATTGAGGAGTACGTGGATTTCTATTCCGGGGCTGGCGTTCAGCACATTGCGTTGCGCACCGATGATATCATTACCGCGGTTTCGAATCTGCGTGCTCGCGGCGTGGAATTTATATCAGTACCCGACACGTATTATGAGACGATGAGAGAACGTTTGCAAGATGAAAATGCGGGGATTCAATGGAATCTCAAGGAGGATTTTGAGGAGATTCGAAGACTTAATATCTTGATTGATTTTGACGAGGGTGGATACCTGCTGCAATTGTTTACGAAACCGTTGATGGATCGACCGACGGTCTTTTTGGAGATTATTCAGCGAGAGGGCTTTGAGGGATTTGGAGCGGGTAATTTTAAGAGTTTGTTTGAGGCGATTGAGAGGGAGCAGGATGCGAGGGGAAATTTGTAGGGGAGTGGAGGGTGTGTGGGAGAACGGAGGGGACGGGAACGGGAAAGTGAACAGGATCGAGATTAAAGAGCGAGTCTGATTTCTGAGAGACGAAGATAAAGCAAAAGCAAAAGGGAAACGCAAGGGGAAATGAGGTTATTTTGCTTTGCTTTGCTTTGCTTTGCTTTGCTTTGCTTTGCTTTGCTTTGCTTTGCTTTGCTTTGCTTTGCTTTGCTGCATATCTGGTAAACAGGGGTACGGTGTCCGGATACATACTTATGGGCAGGCAGGCAACAGTGATTATTCACTCGAGTATTGCATACACTACCACCATCAATGGTGGATCTAGCTACTAGCTACTAGCTACTAGCCATCCATGAGCTATGTAGATGTGTACCTAGGTAGATATGGGTTGCTTTGACGTCTGATTACATTTTGGGTTGGGTCTTCCTGAATAAGGAATAAGGAATATGGAGTTAGTCATATCAATCATAGTGAATAAATAGATGATTTATTTTTCAAACATATGTGTATATATGCATAAATACGTGCATACATACAACAAAGCATCACTACAACAATTGCAATATTGTGATACACACGGATACATATGAATGAAAATAATACAAAATCCTCTCTGCCAAAATAGCACACAAATCAATGCCATCGTAGGAAATATGACTAATACCATATCCGTATATCTATATCTATCAATCTAACTAACTATCTCTCCAAGTATATATATACACACGAGCATAATATATAACATATAAGCTATTAGCCTATCTATCGCCGACTCGATACTATACTCGACAACCGGTACGTACTCTATATGACCAATCAATCGGATTCATCACATCAATTTGTACGCATCAACTTTGACTCTTGTGAAAAAACATCCAAGCTATGCTCTATCGTCGCATCGTATCGTATCGTATCGTATCGTATCGTCATACTAGGTAGGTACTTACTTACTCTCTTCATGATTACCATTAAATCCTGAATTACCGCTGATCGTCCCCTTTCTTCTCAACTCCCGCTACCCTAATAAGATCTTCATCTCTGCCACTCATTTCATTCAAGCCATAAACATGTTCATAATAGTAATCATAATCATAATCACTCCCACCCTCTAAACCTCCGACTCCCTCCCCGTCCCCACCACGTGCGCCTCCTCATCCGGAAACCTAATCGTCCTCCCTTCCACCACCCCATCCATCGGAGTAATATTCGGACTCGCATCTGAGCTCCCTGTTCCACTACCCGCTCCACTCCCCAAAACCCCCGACCGAATCACACTCCCCCCAATTCTAAAGATCGGTCTCGAGCTCGTTCCCGAACTCAAAGCCGGTCCAGTACTTCCACCCCTACTCACACTCCCACTTTCATTTGCCGTGGCCGTTCCACTAGCACTCCTATCCGCGCTAACGTTTCTTCTCCTCTCCCTCAAGACCCCCGCACTCGAATGATAAACTCTTGCCCCGATAGCGAACGCCGTCTGGCTATTGGTTTGACTCGTGAATGCCCTACCGATTGTCCTCGGGAGGAAGAAGCCTAGTTTTCCCAATGGGATCGAAAGTCCATGGACTACAATACTACAGATGGTCAAGAACCATACGACAACCGTCATAACTTCGGCTAGACGTGCTGCATCTTCGCGTTGCACACCGTCTACTGTGATGGTTGCGAGGAATTCGAGAGAGATGTAGAGATAGAAGATGGCGCTGACTCCGATTGGTCCAAAGAATCCGACGAAAATAGCTTGACGTTTCTCATCGATTTGATGTATAAATTTATGTAGTGTGAAGACAATTGGTAGACGTCTATTAACCAGAAATTAGTCTAGGTTCCAACAAGTTGCTCCTGACCGTGATTCCAAAATCCAAAGAACAGAGAGGGCACACCCGCTTACCTAAAGAGTAGTATCAAAATACCCAAAAATATCAAGCGATAAATCGGAATGACACTATTATTAGCAAACGAAGCCCAGGGACAAATAGCCCCAAACCATATGAAAACGCTTAGATTTAGCAACATATCAATAGTAGGTTGAAGAGAATCATCTAATGTCTCAAGACGAAACCAATCATCCCAAGTAAAGACATTTCCAGCAATAAAACATGCTAAAACATCATCACTACCAATCATACCACAAGTGCCCACGATGAACAAGGCCAAAGTGATGGCGAATACGAGGAAACTTTCTCGGTCGACGAATTTCTTTTCTTCGGCCCAGTGAAGGAGTTCCTTGGCTATCCAGCCTACGGAAGCTCCGTAGATGATACTAAGGATGATGGTATAAGCCCATGTCTCTCCAAACCAGAGACCAATAGCTTTAGAGGCACCTCCACTTTGACCAGCTCCTATAGTGAAAGATTAGCATAAGTTCGGAATAGAGAGAGCAAAACGGGTTATTGAGTAAAAATCGAACTCACCACCTTCCCCTGTATACTTAACCAAAAACAATGCCAGAAACAAATACGGGTATCCCAACCCATCATTCGCCCCACTCTCCGCCACAATAATCTTCTGCAACTCCTTCGGGATATTCTTGTCCGCGAACTTTCCCTTCACAATACTATTACTCAGTACCGGATCGGTAGGCGCCACACATGCTCCAATGGCCAGGGCATGGAGAAAAGGAAAGTTAGGAACCATTGCCCAGACGATGAGCGAGCTCACAAGCCACATTGTAGTCATAATGGGACCGAGGAGGAGCGCGAGGGCTTTCCATTCTAATGCCAGGTAGCGGGAGGGTAATTGGACACCGGCGAGAACAAGTTGTACGCCGAGCACTAGACGGGAGAAATAGAGGGTAATGGTATTGAGGTTTTCGATGGATCCGGCGTAATCGAGGGGTCTGACGAAGTTTGCTGCATGTGGTGACATGGCGACGCCAAAGACGAGGGATATTACTGTTTAGATATATATTAGGCATTGTCCGTTAGGAGATTGAAGATGGGAAGGTAAAAGAGGGTAGGAAATAAACATACGTGCTTCAGAAAGATAAAACTTCTCCTTGAATAAATAAGATACCAATCCAAACAAAGTAATGAATCCGCCAAGTACGGCACATACAATGTTGAAGTTGGAGGTATCGAGAGTAGGCATTTTGGCAGTTGTCTTTTCCTTTTGCTTTCTGGTCTGCCTTCTTGATATATAGGTATATATATCCGAATTGAATTCCGGTTTCAATTCTATTGGCAAGCAGTACGAACTAACCTATGAACTGCAGACCCCGAACTGCGAGTCTTCAAATTCTGAGTCTGCGAACCTTCGCGCTTAATCCCGTTTAACTCTCCCGTCTATCTCTCCCCTCTCCTCCTCTCCTCTGAACAAAAATCCCCTCCTTTTCTTCCTTTCTTCCTTTCTTCCTTTCTTCCTTTCTTCCTTTCTTCCTGTCTTTCCCAACTTTTCAATATTTCCGGCACAACACCCGTCCTTTTAGCTAACGCCCGTATCGTCACTCTCACAATCCCTAAGATTAAATCTCCTCTTCAATCTTCCGTCCAATGCCTTCTTCTTCAATCTCAAACTCAATCGTTGACTTCTCAATCGTGAACTTCTCAATCTCAAACGCAGTCGTATTTCCACCAATGTATATAACCCCTTCGTTATTATTATTGTAATTTCACCATTTATCTCCTCTCTTCCCTTTCCCTTTCCCTGTCCTATTCCTTTCTCCCTCAAAATACTTGATAAGCCCGCCACTTTGTCCACTTAGTCCACACTTCAATCCAATCAATCGTTTCTATGCTGAATATATCTACGAGTATGGAAATTCGATCTCAGCACTGAAAAATCCGCCGACAGAAAATGAATACCGGTAATCCGTCTCAGTCTCAGTCTCAGTCTCCGTCTCCAATATCTACCTAGGTATCTATATCTATACCGTACCCTACACTGTAGTCTATATACAGTATACCGTACGAACACAAGATATGATCGCGTGGTGATATGATATTTCAAATAGGTATGCAGAGGAAAAAAAAACTGTGGTTGTTCAATTTATTTATCATTTCAATATATTAATCAATTTATTCAACAACAATCAAATATGCAGGTGAAGTCTAGTCTAGTCTTTCAGTTCACGGATAATAATCTTCCGTTATCAATATCCCTGCATCAAACCACAAACCCGTATAAAATACTACACCGCTCACAGTTTGGGAATATAGGTATGTACCTGGTACAGAATACGAGTAGAGCACAGGAAATAATTGTTACCCCTCCAAACAAATGACGATTTGCATGATGCTGTGATATCATAATCCATATATACATACATTTACAATATATACTATAAAATAATGGAATTTATATACTCGAGTACTTACTTTCAAGTAGCTTTAATGATGAAAAGGAATTGGCCCATCTCTTATCGATAATTGTCTGACAAATAAGACATTATAAAGGAGATGGCTCAAATCTCCTATTCATTCAATCATTCAATTAGTTTCAATGTCTTCCATTACCAAAACAGATACCAGTATAATCTTACAACAATGGTACTATAAAAACTCTTATCCTTTTCCTTTCTTTTCCTTCCCTTTCACAACCGAATATCAACACTCATATCTAAATAATAAATATGTACAACCCCTCCCCCCCCCCCCCACTCACTCCCTACTCCCATCCCTACTCCCCATCGCCCCCCTAACCGCCAACCTATCCGCCGCCACATTCCCCGGATTCTGATCATGACCCTTAACCCACGTCAAATTCGTCTGCACCTTATTCGACGTCCTCTCATCAATCCGTTTCCGAATCTTCATAATCAAATCCAGATTCATGACCTCTTTTCCCGTACTAGTTTTCCAACCCTTTTTCTCCCAACCCTTATACCATACCGTGGCGCAGTTGATGGTGTAGTTGCTGTCTGTAACGATTTCAATATGTTTATCTAGGGGTACGGTTTCGAGGGCGCGGAGAGCGGCGGTGAGTTCGGCGCGTTGGTTGGTTTGGGGGTTGCCTTCGAGGGGGGCGGAGATGTTTCTGCGAAGGGGGGTTAGTATATTTATTGGGGAGATTTTGAAAGTGTCGGGGCATGAATATACCTCTCATCGCCATCCCCAAAGAAAACTCCATATCCAGCCACTGCCCCAACCTTGCCATTCCCCCTACTACTCCCATCCGTCCAAACCTTCACCGTATCCGCTCCGCTAAATGCCTGCGCATTCTCCTCCACAGTAACTTTTCCCTTTCCCTTTACCACTTTCTTCTCCTCATCCTTCCCCTCCTTTTCCGCCCCCGTCTTCGCCTTTTTACTAGCTTTCCCCCCCTCCCTCACAAACTCCTCCGCCTCCTCCCTCGTAGCAAACCTCTTAAATTTTGGTCCCTTGACCCCCTCAATCTGTTCCTTTGCATCTGCCCACTCCTCATAAACACCCGGTATATGCCCCACCGCCACACCATAGAATTTATTACCTTTCGATGGCTTCGCTGGGTTTTTACCGGCTACAAATGCTTGGGCGTCTGATGCCGTCGAGAAGGATTTGTCTGCGCGCATATCTTATATTAGCACTTTTCTTTCAATCTCAATCTCAAATCTCAAATCTCCCGAAAGAAAGCAAACAAAACTCACACATAGCCCCCGCAAACCCCGTAATCTGTTCCTTACAATCATCCCAATTGGTAAACACCCCCGTCTTAAACCCCTTCCTAACTGCGTAATATTTCTGAGCTCCATTTATTCCTCCCTTCTCCTCCTTCCCCTTCTCTCCCCCTCCCGGAACCTCATCGCCAAACTTTCTCTTCCTCGTAGCTGGCGGCATATTACCTTTCCGCTTTCAAACTCTGTCTTCGATGTCCTGTAAAAAAGGATCTAGAACTTAGGAATGCAGAAAGTTTCTATTTCGGACATAAATATTATGTTTTTGAAACCAATGTATGTGTGTATGTATGTGTATGCGTCCTCACCCTTCCTTCCCCTTTCGATATTTCGATGTTTCAATGTTTCGATCTTTCTATTCAAAGTTTCGAAGATCTCCAAATCTTTAATCTTTATCTTCGCTTTATCTCTATCATCAGTATCAGTATCGGTATCTACCAACCCATCCAATCCAAACAGTGTTGACACAAAACAAAACGCAACAAAGAACCAAAAAAGAAATTGAATCAAAAAATCCCTTTCTCAATTTCTCGATCCGGCGAGACCAAAGAAGTAGAGAGAGAGCGAGGTCTTTATTATTCCAAACAATTGTCCCTTCCAACCCTCTTGAAATGCTGAAGACTCTAGAGTAGAGTAGAGCTCAATACCATCTACTGTACTTGTATACCTATTTCAAATATACAAATAAACAAACAAAAAGACAAATACATACCATAAACGTATTCAATACACTCCTATCCTATCCTATACCTAATCAAATCACACCCCCAAATACTAAAGCCCAACCCCAAATCAAACAACCCAAAAGAATCACTTCCTCTCTCTCTCTCTGTTTGCTACAAATCAAAATCTTCAAAATCTTCAAAATCAAAATCCCAAATCAAAAATCCCAAATAAACCAGAAGCAAAAGCAAAAGCAAAAATAAAAGCAATCAAAAACGAATGTCGCAAGTCACACACAGAAAAATTAGGTCTATTATATAAGTTAATTATTTATATATAATCACATCATATCTATAACTAGTATCTATCTCATAATCTATTCTATAGCAATCTTTAGTAAATATATATCACCGTAAATCCATTCATATACATTCATATCTATTCATTCTCAATTCTCTCATCAAATTATACATCCAAGATTCGAAAAAGATTCATTAATTCTTTTTACTCGAGTAGATATCATTTCATTTCTCTCGCTTCTCTCCATTCTTCTCCCTCTCATCTTCCTTTCCTCTCCTCTCCAAATATTTCTAATCATTTCTAATTCCTTCCCACCGTACCAAAAAAACAACAAATTATTCTCTGATCTTCCATCTATTTGTAACCTGTCTCTCGAAATGCAAGACCAAAGGCAATCCTAATCTTTTGGGTATTTTCCTCGAAAGTAATAAGTAAATGCTCAAGCAATCCCATTCATCCCTCAACATCTCTCATCTCGTCTTATCATAAAGAGTAGAAAGTAGCCTCCAACGGCTCCAGCAATCAGTATGCCCTCCCATGCTTGTGCGCAAACCCAAACACATCCGCAACCGCAACCGCAGTTCTGAATCCCCAATCCCAATTTCAATGTCCCGATTGTTGTTACAAATCTTCATTTTCGTTAAGTTCAAGTCCCCCCCAAACTCCGAATTTGTAAACGAATCTCGCTATGCAATGCAATGCAAACTCGTCCCAAATGATATAAACTCCAACTCCCTTATATGTTACATCTCTGTCCGTTTTCTAGCTACTCATTCATCGCTCATCGTAACAAAGACAATTAAAATTTCAATTGCCCTTCTCCGTTTCCTTTCTTGGCTTGTAGCCTGGTAACTCATCAAACCACTCTTGTTGTTCATTATATTTGTATGCGTGAAATTCGATACCGTAAGGTTTTGGTTCAATGGCGTAGAGCATTCCCAAAGGTACATCCAAGTCGGCAATATCATCTCTTGTAAGATCCATGAAATATGCCATCAAGACTCGAGCAACAGATCGGTGTCCAATGATGAGGACATGATCGGTGATACGTTCAAGCTCTCGAACCATATCTCTCAGTCGACTGATGACTTGCAAATAACCCTCACCTCCAACTCCGGGATATATGTAGTGTAATTTGTCCCTGGCTCGCTTTTCGTACTCATCTGGAAAGCGTGATTCGATTTCCTTGTAAGTCAATCCCTCGAAAGAACCCGCATTCAATTCATTCAACATTTCCCAATTTTTAACATCATAATCTTCATCCTCCTGAAAGTACTCGGCCGTTTCGATGCTTCGTTTGAGCATTGAAGTCCAGACACAGAAGTTCTTTTCATCTAACTCTCCCATGATGTCTGGATATGGTGGTGTTCTGATCGCCTCGCCTCCTTGAGGATACTTTGCACTGTCGATGGCCGATTGTTGTTGCTCGAGAAGCCATCGTCTTCGGCTGTCGGTAATGAAGCTATGCATGACTTGAGCGTATTTTTGTCCATCCTCGGTAAGCTCAGAATCACCACCAAGCTTGCCAATTGCATTGTCATAGGATTTTCCATGTCGTGTGATCCATATTTGTCTTGGGGAAAGGTTGAACGTTGACAAATATGATGCTATGCCTCCTGTCAAAAACCCCTTGAGTTGATAATGAACAACCTTTCGTCCGACGTCTATCATTTTGATGTACTGCATGTGATTGTCTTCTTCATACTTTCCTAAGGGAACGTATGCACTTTCATAAGCAGCGACACGTTTCTTGAAGTCTCTCAAAGAGGATTCTGGGTTTTTGTCTTTATAGTCAGGACCTCGGAGCTTCAATCGCATATTTGCCTCGAGCAGCTAGAAAAATGTTTAGCAAAAGAAAATTTCAGATAAAACATGATATACGTACACTCTCATCCTCGCAGACACTCTCTATGAAGAGGATACCGAGTTTTGGCTCTCTCTCCTTGACGTGCTCAAAGAGGAGGCTGCGGCGTTGAATGGTGCTGTTCGTAGCATCCAGGATACCGACGGCACCGCTTTCCAGCAAGAGAAAATCCAAGAGTTCGTCCAAGGTAGCCATCGCTACCTGCTCTCTGATCAAAGCCGCCTTGGAATTCAATGGATCGAAGAAATTGGCTGACTGATCCATGGTTTCTTTGTCTGGAAATTCGCCGAGTGAAGAAATTTTCGTCAGTTCAAGATCTTTGGTTTCTTGATCTTGTTGAGTGGGATCCACGCCGTTGAGGAGCATATGAGCAGCCTGTGTAGGGGCATCTATGATGCCATGAATTGAGCCTGCGCGACTTGACTCCCTGAGAAGAGATGGGCGGTAGGCTGAGGCCTGCGCACTCGGTGGCGTGCCACTTCCCTCTTGTGGTTTTCCAGCTGCAACGCGACGTCGATTGCCGACATTGAAGATCTTAGTCTCGTGTTGCTGCCATGACAAATATCGTTGTATCTTCTTTGTAATGTATGATTTTCCACGAGCTGGCAATCCTACCATGATAACCACCAATTTCGAAGCGACATCCCGTTGTGCGATTTTGCCATCAGGAGAAACGCGAGATCTGGTCATACCAGGGATATTGAGGGTCGTCGCAGGAGCTCGAACTCGGGGAGTGGTGGTGCCAGAATTTTGTCTAAGGGGAAGGCTGTGCGGTTGTCAGTGTTGAGGTTCAAGTGACGAATTTGTTGAGAAGTTTGCGCCCAGCTAATTTTATGAACATTCCTTATGATACTGTTCATAGGTTCGAGGGAAGTGTTGAGAATAGAGATAGACTCACATTTTTGGACTGCTTTGGGCAGTTGAAGGTCCACTTGGGAGGGGAGTGTCAGAGAGAGGATGACCAACTCCCTCGATGACTCCATCGCTAGACATTCCGACTCTCTGGAAATTTCGAATTGTAACTGCAGGTATGACAGGTGGTGGAAGTGTAAGGTGATTATCGAATCGTGGATTGCAAACAGCAAAATCGCGTTCGAGTATAAGGTTGCCAGGAATTGCAGTGAGGGGTTGAGAAAAAGGTTTAGGAGGTGGATTCATTGCGGCACGATTGTTAAAAACCGCCGCTTTCGCGATTTGGGAAAGTTGGGACTGACGTCGATTTGTGCAATCGGCTGCAGGTGGAACGTTAGTGGATAAAAGATCCATGAAGTTTTATGGAAAATGGTGGGTAGCATACACGACAAAATGTCCTGGGGCTCTGCATGAATGGCTGAAGGCATTTAAGTGTACGGAGTAGAGAAATCTAATCCAGTGATCCAACTTTCGAAAGTAAACAAACTAAAAATGGCCAATCATGATTTGTTAGCTTTCCAGTAGTTTAAGAAAATGGAAAGTTAAAAAGCTAACCTTGGTTTTCCACTCTTTTGTCTCTCTCTCTCTCTCTCTCTCTGATTGACCAAGTCGTTATGACCACCAACCTTTTTGATAATAACGCTTGTAGTAGTAAAGATAAACGGAAGTTTCCGCTACCCGTGAGGGGGGAAGTCAGAGGGGGAAGGCAAGATGCAGATTGAGAAGCTTTGTCGATCTAAGTTGGTATGAAGTTGGTATGAAGTTGCGATGAGTGTGAAGATAAAATCAAAGTATAATGGAACTTGTATGATGCCTCTGGAAAGAAGTGGTAGTAGTAGTAGTTGTAGTAGTAGTAGTAGAAGAAGAGGAAGTAGCAGAAGAAAGAAGAGGAAGTAGATGTAGATGTAGGAAAGGTAGGAAAAGAAGCAGTAGCAGCGGTAGTATTTAATCGTAAAATAAGATCTCCTCCTTTCCAAACCAAAAAAGACAAGTAATTTAATAACCTTATGATGGAGGACGGTGAATTGTCTTCTGCAATGTAAACTAAAATTGACTTTTTCCAATGTCTTCTTCTTCTTTGAAGATATCAATATCAATATCAATAATGTAGCATAGTAGCACAGTAGCACTCACTTCAAAACCCAGAAGCTCCGAAATCCAAATTGAGTTTATCTTTGATCCTTCGATAAGACTTTTCTGAAAAGCCTATCAGTAAAACACAATGCGCATGCGTACTAGTCTAGCCTTGGAGGTCTTGGAAATGCAGGGCAAAGAAACAAACAGGGATGATTAAAATATGAGGCTAAATGCGATAAATAAGTTGAATGGAGGCTGGAGGATAGTTTTGCAAGGGTAGCTTCGATTTGTTTGAATGTATGGAATGGAAGTGGTGAGGGTGAGATAGATGATTGTGAGTTTTGGTCAGTGATGTGACTTTCTTGTGATTTGGTAGATGTATGGTGTAAGTGGCGATATATAAAAGGTCGTACGTAGTAAGGTAAAAATTTTGGGTTGTGTAACAGTCTGATGACTCGAATTCAGAATGTTATGTTGTGTTGATAGAGGTTGGTTGAGGATGAGATTGATAGTCTGAAAGATATGGGATGAGTTATCTTGAAGAATGCGATTTGATATTAAATAATAATAATAATAATAATAATAATAATAATAATAATCCTCATCATCATCATCATCATAATCATCATCATAATCATCATCAATCTCATCTCACCCCACACGATATGTTGTTCAAATTGATATTCCCATACACATACATATATACACAACGATCTATCAAAAAAACATAAAATGTATCAATGAATCTCGAAGACTCTCTCCAGCTGAAAGGTAACAGCGGCTTTTCCCCCAAAAAATATAAGAAAAAAAGAGACAACCAACCAACTAACAAACAAAGAAATTGATAAAAATTCCATCCATCCCATTCATCCTTTTACATTCAAAAAATCGTCCCCATGATCCATCTTACATATCCCACCCCCATCACCGGGGGAAAACCTACGGAGATATCTAACTGTACACCGCACCCAAGATCTACTAGCTGAAAAAAAGAGCCATTCTCATATCCTCACATCCTCATACCCCAAGAATATTCCTTGGTGTTGGTTTGAACAACAATACAAAAGCATCAGTGAGCGTGTCCTCTCAGCACCATCTCATAGGACAGATTCAAAGAAGAGACGCAGGGTTTAAATGGGAAGGAGTCAGACATCAACACATCCTCGGATTCGAATAGTTCTCAGCCATATTGTGATGAATGAGTATCGCATTTGCATCCACAATCCTACTAATACTAATCCCAAGAATACATACCTATTGCAGCATTTGGGTTTGAAACAGGAATATTATTTGTTGATAGATAAGAGAATTCCTAAATTCTATTTTTAATTCTAATTCTATTTTTAATTTTAATGTTTTAATGTTTTAATGTTTTAATGTTTTAATGTTTTTAATGATATCGAAACGAAACTAGGTAGGAGTAGAAACAATGATATTCCAATGCCTAGATACTTGGGAGTGAACAACAAGTCTCAGACAACATCATGATGAGACTTAAGTGTGGGGGCCAGCCCTTGACATATTCATGATAATCATGATATTCTAAGAATATGATGATACAGCAAGCACAAGTATTAGCATAGCCATAGCATCACAATGCCCCATTGCGCAAAGTTATAAATAAATTTAATAAGGAACTTACCAGGTAGTTCCTCGGCATTCAAATTCATAATTCAACTGCCTCGAAACTTTCTATTATTGATTCGATACAAATATTCCTTGGTATTATATTGTATTGTATTGTATTGTATTGTATCGACTTCCCATCTTCCCATCTTCCCATCTTCCACTCCCGGTATCAAAAACATCATATCAACATCACATCGCAATCATCGCATCGTCACATCTCCTGCGCGTCCCATCTCATCCCATCCCATCCCATTCCAATCCATTCCATCCACCAAGCACTCACTCACTCACTCACTCACTCACTCACAGTCTCAATTCCTCAAACTTATTTAACGATCTTCATTCATCTCATCCTCTTGGCAACTTGGCACCTTAAGTACCGCGACGGGATCCGCAGATCAATCATCAGATACGTACCCTACCCGGGCCTACCGTATTCTACATCCGTCTCACCCAAGTTCCAACACACGCGGAGCCCGGACCGGACTTGGCATTGTCTGGACTTATCATGTTCTTGTCTTATCATATCTTGTCACATCTTTCCAAACTTCCATGGCGGGCGGCCAAGACGGAATCTGCGGGAATCGATGGGAAAATGACTTGTATCCGTTGTCTTGTTTTGACTTCTTGATACAAGCAATATTCTTGCCAATTTTATCTAATTCTTGGGTAATTTTTGGGGGTGACGTCGTGACTTGACTTGGATAATACCTAGATGAATAGAGGAATAAAGGTAATTAATGGTTGCATGTATCGTATGGAAATATTGGCAGAGAAAGCCAAGATTTATTTATTGTATTTGAGTACGGTATTTGAGTACGGGTATACAAGAATTGAAGTATTGGTAGCCTTGTATGTGGTGGTGGGTCTTGTGTTTGGAGAGTGAGAGCGAGAGCGAGTGTGAGAGCTTTGAAGGTCACACAGATATCTTTCTCCCTTATCCTTCTCCCTTCTTCTTCGACACTTATTTTTAATAGTGTATAGCAACACATTACTTGCGAATGAGTATCGTCTATCATATCATATACTCGAGTATATATATTCCCCATATGCATCCATATATATATATGTGACCGCGGGGACCCTAACAAACCCCCCCTTTCCCCCCTCTTCCTCGCTTCTTACTCACTCACCTTCCCACCTTCTCACTTTCTCCCTCTCTTTATCTATTCAGCCTCGCATCAATCATCCATCTACCAAATCGCAAACCAAAAGCTTTCAAAAATATATATAAACGTTATACTCGAGTACATTGTACCAACAATAACCAATAACTACACATAAATAGTCTTGGCCAGACCATGTGGAGATACGCACAACATATCACATAACATATCATATCATCAGATAACACCGCCAAGTACCGGTACCACCACATTCAAATAATCCCATACTCGGTTTTTCGGTTTTTAAATGGAGTTAGTTAGTTATAGTACCGAGATAACCACGAGAGATCAAAGCTTGGTCGGGGAATTATTGATGGTTTAGGTATGTATGTATATATGGGTTGTATGGTATTATTGGCATACCGGTATGTGTATGGTATCTAATTTGTTATACGTACGAGTGACTATACTTCAAGACTAGCTTCTTGGATGCATCACTTCGCATCATATCATATCATATCATAACCTCAACTCGGTGTCGACTTGGCAATGGCAAAGTATGAAATCACCGTGACGGTAAATTGTATACTCGTACACTATTTTCCTTAAACCCGGGGAATCCGGGGACTCCGAGGGAGATACCACATATATAATACGAGCGAGATGGATGACCTCACCTCAGCCTTAAGATCCAGAATCGAAAAGTGTACTGTACTCGTACAAGTATTCTATCTTCCTGTTGTACTTGACTAGGAAACGGAAAAGGAACAGTGAGGTAGGTAGGTAGGTAGGTGATTCTTCGGGTTTGCTTGGGTTTCTGGAGTCTAGTGATTTCGTATATGTATAGAGAGGTATGGAGAAGTTTTAGGCGTTATTTGGGATGGGAGAGGATTACTTTATTTTATCTGATCTTTTTTAGCTTCTCGTATGTATATATGTATAAAGTGTTGTGTGCTTGCTTGTTGGAACTCATTTTGTCCTTTTGTTATCTTGTTATCATTATTTTGTAGTTTTCCTGGCTGTTGGTATTGATATTGATTCTGGAATAGGTCCTGAGATAGTAGAAACTCATAGGATGTATGGTTGGATAGATGAATGGATGGATGGTTGTACAATGTACTCGAGTATTAGTATAAGTATAATGTATAAGGATGCTTTTGGCATATAGTACAGTACTCGAATTCATTTTCACTTCATCACTTCAACTCCATAACTCCATAACTCCATAACTCCATAACTTCATCTTCATCACTCTATCATTACTATCACCGTGACCACACATCACAATACATCAGTGCATCACCATAATATCAGCTCTTCACTTCTCTTCTCTTCTAAACACATACAGATACACACATACACACATATAAACCCACCCGGAAGAAAACCTCAAGTTCACAAATTCAAATGTGACTATTCAGGGTGCTTATTAAAGCTTTTATATCCTCGAGTAGATATATATCAGCTCCATCATTCTCACTGACACACTCACAAACAAGCCCACTCACCCACCCCTAAAAAAAGACCCAAGTAAAAGCCAGAAGGTATAGGAAACAGGAAACAGGAATAGATATTTGGGACTTGAAGTTATGGCTACTACTCGAGTGCATATATACACATACAAGTATATTCTCCGGGCCTATAGTGTAATTAGTGTGATGTATTAGTAGATATATAGTAATAGTCAACATGATATACTCGAGTATAGCAGGATAGCACTTTCTATGATAGCAATCAAAGAAATGTAATGTAATTAAGTATCTGATGAGATGAGATGAGATGGATTTAATATTATGGTTACCGAACTCCCCTTATATTATATCAATATCAATATCAACATTAACACTAACAAAATCCATCAACATCTACATTCACTGAAATCCACCAGTAATTTGAAACCTCAATTTGGAAATCAACAAAAACTAACAGGTATATCTATACTCTATGCTCTCTAGTATATATACTACCTACCTACCATATTCACAACTCAATCTTCACAACACAATATCCACCCCCAAGTCAAATACATATAAACTCATATAAACTATAATGCAACCTACAACCCATAATACAATTCACAACACAGCAACTATTACATATCCACCGTGACTTGACTCACCAGCAACTAACTCAAATCTCTACTCTCTACTATATATATCAATCTTCAAAGTCTATACCTATACCTATACTACAAATAGTACATACTCGAGAACAACTTTTAGGCAAGTAAGCAAGTAAGTAATATATATACAATACGATACTCACCGGAACTTTCCAAAACTACTCTAGTAAAATACACCTGAACCTCATCCCACGATTCTCACGATTCTCACGATTCTCACCGGGAGCACAAGAACACTAATTCCACTTCAATTCCACTACAAGATTCCCGAATTTCGTCTATAAACGACAAATTCAAGTTTCAAGTTTCAAGTTTTGAGTTTCAAGTCTCAAGTTTGAGAGAGCTGGGGGCTGAGAGGTGGGGATTTGATTTGGAGCTAGCTAACTAGCTAACTAGTTACTATATGTATATATATATATAATAGGGGGATATTAAGATTGTAATCTTACTCAGTATTATTTTATTATTTTATTATTCTACTTCTACAGTTGACATATATATACTCTATGAGAACTCGAGTATATCCAAAATCTCTATCCAAAACCTAAACCTAAACCATGTCCTTCTTTACTTTACTGGCTGGCTGATATATGATATACATATGTATATGAACACATCTTTGGTACGAATCGAATCGAATCGAATCGAATGGTTTCACGGTCGACTGGATATATCATAAGCACAGTGCCGTATTCCACATAAATCCCTATGGGATCCTCCTCCTTCTCCTCCACACTTCTTGAGCTGGTAACAGAGTTCTGTTGTTTCGAATTGTTGGATGAAGTCGGTATAAGTTTAAAGTTTCCGTTGAGGCGGGTGCCAATTGCAAGTAGCAGATATGAATGACCTGTCTTTCCCTTTGAATAGTGAGAGGGAAATAGAGACATATACAATGTTTCCATGGCAGTTTGATCGGCCAGAGGTACTGACCGACCCAATTAGATTCCACTGACAGCATCGCATTCAGTAATGCCACACCATCCGAACCACCACCGTGAATAAAGTGATAGACACCTCTCAATCCACCAACCATCAGCGCTCAACTCCTCACCCCCCAACCCCAAAACCAAACCACGTCTCATCCTTCGGCACCGCCCCTTTCTCCAACTCCCCAATATCAACTTCACACAATTTTTGATTTTCCTTTGGGATTTTCCACATCGCCACTTCATCCACGCGATCTATAAACTGCATCACCATGCCCGCCTCAGCATGCCACATCATATGACAATGAAAAGCCCACACTCCCGGATTATCCGCCACAAATCTAAGAGCCAACCATCCGAATCCTTCTACGCTCGCTACATCTCTTCGTATCAAGTTATCTAGTGCGTGTTCGTGACCTGGCAGTGTACCACGGCCCTGCTCTTGGAGATTCAGGGCTTGATAACCCGGAAAGGGACCGTGAGCTTGACCTAAAACCCACATTTTGTGGCCGTGGAGATGCATGGGATGGCTTCCTTCGTCGAAGTTTTGGATGATGATATCGACGACTTTAATCCCAGAGTGTTGGATTAGGAAATCATGTTTCTGGTCGTATGCTACTGAATTTACCCCGTTGGTATCACTCAAGGATGTGAACGATTCATTTTTAGTGGCAAAACCATCGATGGTGCGATGGAGTGTTGGGTGTTGAATCTGAGGACGAAAAGTAGAGGTATTGAGAAAGCCTCGCTGCAGACGCCAATCGCCTCTTTCTAGATTTGCGCGTAGGAAATAGGTGTGATCTGCTATCGTGGGTGCGGGTCTAAGGGAGGTGGGGATATAGGTCGTGGTGTTCATGTCTCTGCATTTTACTTCGATTCCCTTATTCCAATTTAGAGAAGTGGGTTGTATGGTTATGTCTTTCGGTGAGTTGTTGTCAGAAACATAACGGATAATAGCTCGAACTTCAGCAGCCCCATGTGCGGGTAAATTAGGTTCTTTCCAGCAATGCGTTACCATTCGTGCTCGAAGCCAAAACACATCGGTGGAGATATGATTGGTGTTGATGATTAGACTGTAGCGCTGTGCAGGACTAATCATCAAGCGAGTATCATATGACGGCATAATATCCGTACCGTCTACTTCAGTGATTGCAAACTCGTGCTCATCTAAACTGACTTGAAACCAAGCAAATGCACCAACGTTGATGAATCGTAGCCTATGATTGGCATTTGCGGTTAAATCGAATGAAGGGAGACTTGCTGTCGAGTTGTCACATGTTCGATGTGGTAGAACGGAACAGTCTCGACTGTTAAGTCCATTGATTAATGCTCCATCAGGAATTGGTGAAGATTCGCTACCAGGCTTGAGATCTTCAATCAGGAGTCCACTGCTAAGCTCGTGGTAATAATCTTGGAGCATGACTACGCGATCCGTAGCATATGATATTTGCTGTAAAGTCTTCTCTTTCTTGGAATGAATAACTAGAGGCCCGTACAAGCCATCGGATATTTGTACAGCTTGATGTCCATGATAGTAATAGGTGCCAGATTGACCGGTGACGGTGAACTCATAGCGAAACTTATGGCCTGGCGCGATAGGACATTGTGTTACTCCCGTGGTACCGTCCATATGGTTCGTTCCGTTTTGAAAGATACCATGGAAATGTATAGAGGTAGCATTGACACTTTGATTATCAACATCAATAATCAAAGTATCACCCTCATTACACTCAATCCTCGGCCCAGGGAATTGTGAATTGATAGTGATCATAGGTCTCAAAACCCCATCTGGGTTTGCCATGATATCTTTGATCGCCCAATGATATATCCGAACTTTTGAGGAGGCATCAAAGTCCCAGTCGGGATCCAAGATATAATCACTTGTTGACCTGCGGAAGTCGCTAGATGATGTCTCTGGATAGTCAATCATCGTACCTTCTTTGGCGACGAAGTACCTTCCGAATGCAACCATCGCGACGAAACATCCCACGATAGTTAAAATCGATGAGACAATTACCCAGCCGGTTCTCAAATGCCATTCCTCTTCCACTTCAAATTCTGGTAATGGGGAATCCTTCTCGTCTGACAACAATCCATCTTCCTGATCTCCATAGTCATCTTCTCTCCTTTGCATCTCAACATTATCCAAGGTATCGCGAGACCCCGAACATTGATCACGGGCATAGACAGCCATAGTTTTAGACTTGAATAGTTTCCTATCGCCGTTGCTTGTTTGTGATGACATTCCAGCTACATCAAATCTCTAAATCCTTAGAGATTCTCAACTGCGTGAAAATTCCCAATTACGAAGTGATGACGTCCCTTTCTCTTCCTTGGAGTACAAATAAATATTATGATGGTTCGGTCGATCGGTTGTTCACGACGACATCATCTCTCTTGGTCTAGAACATACGAACAAACCGTTTGAAATATTTGAGAAAACCAAGAACTGATGTTTACATAACATAACGCTAACAATACCAAACTAGATGAAGAGCTGGATCAAATTGCCGTACGAAAGGTTCAAGGAAGTAATCCTATTGTCCTGACTATAACACTGGCACTGATACACGTGTATAATTCGGAGGAGATCGAGGAGATCGTACGTAGGTAAGTATGTATATTACGCCACCTCAAAGATGGGATCAACAGATTGTGAAAGTTGTAGGTGACGAGTTGTAACTATTGATAGTTTTGATCAACAAGACCCAGATGGAATTGGTTAGATAATCCGCCTCTCCTTCATTCTCGCCAATGAGATAGTAAAGATTCACCACGAGATTCGCTAAGATAATAGATAAGCATTTTATTGTTCTAGTTCTCGGGTAAGTCAGTCTCTGTACCTGCCTCTTTCGACGCTAATGTCTTAGTAGGTACTCGTACAAGGTTTAAAGTAGGGGGTAGGAGGAGGTAAACCGATGAGTTTACCTACCAAGGAAAGCCTAATTTTGGCTCTCAAGGGAATAGTATGATGAATACCGGTATCTAGGTATAGGTAGTATGATAAAATACAATAATACTATATTTTTGTATTATACTACATTCAATCAATTGAACATCATGTGCGATATTAATATGGCAAATATGATAATATGATCAACATCGATGGGTTTGGCTTTCCCCTCTTCAAGAACCTTTAAAGTTTGATTTGACAAGGGTACTAAGTAGTTAGTGTCATTTGCCCCGCATTACTCGAGTAGGTAGAAGACGATGGACGCGATGAGATGCACAACAATACACAACAACAACGGAACGAAAATTCGGAAAGACCCAATTGATACGAAGAGGCAGAAACGCCCCCCTTCTCCCCCATGAGATTTCGGGACAAGATAATTCTCATTCAACCATCTAGGTGCTCGTGCATGCATTCTATGGCTAGGAATGAAAGATATGGGTAAATCATACTTGCCAGGATTCCTGATATAGCAGGTGAAGATGCGTGCCCTCTATCAGTGGCTTTCACATAATCCCATCTCAACTTACCATTAGCTCGAATCTGATAGGTCGAGCTAATGGTATTCCTCTGTTGTTTCTTTGCACCGCAGGGATTGCGTAACGTTCTTTTCTCTTGGATTTGTTGTTTGTCTATGTTCCAAGGAAGCTGGGTGAGTCCCAGCAGTCTGGAATCACTAGCTAGCTAGCTGGCTAGACAACCTTAATGATGTCCTGATCTGACAAACTTTCCGGGGAATCCCACCTCGATGCAGTAGCTTTGCACCGGGAGCTATCTATTTAAGAAACCCTAGGTCACCTCCATTCGATTCTTTTCATTGTACATCAACAGTCCTCACTTCATCAACAAAACTCACTGCATCAGCAAGACTCACCCCGTCCACAAAAATCACCTCTCCAATTTTGCGTTTTATCTCGTTAGTAAGATGTTCGACATTAAGCTCACACAGCTCCCTGTGCTTTTGTCTCTGGCGTGTTCGATTTTTGCACCCGGAGGGGCTGCAATACCTACTGCTACCTCTGTTGTCGCTCCTGCTTCTCCCACGGCATCAGACGCTGCTGATGTCCTCGCCGCCCAAGCCATCGCCAAGACAAGAAGTCCGGTAAGTCATGTCAAGGGAAAAAAATTCAAACGCTATTGCTCGCTCTGGTTTGAGAATACCGACTATGCGATGGCGGCTGCAGACCGTAAGTTCTCGTTCCTCAAATATTGATGGCGTGTGTACTAATTTCTCAATAGCAAACTTTCGTTTCTTCGCAGAGCGGGGCATTACGTTGGAGAACATGTTCGCGGTAACGCACCCTAGCGAGCCTAACTATTTAGCTGCAGTTGGCGGGTAGGTTCAAATTTTACACCAAAATGATGTGATCGCAGTAACTTACGCGTACTTAGTGATTACTTCGGTCTCGACGGCGACCCGTTTACGGTGGTTCCCCACAATGTTTCCTCAATTGTCGATCTCCTCGAGGACAAGGGAATTTCGTGGGGATTGTACCAGGAAGACATGCCGTACACTGGTTACCAAGGATACGATTGGGTCAACCAAGAGACCGGTGCCGACGCATATGTCCGCAAGCACAAGTAAGTCAACTCACTCGCCACAATTGAGCAAAATCCCACATCATGCTAACGCTCATCCACCCAGTCCCGAGGTTCTCTTCAATTCCGTCGCCACCAATCCCAAACGTCTTGAGCTCATCAAGAACACCACCATGTTCCACGCCGACCTTGCAGCCAACACGCTTCCCCAATGGATGTTCATCACCCCTAACATGACCTCGGACGGCCACGACAGTTCCATCACCGTCGCAGGCAAATGGCTCAGAGAATTCCTCGAACCCCTTCTCGACGACCCGAACTTCATGGACGAAACGCTCGTGCTCATCACCTTCGATGAAAACGAAACCTACGCCGAGCAAAACCGTGTCTTCTCCGTCCTGATCGGCGATGCCGTCCCAGAACATCTCGTCAACACTACCGACTCCACCTACTACGATCATTACTCTGAGATTGCCACTGTCGAAGCCAACTGGGATTTACACACCCTCGGCCGTTTCGACGTCGGTGCTAACATTTTCTCCTACATCGCTGAATGCACCGGTGACAAGATTCGTGAGTGGAGCAACGGCGCTTTGGAAAACCGTTACTTTAACTTGAGTTATCCGGGTATTCTTGCTGAGAAAGTTGGATGGGCGCCACAACCTGTCCCAAATGTTGGATTGGTCGCTAACAAGAGAACTGTGTTGCCTGCTATCAAGAAGTATTGGGAGGGACAGGATGAGGGCACGGTTTATCAGGGTCAATTGGAGATTCCTGATGGTTTGAATCCACCTGATGAGGCATAGGGGGATCATTTGGGATAGGTAGGGAAATATTGGGGCGGTATATGAAATCGGTAGGGGTAAATTGAAATAGGATATGGAATAGGGTTGATTCCGTCTATTGAGGCATAGGTGGATCATCTGGGATGGGTAGGGATATATTGGGGTGGGTTATGGAGTCGGTAGGGGTAAATTGGAATAGGATATGGAATAGGGTTGAGTCCACCAGATGAGGCATAGGGGGATCAAATTGATGCGGAATATGAAATCGGTAGGGGTAAATTGGAATAGGATATGAAATAGGGTCGAGTCCACCTGATGACCTCAGGTATAGAGAGATCTTTTGGGATAGGTAAATAATAGGCAGGGATAGATTGGGGTGGGATATGTAGAGGATAGGCAAGAATAATTTAGTCAAATGATATTTATCTTAGTACCATGTTAAACCCTGCTCTTGCGGCCTGCGTAAATCTGGAACCAGTGCCAAGAATCATGATATCATAGGACAAAAGTATAAATCACCAGTACTCGTAGTAGTAAGAGCCTAGAACGAAAAAGGCTCACGGGGAGTAGCTCCATACATGCCTGTGGAAAGCTTACTGGGAGCTGTTGTGACTAAGAATTATGTCAAGGACTTGGGTCTCATACATGCATTCCATAGTATAGCAATTCATAGTGATCTGGGCCAAAAATGTTCTTGAAAGGGTATATCTCCAATTTCTTCCCTGGTACGGTATTATCAAATTCCCTCCCCTTTCTCTTCTCTACGCCGCTACCGCCGGTTTGGCGACGCTATATGCCGTGAAAAAATCCGGATCATTTGCTGCTTCTTCTTTAACCTGTAGTTTATTGAATTAGCCATATATATTAAAGTTTAGAGAAGTTATCTTATAGAGATTCCCAAACTTATTCCCCGAAATTCCATTTTCCTCCCAAAATAAAATATATTGGGGGGGGGGACTTACAATATCCAGACCTCCTACAAGTTCCCCATCCATCCATAATTGTGGAAATGTAGGCCAATCCGCGAACTCCTTAAGACCCTGCCTCACCTCATCATCGGCCAGAATATTGAAGAATCCATATTTCACCGATTTTTCTCTCAGTAAAGCGACGAGTTGACGAGAGAACCCACATTGAGGTGCGGAAGGTATTCCTTTCATAAACAGCATCACAGGAGCCGCTTTCACAAGATTGGATAAGCGAGCGTGAAGATCTTCTTTAGATGTTGGCTCTTCGGAATCGGTGGCGGTAGTAGGGGCAGTTGTTGAGGGTTCGGTAACGGTATGGTTGATGCTGGGTACGGGTTTGGCGGATGAGCCATTTGTGAAGGGATGAGGTGAATTGGCGTGTTTTTCAATGGCGTTGCGGACTTTGGTGGCGTCGCTGCCTGAGACGGTTTCGAGGACAATGTTGTTGCGGGTGAGGACGAGGTACGGGACAGCGGTCACGTCGAAGGCATCCGAGACGGAGATTACTTCTTCGGCATTCATGGATACCCATGAGGTCGTAGGGGGTGTGGTTGAAGGGTAGGAGAGGGCGAGAGTGCGGAGAACGGTTGTCCTAGTGGGAAGGTTAGTGTGTTTGTTTAATAGGGTGGGGAGTTGGGGCAACTGAAGACGGAGGTGAAGCAGGGAGGGGGACGGTAAAGAATCCTGGAAGTCTTACATTTGCGCGCATGGTGCTGCCCATGGTGCCTAGTGTAGGTCGCATTAGCTAGTGGTTGAGGGAGGGGGGTGAAGGGGATGGATGCAGTGACGTACATGAAAGTTGATGATCTGCAAAGTCGTGGATGGTAGAGATTCAGTATGCTTCTGCCATTCTTCCTCCGTTGCAATATCGATAAGTGTCGACATCTTGATGCTTTTCTCCGTTTGTAGTGGGGTGGATGTTTTTGGTGGGGTTATTTCGCGGCTTTGTTTCAAAGTATGGCGGGTTGTGATTGGAATAGACTTGCTAATCTAAAGTTTGTATAAGTAAATGTAGATATGGAGAGCGTGTGATAGATCCGATGGATCAACAAGTGAGTGGAATAGACGAAGGATCAAGGCAAAATGATTCTGGTCGAGGAGGGAACAAAGTGGATAAGCCGGAGATATATTTTCTAATCGCTCACTTATCGGGATGGCTAGCCTCATCGCGTCATCCCAAGCGACAATTTTCTCAATCGTTCCATACAAATTTGAACAATTACAAAACCGATTAATAATCGAATATCCAGAACAGTTGGTTTGTGAGATTTGTTTAATATGCTCTAAGTTTCGATATACTGTATTGATTTATGTTTTATTAGAATAATCTCTAGTTTGTTTATTGAAATCACAATAGAGGTTTATCATACATATAGCCAGTAGCTTGAAAGAAAGTACTAGCTATTTGTTTGAAGAGCTTTGCAAATCGATTCTCATCAAGCTCCCGGTGAGCTCATTCGGTACCTGGCTGTTTTCATCTCTATGGATGTTTAATAATATTTCTATGCTTGGGGTTGGTTACCTGACTCTTCTCCGGCGTGTTCATCTATACCCAAGCCAAAACGAGTCGGATTTCCAAGTACGATCTTCAAGTATATATAGGACGAAAGACGAAAGTCTCTGGTCGTAGTATTACTTCATGATCAAGCCTACTGTATCATCCATCTCAGTCTCGTGAATTCTTGACAAACCCGACCCAAGATTCGAGCTGATTTGGAAGGATACTTCGGGCATCTCAATACGTATTTAGCCCGTTTCTCCATTTCCATCATTCGGGGGTCTTACGCCTCACTCATTCGAATCCATATCGAAAGTTCCAATAAACTCAAGCTTAGCTTTAGCAAAGGGACTCTAAGGGTGAACATGTATGAAAATAGCAGTTGTTTGTCGAACTCATTCGTCACCCATTCCAAAGCTTCCTCGACTTACTTACTTACTTACTTAGGTAGTCTTGGAAAATGTGGTGCAAGCACAGATTGACGATGAATGCACCTTTCGTTAACGGCGGCATGTGTTTCTTTACACAATGTTCCAAGATTCCCCATACCATTGTTTTTTCAAAAGTTCTTGGATCGATTGTGTCTATCTCTATCATCTATCATCAATCAGCATTTTCTTCCTCTCATTTCTCCTATCTTTTCTGGTGTCTTTCCTCTCTCATTATAATCCTTTCTATAATTCAAGAGCACTCTCACATTTTTTCCTGGTGCGCCTGCAACAGATGTCTTAGTCCTCGAACCCCTAGGCAATGGCTTCGATGGATTCTCAACAACTTTCAGGACAATGGTCTCTCCGAGTTCAGGAAGAACAGCCCAGACTTTGCAATGTCTTCCATATTGCAGGAAGTTTTGCCTTGATTTACATGGCTGCGTGCAGGCCAGTGACGATAGATTTTTAGCTCATTTCGGCCATAACTTAAAATCGTTGTAGCGTGTAATCTTTAGTCACCGGCCATGATATTGAACGGCTGGTATGAGCTACAAGAGCTGACCCGCGCCGCTTCATGAAGTCTGAAGGTACATGAAAAGAGAGGCACCTCACTTGAGATCCTTATTCTCTCCGCTCGTAAAGATATATATCGGGTTCCAACATCCAGCCACCATCAAAGTATGTGTTACAACTCGACATAGCGTCAAAAAATACCAACCAACAGTCACACGACACAAATGTAAACCATGAGGAGCCACCCAAAATACAAATGATATCGGGGAAAAACTGAAGCTCCTAATACTCGTGTGCTTCTGCATACAATATGGTGGAATCACAAATCGTGGCCCACTTCGGCATCGTCACCCACCAACAAAACAAAAAGCCAAAATATCAAAAACATACAACAGTAAGGATTCGCTGATGGTCACCCACTCAACTACTAATTTACCGATTTGAGGCTTGAGTATGGCAGAGCGGACGGGATGCCCTATTTTCCTCAATCTATGGTCGTATGTGATAGGTATTGAAGTATTTTGGTTTATACACCAAAGTCTGAAATTCTTGAAGAGTTTTACCCTCGAAGTTCCTATTTGATCTTTGGGTAGCGAGAGATACATTCAGCGCACTCGGCATCTAAAATCTCTGGATTGCGACGATCATCGTGAAATGGGATGCTCTTCTTCGCATCTTATATTTCCCGTGATCCATGGACAGCGTTACAATTAATCGAGTTGGGCCTGTCCCGGAATCTTCAATTTTGAACCAGACCTTCGATCAAAGGCAAGGGATGGTGATAAAAACTCTCATCAAATTCAAGCTTAGTGCTCAGCTTTCCCCAGGTCACCGGTGCAACACTACATACTTACGCATAAGTAACTCGGAAGGCGTGCATCTTAGAACGTGTACTACAGTCAGTACTTTGAGATTGAAGCAGCAAAATCTGAAGCAAACAGCTTGTTGTACGAATAGGGGGAGAAACATCTTACTTGGCTTCAAGATATCACCCCAATATCGTGTGTCACGGAAACAGGCAAAATGGCCAAGTGGCTGAGAGCACCCCAGAGAAGTCCTGCTGCTTTTATCAAGCATGGATTCATGTCAAGGCTTATTCTGCAGTATCAAGTTGCGTCACACGATCGGATGTCAGGAAATGAAGCAAAACCAGCACCAAAGTCAATATAACTACGACTTTGGATAGCAACGATCGTGGAAAAGGTGGCTGAAGCAGCGTATTTAAGCGTATACAAGGACCACTCACGCCTTATAAGGATTAGATTGGGAGTTTCGCAGCAGGGGAAAGTGGATTGATCGCAGTAATAACTAATGAATCTTATTCAAAGGCGGCATGGAACAATGGCCGTGTTCCGGGTTGGCGCATGAGATGGATGACTTTTGCACCAAAGAAAGGGAAGAAGAAGCTGAGCCATGTTGATGAGGTGTTTGTTCTGCGCCTTTCTTCCATTTGTGTACTGCATATTGTGCCAGTCAAAGAACTAGAACTTGCAGGATTTTAAAGTAAAATTATAAGGGTATTTTCGTATCCATAAATTGTAAAGTACTCTGAATAAGACCGTTGACTCGATCTATTTTTGAATCTATTTGAATAAAAACGAGACCCACGCGTTATTCTCATCCATTCAAATAATAAATTCTAATAACTTGGCGTAATCAATTGGCTAGAATTTAAATTTCTATTCCAAATCTTAATACTTTGTTAGCGATTCCAACCTAATTCGGTTCCCCAGCTTGGCGTTGTCTTGAACGAACATCCTTCCTCCCTGCGTCTTATTACCGATTTCTTTAGCTCTTATTATCAACGAATCCAACCTAATCTAACTTAGAAGTTTGACCTCTCTTCTTTCTCAATGTCAAATCATTCACATACTACAATAAACGTATACGTATATTCAATCCCATCAATTAATAACTCCAATCCATCACTTCAGTAAGTTTGCGCATATCTCTGGCATAACTTCAAGATTAATACGAAACAATCACTGACCAGAGATTCCATTCTCCTCACTACAGATCAACACAATGTCGAACCAAGGTTACTACAACAATCAACAACCCCAATATGGTGCCCAACCTCAATACCCTCCTAACGTACGTTGTCGCAAATCTCTAACTATCATACCGATCTCCTCGAGATCTCTTGGATAATCTTGGCAAAACGGAATGGAATACAAAGCTAACGCTTGTGTGATACATAGGCTTATGGAGGACCACCACCACAACAAGGCTATTATCAACAAGGCCCCCCTCCTGTAAGTACATGCGCATCTTCTTCATCTACTATATTATACAGTGTAATGCGATGGTGACAATCCCCCATCTCTGCGCCATCGCAACACCGAACGTTGTCGAGATAGCTTCAGCGTCGCAATATACAACACTTTATATTCCCTCTTAGATATGGAGTATCAAACTAACAATCTATCTCTCATTAGCAACAAATGCAATATCAACAACAAGAGCCCCCAAAGAGCTCCGGCGGTGGAAAGGGTTGTCTAGGTGCTTGTTTGGCAGCTCTCTGTTGTTGTTGTGTTATGGAAGAGGGTTGTGAACTCTGTGTTGATTGTATGTTACTCCTTCCATCCCCCTATACCTCGCCGCAGACATCGCGAATCAAAACCAACTAACCCCTTTCTCTTACAGGCGCCGAATGTTGTTAGAGCAGCTGCTTAATCCCCTCGCATCCTGCACTCCACTTCTTCCCGCCACGCTATCCGTACCGTATCCACGCCACCCCCTCCCCTAATCTCCCCACCGCAACGATCTACGAGAATCAACAGATGGCTTCAAACTTGCCCCTAATCACCTTTTCCCAAACGGCAAGCCAGCAAGCCAGCAACGGTATAACGCCCCCCCCTCCAAAGTTATGTCACCAAACTCGTCTTTTGCCAATTAAATCACCCTGTTCATAGACTCATCTCATATGATTGAACTTACAAATCGGCTTCCGCACTCTTTCCTTTCTCTCTCACCCGGTTTTTTCTTTTCATACTCTTCAAGGTCTGCGTCTCTTTTCGCATGGATCGCAGGTCTTCTGCTTCCAGCTAGTTTCGGGGATGGTTGTATTGGATGGCTGAGATAAGATAACATAATGAATGACTTTTATTTAATAACTTCTGTGATGACGGGAAGTATTTTCCCACATTATTTGCTATTTGTGTATGGTCGTGCAATGTGAATACAAATGCAGATGAATGAGTATACAGAATACAGTGTAGCCAGGTACTTTCGACACAGCTAGCATGTTGCAATTAGCTAGAACGATGAATGTCCCTATGTGTGTATTATGACCGCAGCTTCCTCTATACACAATGGTATAGAAAAAGAAGATACGAGTACTCACCCTTGAATATATTCACACAACACAACACAGGATAACACAGGACCACAATTTCAATGAATGAATAAATTGAATTTCTTTTCTCTCCTCCTTCCTACCTATCCTTTGTAGAGACCAAGACCAAGACCAATACCTCTGCTACTACTACTACTACTACTACTACTACTACTACTACTACTACTACTACTACTACTACTACTACTGCTACGACCAAAAACATCCATCCATCTACCCATCACATCCCAATACCATCCTTCATCTACAAAAATCTCCTGAATTTTTATAACGGTGAAAAGAATGAATTTTCACTACTGCTCACTCACTCCACTATCTACTTCTCCATTACTCCTTTTGGATATCGGTCGCTTTACATTGATTGCTTTGCTTTCCTTTCCTTTGATTCGCTCCGCTCAGCTGCTATGTATAGAGAATGCGTCTACTGGTCAAGCTCTACATAGTTTGCTGGGAAGAGACCGGAATGTCCGTTGTAATGACCGAACCACCAATCATCATCTGGGAACTCCTATTGATTGGATTAGTATTTATTTTGAAGAAGAGGAGGAATATAGGGAGGAAGTATTTAAAAACAAGTGAAAACATACCAAATCAGTAACCGTAGCACCTTCAGGGAAACCCAGTTCATTATCCTCAGTAGCCTCATAGTCATACTGCGTAGTAGCGGTAGGACCAGCAGGATGAGCAGATGCAGCAGTCGGAGCTGGAGCACGAGCAGGTGGTTCCGGCTCCTCAATGTGATAAGTTGGGACTGGGGCTGGAGCAGATTCTTCTTCACCCTCTACGAGCTCAACATAGTTGCTTGGGAAGAGACCACTTTCACCCTTGGCATTGGTGCCCATCCACCAATCATCATCGACCATTTCGATGTTGGTGACGTACTCGCCTTCGATCAATTCCAACTCATTATCTTCTGCCTTCTCATAGTCGTATTGTATCAATGCGCGTTTACCGCTGACGGTAGAGCCTTCGTTGAATGCAGGGGCATTATGTCCGAATGTTTCAGCGGCCACAGCTGCCCCAGCACCACGGGCTGGATCATGTCCAGCGGGTTCCTCGGTGAGGTCTTCCTCATGGGGAACATGTTGAATGGCTCGCTCAAGGGCTGGATGATCATGGAGTTCCTTTGGTGCTTCCATTTCTTCGGGCTCTCTTCCACGTGCTACTGGCATAGCAATACGAACGGGAGATGACTCACGTTCTGGTTCCTCTTCTGATTCTGGTGTAGGGCTGCGGGGAACGGGAGGAGGTGCGGGAATATTTGGTCTGGTCTGTTCCTCCTCATCCTCGACAGGTAGAGGGCGTGTTGGAAGGCCAGGCATTGGGACTGCACCAGGCCTGCTGGAGGCGTTGATAGGTGGAGGTGGTGGAGTTTGATCTTGGTCTCCGGTAGTTGATCGGGGAATTGTCGGTGCGCCCATTGGAGCTTGCCCTCCCTTGAACCGATCCCTGATAGCATTGATGCCGCCGGCGGGAGATGCTGGAGCTTCTTGCTCTGGTTCTGCTTCACCGGTTCTCTGTTGACCAATACTGCCTGTAGCGGATTGTCCGGTGGGGTTGATGGCCACAGGAGCCCATGATTTGCCAGTATATCCACTCTTCCATTGCCCTCCTCCACTTGTTTGACTAACAATAGGCGATGCTACACCTTGGGGAGGCGCATCGCCAGCACCGCTAAGACCTCTTTGTCTAGCTTTCTTCTCTGCCCAAATTTGAGCAGGAGTCTTGCCGCCTTCGTCAGCAAATGTCCGACTTGCTGCTCCAATGGGAGCGGATGCTGCTGGAGCTGCTGGAGACTGTATTCCAAAACTTCCTGGAGTTGGGGCTTTCGTTCCGGTGAAGTTATTGGTGGTGGAACCAAACCTATTCGCGACCTTGGGTTTTGGAAGGGTCGTAAGGCGCTCTGATTGAGCAAAAGCCGCAGACCTATCCGCAAGGGACTTGGATGGTTCGTCGCTGCCTGCGGCTGATGAACCAGTGGCAGCGGGAGAAACTTCCCTTGGCCCCTCTTCTGAAGGCTTTTGTGCCTTAGCTCTGATCGCTGCGATATCCACTTTACCGACTGGCTCGTATGCTCCCTTGATTGTCGATGGTCTGTCATCACCAACGCTCTTGGCTTGAGCACGTAGTGCTGCAATATCTACTTTGCCGATTGGTTGATAGCCTCCTCTGACAACATCTGAAGCGGCCCCACTATCTGCCCCACTACCATCGTTAGATCGCGAGGCGGTTGGCTGTTTTGTCAACTCTGCCATATCAACTTTTGTGGGTTTGTATGCGGGCTGGACTTTTTCAAGTTGCGTTCTGGTAATTTGTGGCGCATCTGCGCCCCATCCATCCCCATCTACGTTGGCATTCTGACTTGTCCTTGACCTCGATCCTCCTAATGGGTTGAAACCCGACACACCACCCGACCGTGTAGGAGTAAATACTGGTTTAGAAGCTGCTGGAGGAGGAGGGCCAGAGGAAGGCGACGGTGCTGAGCTCGAGGAATATTTCGCGCCCGATGCATCTGCTACTTTTTTAACAATGCTTTCTGGGGCCAAGTCGGAGTCTGATCGAGCAGTTATTTGAACATGATAACCCTAGAATAATGTATGAGTATGCATGAAGGTAGGATATTCAGATGAGTACAAACGTGAAGAATCTTGGATACTGCTGCAAGGTGGCTTGTGAAATAGCCCTTTGTCCGTTCGGGAACACCTTCACCGCACTTTAGATTGTATTAGTATCTCCTATAATCTGAGCACTCTCCTGTATTGTGTGACTGACCCATCCAATAAGTACGTATTTCGGAAGTGTGGTATTTGGATCCTTGACTTTAACAAATGCGAATTGAACTCGTCCTTCAGAAAAATCCTCGACCAAGTCGATAAGTTCTCCCTCTTTATTCCATAAGGTTAGATCATGTACTTGAATTGACCAGAAACTATGCAAACATACCTCCAGTACTTTGCACCTTTAGCACACTCTCCTTTCCACCACTATCCTGTTGAAAAGCATTTACAAGAGGAGCTGATACTGAGAACAAAGCCCACTGTCCATAAGTCGGGCTGGAGGCCGCAGTTCCCGAAGGCGCAGAAGAATTGACCACTCCAGTATATGAGGATTTAATAGAAGGGCCATTCGTGGATGTATTGAGAGATGCCATATTGGCAATAGGTAGAGGTGGTGGTAAATAAGGGTTTAAATATTTGAAATGAAAGGGGGAGAGATTGTTGAAGGTAATTTTGGTAATGTGGTTAGGTTTGCTCGGCCGGCTTGTTCAAGCTGTCGTCATGTTCCAAACTGGCTGGAACATGCTTGTATTGTATTATGTAAGCTTAATTTTGACCGCCACTAGAAGCCGATTTCTGGTTAACCAACCAAATTGTCGACCGCCTCACTTTCTTATACTTCTTATTAACTTGCACACACCCACCCTCCCACCAACTCCCACCACCAACTCCTATTATCACAATTAAGACCATAAATAAGTTACATAAACCATCAGGAACGCAGCATCTTTGAGAAAGGTGCATTTTCTCTTGATCATTGTTCAAACATTCGACTGTACCCACTACCTTCTGTGGTAATAACGAATTTTGTCCCTCCCTTTCTATCAATGAACTCGTCGCATACCTAGGTAGCTTATACATAGCTAGCTCTATCTAGCTCTATCTGGCTCTTATTCGAATGGGATTGTATTCTTATTTCTCTAAAGGACAGATTCCTCCACACTCCCTCACGACAAACTTCTGTTCCTCCTAACCCAGTCGCATAGTTACCAGTATATCTATCTTGGTCATTGCGATTTGAATTCAAATCTGCGAAGTATTTGACAAGTGTTAATTTCCTTATTTTATCTCTTTTTCTCGATACTTGATACATTCCAAAACACGAACCAAGGAACCATACTTGGTTCAAGATGGATACACCGGGCAGCGACATGTCTTTTAGGAGTACAGGTATATCCACAACAGATGCATCTACTACGACAACACCCAAGCATAATATTTCAAGTGTCAGCCCAAACGAATTGTCCTCCAATAACCATACTACTTCGATTATTGAGAACGACTCGGCTTCAGACATTTCAATGTCTGCAGATTCTGACGAAGAAGATGAAAATGAAGATACTTTGGATAGCCTGGCCATCCAATTAAATTCGAATCCACAGGTTCCGGAACAAGCCAATGGTGTCATCTTGCAATCCTCCCAGCCGGAAACTTCCAGGAAGCGGAAATATTCAGAATCCGGAGAAGATGATCCAAATGGCCCCATTGATAATACAAAAGTCCTTGAGGAAATACGCAAACGTCTCAGACCCGATGAGACACAGGACCATTGGAGAAGCGAAGGCCATTTACGTTTGAACCGGTCTGTTCTGCCAGCTGAACTTTGGCATCACATTTTTACTTTCAGTCCTCCTAGAACTTTGGGTAACTTGTTGCAAGTAAACAAGTCTTTCAATACTTATCTCGATCCTTCATCAGATAGCTCCATTGTCCCCTTTTCAAAATCTTCTACCGAGGTATTAAAGCCAGATGCTATTTGGCAAGCATCTAGACGTCTTTTTAAACCACTCATGCCTGCTCCTTTAGTTGGACAGACTGAACTCGATATGTGGAAAATGGCTTGTTCTACTTCTTGTCAGTTCTGTAACAAGAAGAACCCATTTATCATTTCTGTCCAATCAGACCAATGGCATCTTGGTCCAGGGGAAAATGGAGTCATTCCTATCTGGTCATTCGCTGTGAAATCATGTGGACATTGTCTTCTACAACATGCTGTTAAGGTATAATTTCATGTCTTCTTTACTTTATACCTGGGGCTCACTAATTCGTGCCCAGGAGATCGATTTGCTGTTGTCCTCCTCAGTGCCATCACTCTTGATGCCAGTGCTCCCATTTATATTTCTCTCCAATGAGCTACATGTTATTCCTGCGACAGCATTGCAGCATGGACAGCCCCCTTCGACTACTCAAATTACAAAATATTATTTCAAGAAGCATGTCGAGGCAATTAAGGATGAATTTGAATCTGTCAAAGCTATGGGCTCAGCGACTATAGAAGAATGGCTCAAAGGTTTGGAAGATCGTGGTAAAGAGCGACGTAATGACGCAGCTCGATGGGAGAGATGGGAGGCCAGTGGTGGGGTTATTCGGATGAGAGCATTTGAACAACATGAATGCTCAAAACAGCTACCTGCAGCAGTTGCTCCAAACACCAATCTTGCTCCCGCACAAAGTCAACCGATATCAACAAACGGCTTTTCAACGTTGCCAAACCATACACATGTCACGCACCCATTACCTCAGGTACCCAAATCGTTACCTGCAATACACACTTCTTTCCGTAAGTTCTTCGTGTGGCTAATCATGCAAATTATTCACTCCGAGAGAGACTGACGACATGGTCATAGCAGCGAGTAATCCCCCACCACGATACGATTCGCCTTCACTGAGTGTGTATTCTGCATACACACCTCGATCAAATCTACAGCCGAGACATGAAAGAACCAAGGAGGAAGTTGCCGATCTCAAAGCGGCACGGAGAGCTGAGATTGAACGAAGATGTTTATCATTAAATCCTCCACTGACAGCAAATGTTCTAGCACATATGAGCTCATTCCAGGCAGCTATACAGATAATCCAACCACTAAATGATGGCGCCTGGGAAGTTTTGAAGCCAAGACTATTATCACAGAGAGAGGAAGCCGAGCAGCGAGAAAATGACCGAATCAGCCAGTCCCGAGTGGTTCAGGAGCGTTCGGAAGAGCGTCGTTTCCAGGATGTACAACCCAAATCGGAATACAAGGATGCCATCGACAGAGAATGGGATGATATCCAAGCCCCACTCCGGGCTCGAATTGGTGGATATGCCGATGAAACGATCCGTGATGGCTGGAATGGTGGTGACAAAGTGACCAAAGAATCTAGTCCTAAGTTTGCCGCAGACGTCCTAATTTATGTCCGGAAGAGATTTTATGCCGAAATCGCCAAAGATGATGCCGCAGTAAGAGCAACAGGTGGGGAGCCACCATTAGATCCTCCAATGGGGCCATACACTCGCAAGCTAACTTTGGAAAACATGAAATGGGTGTTTGATACCAAGATCAAAACCCACACTGAGCAGTATAGTAAGGAGCTTTTTCTTTGCAATGCTTGCGAGAACAATTTTAAGTACTATGGGTTCGAGGGGGTCATTCAGCACTTTGCTGCCAAGCATACCAGTTCGCTCAGCGTTGGTAGCGTAGTTGTCCATTGGAAATCAGAATGGCCAGAGTATCCACCGTTTTGTCCGGATCCTAATACCGCGGTAAAAAATGCCTACTACTCTGCTCTGCCAAGTGCCAGTACTCCTTACCCAAGTTCCTCTATTCTTCCAAACTATGGATATGGTGGGTACCAGCAGCCTGTCTCGGCTGCACCAAATTCCAATATTTACCAGGATCCGTATTATGGCCATTCTCAATATGGAGACCAGTATGCAGCCCCTCAACCTGGCCCGTATGCGCCGCAACAGATGTTTCAGGATCCTAATCAGGGCTATGCCCAATATTCTGCACCACCACCGTCTGCCATGACTCCGGGTTACAGCGATCCTAATCAGAACTATCCACAGTCTGGTTATGGAGGATCCCACCCTACTTTAACCCAGCCCGGTTATACGTCTCTGCCCCAAAATCAGATGTATCCTACTTCAATAGCGGACAGCAACGTTCAGCAGTCATCGTATGCTCCCCAAAACGTACAATATCTTACCTCGTACAACCAGCTCCCAGTCCATCCCAATGGCAACCATTCGCAAGTATCAGCCTCCGTAACGCAACAAGCACAACCTCAGGCTTCTCCACCGCCACAACAGACCGAGGAGTACAAATCCCAGCTTCGGGATCTCGGTCGAGATGCTAAGGCGATCTGGAACTTGATGAGTGGTGTGAAAGAAGTTCCTGGTAGTGTAAAGGTATACACTATTATCTATCACATCTTGAAAAATTTTCGCTCCAAGTTTCAACAAGATCCACCACTCTCGATGATCGTTGATGGACTTTCCAACAATAAAGACATGCGACCTGTTCGGAACATTAATGGACTGTTGTGCCGAGCTTGTGTACTAGGCATGGCCGGTTCTGTCACCTCTTCAAAGCCCGATAAGAAACATTTTTCGTTTCCTCAACTTGCCATCCACTTTCGCACAATTCATGAGGAAGGAGTGCCTTCCAACCTTATCGGTCATTTTCCAGATTGGACGAAGGATATGGTCGAACTCCCTGATCAGACGAAAATATCTTCAGTTTCTAGTGCTCCAGGAATGGACGTCCAAAAGCTTGGGATCTTTTCAGAGGCGCTCCCAGAAATCGTTGCGATTCCACCACCGAGAAAGAATACCACGATTCAGCGAACTGCACCGTGGCAACCAAAAGTTGAAATTTTGGACCAAGAAACACTGCCTTGGCAGCAGACATCATATGCTAACCAGGACATTACTGAAGACCTCGCGCCTTCGCAAGACAATCATGGAAAATACTATGCCAGTGTTGCAGACACTCGAACTCCGGATACAGAACCGGTTTCTGCCACTTACAGTAGTAACCCATATGATCCACGCCATCCTCGAGATGCACGAGAACAGCAAGCACCGCGTAAACTCACTTCATTGGCTGCAACCTCTCGCCATGACCAAGATCACCAGATGTTTCACGATAATAACGTTGATCGTCGCCGTCCCATGAATCCAGCATCACCTCCTGTATCCTATGCTAGGCCCGAGAAAGAGACTGTTTTCCGTGACGAAGCTCCAGTTTATCCAGATAGGAATATTCGATATCGAGAGGCGAACAATGCAGAACATATACCTCGCTACGAACGAACCATTAGAACGTACGATGATCTAACTACTCCTGTTCGAAGGTATGCGACTGCCAACTCCCAATCACATAAATCAAATCGACAGCAGGGGGAACCATTGTCTACCTTCTCAGCTGCTTCGAAAGATCCGCTGGAAACCCAATACCAACCATTAGACGATGTAACATCTCAACAAAACCGCATCTTCGAAGTCGTGGCTCAGATATCCCAGCATTCACAGCAAGCGCGCGGAAAGCAGACGGCCACACGTGAAGGGGCTGCTGAGATTAAGTCCGAAGATGGCGAGTTGCAAAGAGGAATCATTGAGCAGACTAAGATTCGTAAGCGGCCTTCAGATGAAGCGACCGATGATGCAGAAAGATTTCTCAATAATTTTCAATCAGAGAAGCGTTCTGAAGTGGTTAGTCAAAGAGTTGGCCAACTAGCGCGACGTCGAGATGATGTTATCGAGCCGGGACGGGAAACAGAGCGTGCTGAAAGCATGCGGCAGGGGCGTCCTTTGTCATCAGAATCGCGGCAACGTTCTCGAGAAGTTTACAATGATGACTTAGCCGCGCCTGGTCGACCTACTTATGTGACTGAGAAGCAAGGAGCTTACAATGGGTATTATATACAAGAGTGCCCTTCTCAAGCTAGACAAATTCGAGCTTACGCTACGGAGGATCGCTATGTCGATCTAAACTCTGGGCAAGCTTTTGCCCGAGAGCGATCTCCTGAATCTATTGATCGAAGATACACAGGCAATGTGATCTACCATGATGAGAGACAAGGAAGTCATGGTGCTCACCGTACTCCGAGTAGATATTCTCGATACGAAAGTGTCAGATTAGACAATGACCGAGCACGTTCGAGGTCGCCAGTATACGTTAAGATGGGCGCACAAACTGGACAGTATGCCCAACGCAGTCCAGACGTTCATCCCTCTCACCAAGAACCCAGATATCGCCCCCGGACACCAAAAGAGGAGATCATCTATGAGAGGGCCCCTCGCCAAGAGTATTACCGTGTCTATGCCGATGAGCCTCGGCCTCGACAGGCTTATGATTACGTCCAGTACGATGCTCAGGGTCCTTACGTCATACATAGACCTGTCCGCCGAGAACCTGAAGCAGTTTATGCGTCATATGAGGATGAGTCAAGACAGCCTCTTTACGAAACACGCGCAGCCGTTGCTCGAACAGATCCTGCCTATTACGAAGAGTACGATCCTCGACACCCAGAACCACCACCTGCCACTGTAGCTCGCGAAGTTCGATACCAGTAAGGTGTTTGTCCTAAGGGTTCATTGGAGAGATTTCATTGTCACTATAAAATTATGCGCTGCAAGGTCTGTCTAGCGTGAACTTTTGAACTGTTGAACTTTTTGGATTTCTCATTCATGTCTTTTTGCTCTTGTTCTTCTCTGAAGAATCCTCATTGGCTGGTAAATAATTTTCCTATTTTTGTATCGCTATTTCTTTACAGTCGTTGCAACAGTCATCAGCGTGTACTACAAAATAGTTTCCTACGATTTAGATTACTCCATAAGAGCAAAGCCCGCCTTGAAAAGCAGGTAATTGGGGTAGGGCGTATAATTTTCTGGCATAATTGATTTTCGAAGAAAGGGAGGGGATGATTCATGAACCCTTTATCATAATGTACTTTTAACGAATAGTGTTGTATTAATAGGCATAAGTAATGTATAAATCTGTACGAATCTCATTCATTCTTTTATCCAAACTCACTCCAGACCTATCATTGTGATCCGGTGGTGCTGATTTGTCCCATTCTACCTGAACATTGGAGATAACAATTTGTCTAATGTTCCGTTTGGATTTCAAGATTCTAAGGATTTGGATGGCCGTTGTATGGATAGATTCACTACGGTCCTTGAATTTGAAGTTGACTCGACTCTGACTCGAAGTGAGTGACATCATTTTCTTCCCTTTCCTGATCCTTATCACAGTATTTGTTCCTTTCTTTTCTTATATTCTATTTTAATTGACAGACAAACTACTCGTACATCAATCCATACTTTCGAATCCCAAGTCTTAATACGTCTCCTGTCAATTATCTCCAGACGCTCAAAGCTTTACTGAAGACGGATTCTTGATATTAGTATTGATTCGGCCATCATATCAGCTTTCCCCTTTTTTATTCTCCGACCAGACTTGACTTGACTAGACAGCAAACCGTTTTGCGGGCAATCAAATAGTTGGCTACCAATCCCAACTTGGTGCGCCAGAGTCTTTGAGAGCTCAATCTCACTATCGTCAAGCTACCTGGTCAGATACCAGTTGTCGAATCGGGTATACATCAATCATACTACTACTGCGCACTGCACATCTCGCTGCGCCAATACCGCGGCATCCTATCTCCTCTTTGTTCGGATATCGGAATTTTCTGAATTTGGTTTTCGTTGTGGTAGTGGTATTGGTATTAGGGGAAACTTCTCGTATTGTCAGCATCATCACCATTACTAGCCTCGATAAGTCAAAGAAACAAAGCCTGTGAAGCGTCGAATTCTCGTCACGGTCATATACGGACGGTGCCTCTGGTTATATACGAATCCCGAATCCTCAGATACCAAAGCTAATATAATCCTCAAACGATTTTACATCATTTTATATCATTTTATATCACATCACATCACATCACATCTAACCATGAAGACAATCTGGTGGGTCGCCGTTCTCCTCATAGCTAGAGCAGTTATTGGGGGAGAACATCATGATGAACATGAAAATGGATATCGAGAGGAGAGACATGAGAGGGGTGCACGTGGATCTGGATCTGGGGGTGGAAGAGAGAGGGAGGAAAGAAGAGAAGGGGGAAGGGGAGGTACAAGGGGGAGAGAGAGGGAGAGGCAGAGGGAGGATTTTGAGACATTGGGCGAGAATATTATTGATTATGTAGCGAGTAGGAGTAGGGAGAGGAAGGAAAGGAGGGAGAGGGAGAGGGAGAGAAGGGATGGGAGGGGTAATAGGGAGATGGATAGGGATGGGGATAGGGAGAGGGAGAGGAGGAGGAGAAAGGAGGAATGGAGGGAGGTAGAGTTTCGATGGG